TGCAGGGCGGTGGCCTTCCTGCATACCCTGGGCATCACCCACAGAGACCTGAAGCCTGACAATGTGCTGGTCTGTGTGACACCTAAAGGCCCCGTTGTCAAGGTAGGCAGATTGTTGTGAGGTGACAATGTTTACATCAGATCAAATGGAATCATCCTCGAGCCAGTCAACAAAGCTGTTGGAAAATTGCAGTGCTCAAATGTTGAACTCTTTAAGAGTCGTTTGGTTTTTACAACAGTCACAAAGTTGAGAGACCAACAATAAAACAAAAAGAAGTAGAAAAAACAAAGCTGTGGGCAAAACAGGTAAAATAAAAAACACTGAGAAAATATCGATCATGTGCACGTCAGGATTTATTAAACTTTCCTTGTGGGGTTTTAAAAAGAGGCTTGTATAAAACGCAACAAAGTGGAAATAAAACATTCCAGTCCAGGCATTTATGTTGATGGTTGGTCGTGTAAGTTCTTTGCATTAAGGGCTTAATTAAATAAAAATGTACAGAGTGTACATTGCTCTCACACCTTCATTAAATAAATTCTAATGACAGCTGATTTAGGCAAGCATTGTTGTTGTTTTGTCATGATTTAACAATTTAACAACAATAACTTTGGCAGATGTCACAGAGTTTAGACCGCGCCCCATTGGGGGGGCTTTAGTCCTCCAAGCCGGCGGACCTGGTTGAAGTCTGGCATGTGGCTCCTTTCCCCTTATGTTATTCTCCGTTTCCTACTCTATCCACTGTCCTATCAAATACAGGCTATGAAAATGCTTATGATACAAGCAAACAAAATCTAATCTTTACATTTCAGAGTCTGGTATCCAAAGTAACTAAAATGATAATGAAAACAGTTGTATCTCTTATTATGATGAAATTTCCACAATGGAAATGTAGGTCAGCTCGGCCTTTTACTACATGTCTTGTAATTCTTTCTGTAAGGAAAGTAAACATGAGGTTTCAGTCCATAACTCTTCACATTATATATATATATGCATTCTGTCTAAGTTAATGACCTAAAAGAAAAGTTTCAGATTTACTCCTTGAATAATTTCGATGCCAACACAAAGTGTACAAAGCAAAAACAATATCTTCCCTGTCCAACCTCTAGGTGGCGGACTTTGGTCTGAGCAAGATGAGTGAAGGTCTGGTGGAAGGTGATCTCACCAGGCAGCACTTCTCCTCCACCTGTGGCTCCGACTTCTACATGGCTCCCGAGGTGTGGGGTGGACTGACCTACACCGCCCAGGCAGACATCTTCTCCCTGGGGGTGATGTTGTGGGCTGTGCTGGAGAGGATCACCTTTGTGGAAGAAGGGACAACTCAAGAACAACTGGGTGAGTATATAGCAGGACCTGACAGAAATACATTAGGAATACCCAACGCCTTCTTTGGTTGAATGAAACAGTGTTCACCAGCACAAGGACAGTGGTGCAGACCAACAATACACATTCATATGCACAGAGGTGAATACAGATTTAGCCAGGAACTTCCTGTTTAAGGCACTGTGTTAACATGCAGCGTTACATATCAGCGCAGGCTTGTCATGTTTTATCCCGTCCTTCAGTCAGGGCACAGACGGAAAAGGTTGAGTGTTTGGTCAGGCAGGGCGGTGATGACGCATCGCACTGAATTGAGTTTGACGTAATTAACTGGAACATATTAAAATGTCACATGTTGTACATCATACATTCATCAACGCTGGATGGTCTAAATGGCAAAGGGGATGAATGATTACATTACATTTTGATATTGATTATACTATCTCCGTTTCTAATAATGCAAGCTGACGTGATGGTTGTCGGCCCATTCTGCCTTGAAAGCACAGCAGCTGGTCGATGTGTGAGCTCAGATCATCTGGGGATGTGTTTTTATTTTTTAGTCCCCTTTAGGTCCCCTTAAGAAGCCTGCAAAAAGTAAAATTCATCAAATACTTTCCGGGGTCGCTCTGCAGAACAGAACAGAACAGAGAGTTGAATATCTTTTCTTCTTCTCCCTTTTTCTCACTCTGTACCCCCTGTGGCTATAGGATGAGGTAGCATCTTAATGCACGAAGGGACCAGTTATGCTTTGTGCTCCACCGTCAGATGAACAAAACATCTGTAATAATGATAATACATTGGACTTGAATAGCCTTTTTCTGAATACTCCAAGAATAAAAGGGTCTGGCTGGAGAGAGAAGGGATACGGGCAATTATCCCCAAGTTTAGTGCCTGAGAACGTTCTTGAGTCACGGATACTCCATTAGGCTGAATGAAATGGTTATGAGTGGACGGGCAGACGGCTTTTCAGTGAATTCAAATCTTAGAGAGAAAAAAAAAAGCTAAATGGAATTTAGAAGCTCTGATCACAATCCGCTCTGTCATTGAGAAAATGGTGAGAGGGAGATGGCTGGTCACAGGCCGATAAAATGCTCCATTATTTTTCTTTGGTCTCTCTCAAAAACTCACACAGTTATTTGACTGGGCACGAGTGAGGAGGAAATAAAAGTCAGGGAGCAGGACTCGGCCGCTTATATTTAAGCTTTTTTGAAGCTCAAGGCTTGTTGGCTTTGTGCTCAGTCGGGTTAGGAAATGATTGCTGGCTTAAGTGTTTAGGTCAGGGTTCAGTGCTGCGCATGACCAGCGGAAGAAACTTCTTTTATGGCAGATATATTACAAACAGTGCTCTAATTCAATTAGTTGACTCTCCAATAGAAGTGATAAAGGACTGCGGGGAAGCTTTAAAAAAAAAAAAAGGAACAACTGATGCATTTCAATTACTTTCACAGATAATCCTCTTTCATTTTAAGGGTTGTTACTTTTTAGGACTTGAGCTGATGATTTTTAATTTCTCTTCATAACTCACCTGATTTCTTTCAATTAATCATTCAGTCTGCAAATTGTCAAAGAAAGAAATATGAACTGGAGTTATTAAAGCACAGGTTGTATCTTTCCTCATTATTCTTATCAGCAGCTGAAACCTCCGAGACTTAATCTTCAAAAGGTTATGAAAGCAGGAAGAAGAAGCTCAACTTTGTACCACTTTGGCACCATTTCCAAAAAGTTCTTGTTATTCTGTCTTGTTTTCGTGGAGCAGTATCCCCATGTCTCACTAAAGGTCCTGTGTACAGCGTTTTTTGCGCTGGCTGTGCGCTCGGGAGCGCTTGCATGAAGCGTTTGTGCGCTCAGAAGAAAAGCACTGCACGTCCATCCTGTCTCTATGACAACAGTTTGTTGACAACGGCCGCTGTATGACCGACACTGACCCGTTACTATTTACTGCATGTTTCATTTACAGGAGTGGCCTCACAAAAAAGACGCTGGTTACTGCCGCGGCCTCTTTCACCAGGCGGCCTCTTTCTGCTACAAACACTCTCTCCTCATAGAAAACAAAAAAAGGACACAGGGCCTCACAGAGTGCTGTAGAATAGAAAGTTTGGGTTGCTGGGCAACAGATTAGCTAAAGTTAAATTGTGGAACTAGTTGAGTTGGTGGAGTTGAAAATAGTATAATGTTGATTTGACTTTTTACTACTATTCTCTGCTTGTTTGGCTATCACACTCGAGGCTGACGTTTCACTGGATGTCAGCACTGCTGTGATCTTCCTGCAGCCTCGTGTCAGAGACTGCAACACAGCAGTGATGACAGAACAACATCACTCCCTCTCGTGTCATTTTAAGTGTTTTATCTGACCAATATTGAGGTGTATGCAAATTGGCTGTATTGTACTTATAGTACATGCGGCCGTGAATGGGAGAAGCGATAGATAATGGATGTATGCATGTATTGAACGCCCCCCTGTTATAAAATAGTTTCTTTAATAGCTTGACTAAATACTGAAATGTAGAGATGAAGCATCATCTATATGAACAAAGAAGCCAAAGTTGATGGAATGTGATGGAAACCACAAAAGGCATCATGCCTATAGACTATAAATATTAATGGACAAATCCTGAGTGACGTCACCCATCTGTTACTGCAGGGGGCTTTGGAGTCGCATCAATGGAGGTCTCCATGCTGGAAATGCTGTCTCACCTTCACTTTTAGTCAACCTAACAACAGGCTAAGAGCTGAGGCGGGTTTTAAGCCTCTTGACAAACAGTTACAGCGGGACTGCCTGTCGATCAGGTCAGCTACACGTCTTATTGTGAATAACTCTTATCCTTCATCAAATCAAAATGGGGGAGTTTTTAAAAAATACTCCTTGTACAGTGTGTGCCGAAAGAGACGTGAGCTAATCAGACTCTGGAGGTTTGACTCCGAGGAAGACGCAGTGCGTTGAAACGTTAGTCTTTGCACTTAAATCAATTGAACTTAAGTGATTCGTGTGCTCCACTACTTTCTATGGATCCTGTCTGAGAGAAGGAGTCCACTGAATTATATTTTGAACGTCTAAAGTCCTTCTCTGAGAGCAGCGACCTCCATTTGAGGAGCGGCTGAAGCGCCAGAGTTTCCTTCTACAATAAACTTATCAGACCTGTTTCATGTTTTAAACCAGGCTGTAAACATGTTCATTTCTGCTGCAAAAACTGGCTTTTTTTTAATGGGTGTGTATGTGACTTCCTGTGCCTCTGTGGCCAACCTTAAGCAGACACTGGAGGCTGCAGCTCGATCATGCCTCAGTTTTTTTTGACAACATTTGTAATCTCTCTTAAGTCAGAAAATTGTTGAAAACATTGCATTTACTTATGTTCAAAGAGTGCACAGCTCAGGCAGACTTTAAAAGTGTCAATAGGATCCGGTATCTTTATCTTAATGTTGGTATGTTTAATTCAATTCCAGAATAAAGCTCCTGATTTCACACCTTTGTTTTTTATGTGTTGGTAGCTGCAGCACAGGAACCTGCTGTAAAGCACTTTTAACAGAGTCAGGCCCGTTTAACTGTAACTTTTGTGACGTTACTTTTAATCTTTTCCTGTATAATAGAATAAATGTAATGAAAAAATGTATACCGATAAGCCATTTTTTTGTTTCATTGATTCTGAGTAATGGCATGTATTGAAGTGTTGTGTTGCTTATTCAGCCTTACTCTGTGTTCCGTCTTTCTCTCTTTTGGTTGGTTGATTGATATTCAATAACTCCTACTCAATAACAATGTCACAACAACAGAAACGTCTTGGTCCACATCACAAATAAGTGTGATCCTCCAGCTCCCTGTGATGTCTGCTTCCTGCCGTCAGTCAGGAACCTGCATGTTGACTAAACACAGTTCTCCCTTGTGTTTCCTCTTTAGGGGCCTATGTGTGTAAGGGTCGCTCGGGCTGGTTGATGCCGCTGGGGGAAGCTTTGTGTGAGAATGCTGACCTCCAGCTGTGTATCCCCATGAAGTTTAAAAGAGCCCCCCCACTGCCACCCCCTCCTGGTCCAGCTGTGTGCACTCTGCTTTTAGAGATGCTTGCTGTAAACCCGGATGCCCGGCCCCCGGCAGACCAGCTGGAGGCCCGAGTGCGCTCTGCTCTGAAAAAGGACTCCCACTGACAGAAAGAGCGCTTAAGAGACTGTAATGGTATCGAGTGATGTAGCCACTACATAAAAATATTGACTCTGGGACCCCCTGGCCTCAGTGCTTCCAACATGTGTAGGGAATTACCACGATGTGCTGCAGTCAAGTGGGGATTACAGATATGAATGATTTTATGGATTGGCTATCGTTTGTCGTAGAAACGGGAGCCGGATCCAATACGTGAGTTTAAAAACAACAGAAAGGGAAATAATAAATGAACGGTATACACTGGAAATCAGATGAGTCTATTAAGTGATCTAGTGGGACTTACTTTAGCTGTATGCTGTTGCTCGGGTCTCGCATGCTTGACATAGAAAATCCATTTCAATGGATATATGGCTGAAATGAAAGGGACTACAGCTGCTGCTTCTTGTCTGAGTCTGCAGCGCCGTAATGATTCTGTTTGATCTAATTAACCCGTTATGTAGATGTTGAGCTTCTACTGACTCAAAAGTGAATTTTATGTTCATTTTTATTTTCTGTTTTCTTTAAAGGTTTTTTTATGTCTTTATTTTAGAGATAGGGCCGTTAATAGAGTCAGGAATCTAGGAGCGAGAGAGTGGGGAATGACATGCTGGAAAGGAGCCACAGGTCGGATTCAAACCCAGACAGACCGCTTGGATTACAGTTTACGTTCATGGGGCTCACACTAAACACTAGGTTAGTGTGAGCGGCCGAAACGTGCTGATTCTTTTTTTGGGGGATTTTATTTTTGGCTTTTTGTTCCTTTAATGGAGAGACAGGACAGTGGGTAGAGCTGGTAATCAGGGAGAGAGAGAGAGTTGGGAATGACATACGGGAAAGGAGCCACAGGCTGGATTCGAACCCGGGCCACCCGCCTGAAGGACCACAGCCTTCATACCACTTCGCCACCAGCGCCCTGAAACTTGCTGATTCTTAACCAAAATTTCCAGCAGTCTTATATGGACAACATAAAAGCAACACGCCTCAATCTAATGCAGTCTAACTCCACCGCAGAGAACAGTCAAGATGTATAATATGAGTCAGCATGTCGTACATACAGCAGTGTTTGTTGCAGGGTTTCTATATAAATGTGTAGTGACACAAAACTAGTTTTTTATAAGCATGCTAATTATTAGCATACTGGCTGCTTATTCGTCATTATTAAGCGCTTAGTAGTACATTCTACAGTCTATAGCTAAGAGGTCAGTTTGCCACCTCCTAACTAGTACTTATTGAGAGTAAGGTAGGAAGTTGTTGAACATGAATTATGAACTTAATATGCTTTGTTTAGTGGGGACCTTATAAGGTAAAAAGCAGCCAGTATGCTACTAATTAGCATGCTAATAATCAGCTAGTTAGAGATGAATATTCTGACCTTAATTTAAAGTGTTACTATAATTTGTTTATGCAGACATTTTTTTGGGGGGATAATGATACAAACCAAATGTTCTCGTCACATACATTTGAATATGACTTTAATGTCTTTTTCTTTTTTAAGGTTTAGTGGTTTATAATTTCATGTATTTTCTTCATGGTCACAGCGCAGTGCTGGGTAACATGTAACAATGTTTTACTGGATTATAAAAGTTGTGTCAAACTACTGTATGTCGTAGGGTCATTATCTTTTGTGATATCTAATCTGACAACTTTAAAAGTTCAGCTGCATGACGCTCACGATGACCAACCATCACTTATATACCATCTTCTCATGAACAGGAAATTAAAGCCAGGCATTAGGATCGATGCTGATCGTATCCAGTCCGCAGCATTTTATTACTGGTCATCAGTCTTAGTCATTGATGGACCATATCTTAGATGACAACTTATTTCAGGATTTGATGTTCACAGGTTGATCGATCACTGATGTACGATAATGTAAAATTGGTCCAAAGTCGTTTAAATAAAAAATAAATCATAACTTGACTTTTGGTGCTCCCAGCTCCATGAGGTTACCTTTGATGGATCCATCAGACCCCTGATGTGATTGACCTGTTGCTCACCCTCTGCTGGCCGACAATCTTTGACCTAGAGAGAGTTAGTTAGAACTGATATCACAGATATGAAGGGTTAAATATGTTAAGGGTACAGGGGCAGTACAAGAGTCTTTTAGCACAAAATTCACTACATGTAAGGTTATCAATCAATCAAACTATTTGCATAGCATTCTTCAGACAGTACAAAGTGCTTTACATAAAAACAAATCAATAAGCAGCAACATGACCCCAAACCCCCCACCCCTACCCCACAATCCATAAACAGGGTAAGAAATAACGAGATAAAAACAGGCACTGATGGACTGAGGAAACACTATCATGAATACTTGATGAGGTGGTTAAAATGTTAAAATTCCAAATGTAAAATAACACAATAATTAAATGGAGGAAATAAGAAAATAAAATGCTAAAAGGTAACCCAATACAAAATAAAAAACATTTTAATAACAAAAAAATCAAATAAATAAAACACTGAAAGCTATTCAATAAAATATAAGAAAATAAACAAGATAATCAAACACGAAAAGCTCATCCAGAAAATGAAACAGGATGTAATTATATGTAAATCAATAAATAAAGACTAAGAAATAAAATGTGTTAATAAATAGATATATGAATAATAAATGCTACATGAGATCAAATAATATTCAGTTAAAATCCAGACTTAGGGTAGGTCTGGTCTTGAGTTTGCGTTAGTGACAAACCTGTCGAGATGAATGCTTTTCCACACAGAATAAGAACTGTGGATTCAGTCTCCCGTTTCTCACACATGGAGTCACATTAGGGAGAGATCGATTTACAGCCTATGGACATGTGCAGCGCCTATGGTGACTAATAACTCCTTCAATGTATATTTAGCCATGTGAGTATTGTATCGACAGACATGAAAAATATGAACCCTAAAAGCACAGACCTGTAAAAGTTTGAGCCATGGACAATGTCGTATCCAAAGTCTGTGTTTTAAGAGAAGTGCTATGTGCTACGAAGGGTTGAAAGAATGATTTTCTCACAAAATGAGGGTCTTAAACTTTATAATAACAACAATAACAGCATCACATCGATTATCATTCATATAAATATGAGTAAGTATTAGAACTGCTCAACTTCATCCTCTTTAATCGACATAATCAGTCCTCCCTGTTTCATCATCATTACATTTTACTAATGTCAATATTAGACCGATCAATTCTACAATTCATTTAGCAGACCCTTTTATCCAAAATGACGTACATCAGAGAGTAAGTACAACACAAGCAAGGAACTAGAGAGGAGGAAACAACATCAGTAAGTGGAAACAAACTGCTTTAAGTCTGATTGGACACAAAGGTGCTGACAGGAAGTTACCAGAGGCACAACATCGACAGCTGCTCTCTAGAGTTCTTATCAGCATCAAAACCATCCTAAAATAACCATTATCAAACAAAACTATCGGCATCACCATCATCATCACATTTGTCATCAATAATATCATTAAGTCCGTAGGTGTTCACAAAGAGCTGTGTCTTTAGCTTTTTCTTAAAGGAGCAGAGGGACTCTGTAGATGGAATGGAGTTTGGTAGATCGTTCCACCACCGGGGGGCAACAGAGGAGAAGAGTCTAGTCAGAGACTAAGGGCCCTGTTGTGAAGGTAAGGGCCCTTTCATTGGCAGAGCGTAGTGGGCGGGAGGGAGTGTAGACCTGGATGAGAGAGTTAAAGTAAGGAGGAGATGTTTTGTCGCTGTTTTGTAAGCGAGCAGCAGAGTTTTAAATTTGATGCGAGCAGTTACTTAGAGCGTAAGTATAAGAGATGAACAGTTCAGTTACATGATCAGTCATTATCACACTTAGCCGTTGATGCTAATACGACACAAACCTTTACCATCATTACTGACATTGTAGCTTTAAATCTGTCTTATTCATTGTTGTTGTTGCTCTGAATGTCTTAATCCTCCTTCTTCCTGCATCTCCCTCTATTTCACTTTCCAAGCCCAACACAGCCGTCAGGCAGATGTTTGTTCTACATGAGTCGGGTTCTGCTCGAGGTTTCGGCCTCTTAAAGGAAGTTTTTTTCCTGCCACTGTAACTTTTTGCTAACTTTTACTTTGATGGATTAATGTTGGGTCTTTGTAGATGAAGAAAGCTCAAGATCAAGAAAGAGTAAGGTCATTTACCTGTTTTTTTGTGAAGTGTATGGCAGATAACATTTCATATGAATTGTTGTTTCGAAGTAACTGCGCATGTATGTGCATCACCGCTTGACACTCTACAGAGTGATGATGCTTGTTGTAATCCGTATAGCGCCCTCTGCTGGTGAAAGAGAACTGCTAGTGTAATACAAAAAATACTCAAATGAAATACTGTTTGACTGATGAATAAATCTAGTAATATCGGCGCATATCTGATCAAATCAGCCGATACTGATAGTCACTGGATATGCTAATAACGGCCGATATTATCAGCTGGCCGACTAATCGTCGGGCTCTAGTTACTGGGATAGCTTTTTAAAAAAAACAGTTCCCAAGCAGGGTTTTATGTAAATGCACGTATATATACATATCTCTGCTTACCCATATCAGACTGAATAGTCTGTCCATTAAAGAAGACAGACTCGAAGGTCTGAATCTCTGCTACACTGAAATGAATGAATGAAGTGAATTTGAGGTATCGGGTATTATCAACAATTGTACAATACAGAGACGTATATCTAGAGGATCATTTCATGTAAATACCTTTATCAGAAGCAATGAGGATAAGCACCTTTAATTCTTTCATTTATTTATACATATTTACTAAGCTGTCATGAGTGTTTGTTATAGACTTTAATGAAATTCTACATTTTGAATTGTGTCAGACTGATGACAACAATCAGCTGATATCAGATCATACATATTTTTGGAGGAGTTAAAGACCTAACGTTCAGCATCAACAAAGCCAGACCCCTTTTCTCTTCTTCTACTCCGGTAATTTTTTTGACACGTCCTGTAGCATTCAGTTCAGTAAAGCTTAACTGAACTTGCTACACTTCCCCCTCATGTTGCAGTGAAGATTAGACCAAACTCCGCCGCCTCTACAGCACAAATCAGCTCAGCGAGTGTGAGCGAGGGGGAAAGTCCTTTTAGATTTCACAACTGATAGCAGGAGTGAGCAAGCATGGAGAGAAAGCCCTGAATACGGCACATTCCTCAATGCGTCAGGACTGCAACACCAACTCACAGCACAGTCACGACACAGGGGCCGCATAGACAGGAAATTACGCATGGCCGTTCAGCTTCAATCGCCCCATGCAGCGGGAATCTATATGAGACATAGGTCGCGGCGTGAGCCTTTTGGGCTTTATTGCCAACTATTTTTCAAATGACAAACCCTTTCCAGTAATAGTGTGGCTGAACAGTGCATTCAGTCAATGTTCAATAGACAGGTAACTGATAGAGATGTAATTGGAAAGGCTGTGTCAAATGAGCCAGTAAAACACTCTCATAGGGCAATCATCAGGGGTCTCCTGCTAGGGCTGGCACCCTTGACATTGGGGAATACATTACAGGAGCCACTTTTCAGCGTGGCCTTTCTATGAAGGCTGAAACCCTTTTGGCTGCTCTGTCATTTAGGTTTAATTATTCAAATGTCTTGCAAAGATTTCTGCGACAGTAAAAACTCAAAAAAAAGAACAGGAGACAAAACAGTAACAGAAATAAACTTTATTCTTGAATAAAAATGGTCATGTGATGTTTTAGCTAGACTACATGAAGCAGGATGCATGACAGAAAAACAAGAAATAGGATTAACTGGGGGGCTTTAAAAATGCAATTTATGTAACGCTAATATTCAATTTCCTGCCCTATAAATTTAAACTGTGCAATTACACAACGGCTGCCCGGCGAGGACACTTCCCACTGTTCATTCATCCACTGCCAACCATTAATGAATACTCCACTCTCTTATAATAGGTTTTATATTTAATTGCAGCATAAACATGATTAACTCAAAGTGTGATGCTAAACAGGTTCCTCATCCCAGACAAATACACAAGAAATACTGGGAGAAAAAAACATGTTAAATTCTTCCAGTAATGTGGCATTTGAGAATTAAAATCTTTAGAAGATTGTTCTCATTTCTCGTCTAACTGGATGAATGCAGTTTGCTGAAGTTAGTCGGCAAGGTAACACTACACATTCATTTCCATGTGGAATCTGCCAATGCTGTTTTTTGGTGTGGTTTCCCAGCATCAGTTTATTCATAACATCCTTTCACTCCTTCTTATCTGCAAGAGGATGAAATGCTAAAGAAGTGCCTGGTGTGCACAAAGTAGAAAGTATCCCAACCATTACGTTCTCGGATGCTATGGGAAATCTCTGCAAAACATATTGCAGCTAGCATATCCTGAGAATATTATCTTGATAAATAAAAAGTTTCTTTGTGTGTATATTTTGCCTGTAAACACCGCCCAGATAAGAACATGGTCATGGTTCAGTCCTTTTCAGGTCCATACAGGTCCTTCACCATATACGGCCCCTCCAGCTCATAACCCATCTTCCTGTAGTAGTTCCTCGTTCCAACACCTACAAAACACACCAGAGAAGACAACGAGGTGCTCAGCAGGGAAACAAGAATTCAACAGCCACTGGAGGATGATGTTACATTGCTGCTGCTCTATGTCATGTGTTACTTGTCCTTTTAAACCTTAACAGATAACAGACATTTCAGCCTAAACAGACAAATCTCTACCTCTGTGTATATTCAGCTACAAGAAATTAAAGTAAGTTAGAGCTGTGGCTCTGTCAGTTTGGTGTTTTTCTTACAGTACTTTTGTTTCCTGACTCTTGCACAGATTGTACATTAATGTCATATATATTAAAGGTGTAACATGTAGAATTTTTACACTAAAATATCTAAATTAATAAAAGAATTACTAAAACTATGTTATATATTTTTTTTGTTAAGAACTTACATTATCTCAAATATTTCCAACAGCTAGCAAAGCTGTAATTTTATAGTTGTAATGGGACGTGTGGTGCCCTTGTGGCCACTATGACACAACATGTTTATCGTTGCCATGGTAACACTAAATGTTACATCAAAGACCGCTGCATAAGGAAGCAGGAACTGCTGCTGTACTGTTACTTTAAGTGCTGCTGTGATTAAAACAAAAGTCGAGTAAATTATCGTCTATAAACATATTCTCTTCCTCAGGTCGGTTTCGCCCGTTTGTCTCGACTACGGTCAACCTTGAGTTTGTTTTCATTGGTAGGGTAGGGGGGTGGGAGGGGGGAGTAGCAGAGAGAATCACACCCATGATTCCCCGCCAGCCTTCACGTTACCTTTTGTTATTGTTTTGATTGAGAGCCCCCTGGTGGAGGAATTGACTTACTGTGCATTTAAACAGATGTTTATACTCAGATGTCCGAGAAGAGGATAAATGATGTCCTTTTGTTTTCTCACCTGAGATAACAGCCAATTTACTGGAGCCATGTTCTTCTCTGGAGATTCTCTCTGCCTCCTCCATCAGCATCATACCGAAACCCTACAGCAGACGGAGGGGAAGAAACAGAGTTAGTTATACTTACTGCCTTACTTTGGGTTTTTAATACATGCAATGAGCCGTGTTGTACAGTACCGGGGGGGGGGGGGGGGGGGGAGGAATGAAAAAGTCTGTGTTTGTGTGTGGGAGTAGAACTACCTGGTGCTGGAACTTGCTGGGGTCTCGGCTGCTGACTGGCACCACACTGCCATAAACGTGCAGCTCGCGGACGATAGACACATCTCCTTTCAGCTCTGGACGGAAGGACTGTGGGGAGCAGCGGCGCAAACGCAGCAGGCCGATCAGGATGTCCTGCTCTGGATCCTCATAGGACAGGAAGGTCTCCCAGCCGCCGTTAGCCACGTAGTCTCTCCGCACCAGCTCCACCTGCACACACTCTCTGTTAATGGATGTTGTGTTGCAGGAAACGCATATCATACACCATGTGGGAGTAATGTCCCTTATGTCTTGAAAGATGCAGCACCGCAGTTATTCAGTTGTGCAATTAGCACTCAGGTAGGAGGAGGTGATATGGCGCGGCAGGAGGTTCAACGTCTGGCTGACACACGAACGCTCGGGGCAGCAGAAGATGAGGAGCTCTTTGCACTCCTTTGTTTTTTTTCATGTTTTCTATTTATTTTTCCTCAACCCAGAAATTTGTTTTGTCACCCATGCATTTCTAGATTTCTGGGTTTTGGTATTTTAGTAGTAGTCTTGTTTTGGGTGTATTTGTTGTCTTTAGGTAGTTTTAAGGGGATGTACCTTCCCATCTTCTGTTATGTTTGGCCGGTGTCTCCAGCTCCTTTTGTTTTGTTAGTTTTATCATTTACCTTTAATGATTTTCTGGGGCGGGGGGATGTTTACAGCAAATAACACTTGAGGGTAAAAACTTTACATTCATGTGGCGTCCTGAATGTTCCTGGTCTCCTTTTGTTTGTTTAATAACTTCAGGAGGTCATAACAGTCTCTCACATTCTAAATGTTAATCTACCTGGATGCTGTTTGTTACCTGGTAAGGTCTGACTTTGTGGTGAATCTCCTGAATGCCCACTTCTCGGGTCCGCACATCTCGACACTGTAAAAAGAGAAAAACAATGAAACTGGTTTAGAAACCTGATATCTCGACCTGTCCTAAAGGATCTGATTTGTAAACATCTATTTAGGTCACTGCTGTGCATGTTTACCTACAGACACAGTGAGTTCAATCAAGCTGCAGGGTTTCAGAATTATTAATAATATCAGTTAGTTAGTGGTTTGTGACCCCTTTGTTTGAATAAAAAAATCAAGGTAAGCGTGCAAAAGGGGCTGTTTGGGGGGGATCATGAATGCTGCTTTAAATCATTTGATGAAAAAGGAACTTAGGACAAATTAAAGCAAGCACAAAGAGTAACCAGAGGTGACGGTGAGAGAGCAGCCACCAATGTTTGAACAACATAATGTCAGACTGATGGTCAGAGACGAGACAGAGAGTTGGGATTACTTTCTTATCTCCAGTCCCGTTCCATAGAAGTTGGTCGGGCTTCTTTCCCTGGAGTTCAGGCTCGATAAATTTAAAGTTTTCAGCACAGATATAACAAATATGGAGCGTGTGAGACGGAGGCTGCTCCAATTTTATGCTCCAACAGTTCTAAACTATACTTGGCAGGTTTTTTAATTTGTGGTCTCGCTTTGATCAATCATCGCAGCGTATGCAAATGACTCTCGCAGACAGTCAGCATTTATTTGTCCACTTCAATGGTGTCTGTTTGGATCGCATCCCAGCTGGGAATGTGTTTTAGCTTCCCATGCACAAAATAAGCTGATGTTTGGTCTTTTGCTCTGGTGCAGAAGGTCTCACCTCAGTGCCCATGTCCTTCATCCGGGCCAGGGCCAACTCTCTCAGGTTGCCGTGCTCCACTCCGGAGCTCACGAGCGGCATGGGGATGTCCCTGACAGGCAGGACGAGAAACATGGATTTACATACAATGATGAAGAACAGCTTAAAGAATGAGATATTTTAAGAAACATTACCTCACATCAATCTAAACCTGAGCCACAATAAACTTTTTAAAGGGTAAGAAGTCAAACAGGTCCTGCCTCAGTCCTTAAGTTGCATAAGTAGAAAGATAACAGACTTTATGGATGTCATCTGTCATGGTGTAGAAGAAGGAAGGTAAGAGGAATTTGAATATTTAAATCTGATGTAATCGAGACATTACACTACTCAGACTTAAAACATACTCAGTATGTGTACAGCTTCATGTAAAAGGCATGAACAGGGGACCTTGAAGTCCAGCCTCTGCCATCCTGTTTATCCTGATTATTCAGCTTAATATAAAAAAAGAAGAAGAAGCAGTTACCCTCACAATACGTTTTGTATTGGAAAATATGGGTCGTATTAGCAAAGTTTTCTAACTATCTATATGATCTATGATGGACTGAGGGTATTTTATCTTTAACGCTTATGTTGTCTACAGTGACATTGAACAACCATATCAATACTTTCCATTCACTGTCTCACCTCTGCACTCTGTAGACTCTAGTCCAGGGCGGCACCAGAGCCAGGATCCGGGCCACAAGGTCGACCAGGGCACTCGGCGTGTAGCTCTTGTAGCGGCCCGTCTTCCACAGCTCGTACAGACCCGTACCTCGGATCACTAGTGTTGGGTACAGCTTCAAACCATCGGGCCTGAAAGCTGGATTCTCGAAAAACTCCTGCAGGAAACACACAGGTCCACGTTTCAGAGAAAAGTGAAAATCACATTTCTCTGCAGTTAAACTCGAACTGGAACGTTTAAGACAGAAAGAGGTAAATGGACTTGAGCTTACGTAGCGCTTTTCAAGTCTTCTGAGTACTCAAAGGGCTGTTTAACCCGCAGGTCACACCTGCACATTCACACACTGACGTCAGAGTATCCATCTGTACCATTCATACTCATTCATATCATTCCACTGATGAGCACAGCGGGAGCAACTTTTAAGTGCATTGCCCAAGGTTACATGGGACGTGTGGCTGCAGGAGCTGGGGAACCAGCCGCCCCAACAAAACTATTTCACCAACAGCTGAGAAGTAGAATTTGTTTTTCATTAATGGTGTTTCTGACACAATCAATGTAACACACTTAATTATCATAAATGAGGAGCAGTGATTCAACAATTTATTTGATTTGAACTGCTTGAACAAACTGTATCGACTAAAACTGATTGTTCTTGCTTTATCTGCAGTGTTCAATTTGTCTGTCATGCTAACGGATGACTTCTTTAAATGCTCATTAAGGTAATAGAAAAAGAATGGTTAGACAGCAACTCTTACAGATATTCCATCAGCTTTTCATCAATGACTTCTTCCATTAAAACTTTTATTTTCCTAAAAGTCCTAAAAGTAAAAGCAGGTGTCCCATGAGCTTGTACGGAGCAGATGTCCAACAGTACACAGACATTCAAGAGGTGTCTGGTTTACTGCAGTGTAGGAATAGGAATCAGTGAATTCCAGTCATTCTCCTCCCCTCTGCACCGACTATCTTGATTAAAACTGTGAAGATCTGGAATTGAGGCACAGCCTCCAAAATAGGCCACATTATCAGCATCTCATAATCTCTCTCGTCGCAGCCCATAATCACAAAAGGACATGTCCCACATTGCTGTGAACTAAACTAAAATAGAGACAAACTCCCAAAAAATAATTACAAAAGACAGAAAAGAATAAACAGTTTCTAATTGGTGGTTGTGGTGGTGGTGGTGGGGGGGATCTTACACCTGCTACCACTGTGGCTCACATAGCAGAGCCTCTGTTAGTCAGTGGAGAGGAACAGTGTTAACGATGCCTCCCCCCAGGACAGGGAGCATCTGTACACAAGAGATAAGTGAGAGAGAGGATCTCTGGGTGGGAGGAAGTTGTAATCGAATTTCATTATCAGGACACTCGCGATAGGTGCAAGAAGGATGCAACATCCTCCAGATGCTGCCCTGAACTGGTCCGTCATCCCAAGCCGACCAGGACAACACCGACAAGCAGCAGCAGATAATGGCTGAAAGGATTCATGTAACTAATGCAAACTGAAAAGAAAATCAAGAGATCAAAGCTTCTTCTTTTTTTTTAAGCTGTCAGCCGGCACTGACGAGCTCTGTTCCAGGAAAGCCTGAAAGAGTTATTATTACCCATTTCATGGAGGTTGTAAACATCCCTCCACTAAAACCATTAAGCTGCTGTTTGCATCATCTGCTTCCCATTGTCATCAAAACGGACGCTGCAAGCAATATCTAGAAGCTGTGATTTTCCTCCATGCTGTCCATTTCATATATTTTCCTGCTTAATCCTTGTATGGGTCACAGGGTCACCTGAGATAATAGGTGTAGGTTTGGCTATACAGTTATTTCTAAAATTATCTCCACACATGTGACTTGAGCTAAGAAATATTTATCTATTTGTCTGTCTTTGTGGTCCGAGACCACTTGTCCCCTAAGTCTGGTTCATTTGATGAGTGTGAAAACAAACGTACTGTAGGTTACTCTGGTACCACATCTGAGTCCGTTTGAAGAGGCGGTCACGGGAAGGTTCATGTGTATTCTAGTACGCTCTACGGGAGATGTGATTGCAACCGTGATCAAACAAGGAAGTGGACCGCTGTATGATGTCATTCTAAAAGGCTCCTGTTGCGCAGCACGGGCACGTATCGCCCTCTGAGCTACACGGTAGCTATGAAATTAGGAAGAGGGTCGTTGTTGGCATCTCAGGAATAACGGAAACATTCACCGTTAGCAGGATGGACTCAGTCTGCGTCCTGTTGCCATGGTTGCTTCTTCTTCTTCTTTCTGCTTCCAATCCAGACTCGATCCAGGGACACTTCCACATTTTATCTACTTCTTATTTTTCCTGTATTTTCTACGATTTCCCCCGCTTCTTACACTTCTCGTCCTCCTTTGTAGAAGCATCCCGTCTTCTTAATGTAGTGGTAAATATTTTTGGATCTAAGGAAAATTTCCTGAGATGCTCTGAATGACGCAGTGTTAAGATGTTTAGAAACCTGCATATTATTCCCACTCATTTGCGTGAAGCGTGACATAAAATCTTAGATATGATGAGGGGGTGGCAAAGGGGAGGGGGAGGGGAGCCACACGTAAACTGTATAATCTAAAAGTGTCAGAGTGATAAGAGAGGAGGGGAGAGAGGCAGAGGGGGAGATGAAAGAGAGGAGATAAATGAAGTGTCAGGAGAGATTGACTGACAGAACCTAGAGAGAAAACTGGGACGGGAGTGGAAAGACAAAATAAAGATTAAGTGAAAGATAATAAGGGAAACCAGGGAGAAAAAAACAGAGCAGCAAATATTCAGATTGCTCACTGGGAGAGTGAAAAAGAAGTCTAAGGGAAAGGACAAGAGAGGGATTGTGGGACGAAAAGTAAAGAAAGAAACTCTTACAGTATTCATCAATCCACTGCAACAGTCTCATCTACGGCTCATCATCCAAACCACTCAAGAAACTACAGAATTCAGCTGCTCGTCTCCTCACACACTCCTGCACCCGTGACCACATCAGCCTTGTCCTTCATAACCTCCACTGGCTCTCCATCCCCCCAGCATATCCACTTCAAACTCCTTATTATCACCTACAAAGCCCTCCACAGTCTGGCTACTCCTACCTGTCTGAGCTCCTCCACCGGCACACTCCCACCTGCACTCTCAGGTCAGCTGATGAACCCCCCCCCAAAAATCATCCGTCCTTGTTGTTTCCTCCTTTTACAAAGTAGACGCTTGCTTGTGTTGTACTAGTTCTCTGATGTACATCGATTTGGATAAAAGTGCAGGGGAATCGTAAAATTGTAGAGTATTGACTGTCGTTTAAAGAAATTTAGCAAAAGAGAACTTTCCACAGTACATCTGAATGCTACCTGTCGGTTGTGTTGTCTTTTCTTCTTTCATTTGCAGGTCGGTTTTGAACATTTTACTTTCTTGGTAAACTTTCTACTTTGGTAAACTCCACCACGGTGCCAAGAAATGAGACCAGCCGAACAAAAAGGCAAAGGAGAAGAATTGTTAATGTGTTAAGTTCTGAGATAATCAGTGACATATTTTGATCTGAGTCTCAGTGGCATGTCGGAGTCTCCACTGCACCAATTACTACCATCTTTTCTTCCCCTTCATCGGGTTTCTAATTACTTGATTTCTGTCTCATCAATGTAAAAATAAAAACCTCAAAAAAGCTGGAATTAGACACAGCCTCAAACTGGGTCTTCATCTACATCCTACAGTCAGGGATGTTGGGGGGGGGGGTGAACAGCCTGATCCTCACATATTATAATGCAGCTGTGTTTCCAATCAAAGGCGTAAAGTCAGCCTGCTGATGAGACACACCTGACAAGATTTACGATTGAGTCACAACAACGTCTGTACTGTGGGTGAACTGTCAAAGCCTTTTCTCTTTCTATTTTAAGATGCTGCACGTAGGACTTCCTCGTTACTACACCACTGGGAGATAAGTAGTGATGACGATCACTGGTGTGTTGAGCGAAAGACGACATGATTGTTAATGTAACAAACAATAAACTTTGATGATTGATGTAACTTCTCTTTTGTTTTCTTTAAGTCTGAAGTTGTTACCCATTTTATCTTGTGATATTTTACTGCAACTTTCTTGTCTCTCTGAAACTCTGATGAATTAATAACTTGCACAAACCTTATTTTGTCGGGGAAAAGCCCCACCATGACGGACACTGGTTTAGCTCAATTGGTAGATCGGGTGGCCCATTGGTGCTACAGTCCTTGTTGCACTGGTGGCAGATTTGACCTAGTGTTGCTTGGGGCACGTCATCCCCAACTCTCTCTCTCCTCACATTTCCTCTCTATCTAAATGGGTAAAAGGAGTCTTGAGGTTGCACTTTTCTAGTCTTCTGACTACTCAAAGCACTTTAACACTGCAGGTCACACCTACACATTCACACACTGATGGTAGAGGCTGCCATGTGAAGAGTCCATCAGAAGTAACTAATCCCATTCATACACATGCATACGCCATCGCCGAAGCAGCGGGAGCAACTTGGGGTTAAGTGTCTCGCCCAAGGACACATCGGACATGTTGCTGCAGGAGCTGGGGATTGAACCCCTTGACTTTCTGGTTGAGAAATGACCGACTCTACCAAACTGAGCCACAGGCGCCCCAGTCTACATCTACAGCTGTCCAATCAAAATTAAAGCAAAAAGCCCAAAAATAATCTTTAAAAAAATGCACAGAGGCTGGGGTCCTCCAAGCAGGTGGCCTGGGTTCAAGTCCGACCTGTGGCTTCTTTCCCACATGTCAGTCCCATCTCTCTCTCTCTCTCTCGATTTCCATCTCTATCCACTGTCTTGTCTCTAAATAAAGGCAGAAAAAGCCTGATAATCAATCTTTAAGAAACAAATGGATCATGACTTCTTTAATTAGGATCTATACTAACCCTTTAAGGCTAAACCAAACATAGATTTGCCTGCCAACCTTGAGTAGAACACAGGAGGTTACCTGTTGGCTATGCAGTGGCGTAATGTACTCTTTGTTGTCTAAACCACTGGGGATGAGGAAGGTTTAAGGTTTAAGGCTGTGCATTGATGGGTGTCCTGATGGTGCAGGGGCTAAATCAAACACTTCATACGTCCCTGGTTGGATTACTGTTAAAACCCTTTGACACACGACACACCTGTCCCTCTCTCTCATCGTGTCTCTATCTTCATTGTTTAACTGATGAAGAAATGTTGATGGCTCTGTCACAGGTAGCTCTCTATGGTATGGAAAAAAAAACTAAACTGAAATGGTGAATGGTCTTGAGCTTGTAAAGGGCTTTTCTAGTCTTCTGACAACTAAAAGCTCTTTTTTACAACACAGGTCACATTCACTGATGGCAGAGGCTGCTATGTGTCCATCTATTAATGAATCATAACACCCAGAATAAATGTTATTTAAACACAAAGCCACAGACATTTCATCAGGATGTATAACAGTCGATGTGCACGTGTGATGACTCATCTGCACAAAAAAATTAGAATGCATAACCATGCTTTTTGCTGAACACGTAAAGCTGTGCATATGCATTCTTCTCTCTTATAAATCTCACTCACTGTGGTCAAGCCTCATTTGCTCGTCCACATTAGGCCATAAATGGATGCAGACATTAAAAGCTAAAGCTGTTAAAGGCCTGGCAGACTGGAGACCAGATACGACCAGTTTGACCAGTGTGCAAACCTGAAGTACTCTTATGAGTGTATCAACAAATCAAGCAGGAATAAAAGGAATGCTCACAATAAACTGCTCCACATCCCTCTCCATGCCCACGTTAGGCAGATCTGGCATCATGTGGGCGACTACTTTGAAGCCAGCGTCCTTTGAAAGGTGGAAAGACTCGCAAACAGCTCGCACCGTGTGGCCTCTGGAAGATAGAAAAGCATGTTAAAAAAAAAATACAGTTAATAGATCACACACTTTCATACAGGTTGCTTTCACACGTTGTCTGCTTTCTTATCTACATCATCCCTCGATTCCTCCCCTGGGTATACTAACCGATTAGTGTCACGAGCCACATCTTCATACACACTCTGGACTCCAATCTCCAGCCGCGTGCAGCCGTAGCCCAGCATGTCGCTGAGGTGTCGCTTCAGGCAGTAGTCCGGCCGTGTCTCAATAGTTATTCCTACACACTTGGTGTTGCTGCGCTCAGAGTACCTGCAGGGGGGAAGCCGTCTCAGTCATTTCAGCTCATAACATAATCTCTTCTCATATCATTCCTTCTTCATATAATAAGGTTTCTCAGATGACATTTGTGTGTTTTTTTGTTTTGTTACTGACTATGTTGGAGCACTCTTTGTGCTGGCTCATTTAGCAACATCAATTGACATGCTGTGAGTTTGCTCGGCTCATTATCCAAACAGTTAACACCAACCTCACATTAGGACACGACGAACGCAATCAAGAAAATGGATGATATCGAGGGAAAATGTTTGTGATGCGAAAAATGTTCAATGAGAAATTAACGAGTGTTGACTTTGTGTCAAAGCAAGTTAAATACCTACATGATTACACTCAAATGATTATACTTGAACATATTTATTTTCCACACAACTGGAAAAGGGTTGTAAAATACTTCACAGTTAAAGCTTTCTCTAGTGCTGTAGTCAAGACAACCGAGACCAGGACATACCCGAGACCAGAGAGCTGAGACCCACAGTGCTCTGTTCATCTCTCTTTTTTTCTTTAAAGGGTATTTTTGAGCTTTTAATGTCTTTATTTAAAGACAGGAGAGTGGACTGAGTCTGAAATGGAGAAGAGAGAGAGTGGGGAAATGACATGTGTAAAAGCATCAACAGGTCGGAGTCGAACCTGGCGCCCCCTGTGGACAAAGTAATGTAGTGTTAAATCCACTTTATAGCTCAGGAAATCTGGATTTGGTGATCCTTAAAGGTCTTTTCTGTACCTGGATCAGGGTGATTCAATCTTGTTTTTCTTTGAACAAAGAGGATAAAAGTGAGCTGGATTACGTGATCCTTGGAAGAAAAAAAAAGTGGATTACCAAATCCAGATTTTTCCAGATTAAACCTTTTGAACAACCGGGCCTAGGACTTAAATGTCTAAGGCTAAGCAGAAGTTCTTTTCCTACATTTTCTGATCACCAAACCCTGCACACCGGGCATCCATCACTATCTACACGAAACAAGTTCTACCTGATTGTCCGAACAGCAGCAGGCGTGCTAACTACAGCTGTTTACAGGGCACTGAAAGACAGTGACTAGAGGTGTCACAGTGCGACCCCTCATCATTCTTTAAACTAAATGTCAACACAATCTGTATGGATCTGAATGTCTGTATTTCTGACGTTGTCTTTTCTGTCGGTTGAGTCTTGATGCGAGCTGCAGATCAAATTCCCTTCAGAATAATAATAAAGTAAAAGTTGAATATTCATGGACCTTTAATCCTGAATCAGGCTTCACTGCTCCTTCTATACTCATTTGAGTCCCTGATTGAAACCCCCCCCCCCCACCCCCAAAAAAAACAACGCACGCAAGCTTACAGGCACATTTCATCACTGCAGCGGCTCCAATGTCCATAAGCCCCCCCCCATGCCCGCTTCTATTCCTTCTGATTCTGCAATAAATGTCCATCTTTTACACTCTGCTGGCTGATTTACACCAATTACAGAAGTGTATGCTCCAGAGAGGATGATCAGATTGTATGAGATGAATCAATAAAAAGTCTATTATCTCAGGTGATTATCTGCAGCTATCTCACCGCTGTGATCCGATGAGGAGCAGGGGGAGCGTGGGAGACACAGATACACAAGCATCATGCATGACACTGTCTCTGACACACACACGCACTCACAGACACGCACAGCACAGCACGACACGCACACACACACGCACACAGCGCACAGAGCGCACACACACGCACACGCACACGCACACAGGCACACAAGCAAATCCTCGTTTGCAGCCACAGTTGAATCAAAGTGTCTTGACCGAGACTGCTGATAACAGAGCACCGCATTTAAGAAAACTCCCACATACTGGCAGAGTCACAGGTACAAACAAAAAGCCAAATGGGAAGAGCCTCATGCTCACACAAACTCTGTTCTTATCAGACTTTAGGAAATTAAACAGCCCCTGCTGACAATCAAACGGCCTTAGTCCTTGTGAGATAGACATATTTTTGGCCTCCGGGACTCTAAACTTTGACCCTCCATGAACCTAATCTGAAGTTTTCTAAATACATGACGCTCACTCGTACCGAGAACAAACATGGCCGATACCATTCAAAGCTGGCACGACTTAGTAAGTGAGAAGTCGACAGGAGCAATTGATGGAGAGTTGCCTCACTTATTTTCCCTCCTGATCTCTGGATGGGTTCATTTAGCAGCTTCATTTGTGGAGAGGATCAACACATCTCAGCATCCTTCAAGATGTGCCGTGTGTTGTCGTGGTGAGGTTAAATGAAAAGTAGGATGGGCTCCAGTGAATGTGGAGAAATCATGGTGGAAAAAGTCATAAATAGGGAACAATAATTCCCATGATGCACCGGTGCACTCAGTAGTGAAGCAGATTTTTCACAGGGATAAAAAACACACAAAAAGTGTTAAAAAAGATAGGAGAACTCATGACCTTGAGGCTGCAGTAAAAAAGTGTAAGAAAAATTATAAAACGTAATCATAAAGTTGAAATCCTGAGGGTTTTAAATGTGACGGTTAGGTTTTTTCCTCTTTTGTCTTAGGTTCAGGTGACTTTACATTTGTACTTGTAGGTAGATTTGTTGGCGGCCAGAAAGATCAACATCAATCATGACACACAGATTACAAAACAGATGTAGAAATGAACGACACGAGAGAGAAAGAGAGCTATTAACCCAACTAGAACATGATTAAAAAAAAACTAAAACCTTAGTACTCAAGGTTCCACCAATCACGCCATGAGGCTCTCAACCAATAAGATCAATTCAAAACAAAATTAAATAATCTCTTCAGGATGGGTACAAATAAGTTTTGGCCATAAATAAATACATTACAGTTTGTGAAAATATAGCTACAGCTTGTTAAATTCAGTGATAGCAGCAGGAACAAAACTGTTTTTGTCTTACCTGAAATTCTTTATCTTCCTGTTGTTAATGTTGTTTAACAAAAAAGAAGCTTAATAATTTTCCCTTTGGACTCTGGGAATTGTAGTTTGATGCATTTAAAAAAAAAAAAAAAGATGTATATGTACACTTTAAGATCAATTGACTAAAGACCGATGGATTCACAGATAATGAAGATAATTGTTAACTGCAGAGTTAAACCTGGCCTCAAACTTCACCTTATCTTTGGATTGTCTTCCTTACAGGAGAATGTTTGAGAGTTAATGGGGATGATGTCTTTTACTGTCCGTGATGTGGAACAATGTCCAGCAGCAAAAAGAAAGCTGATTAATGTATGTACGGGATTCTCTTAAAACGGTACAAGAGCTCCCTCTGGTGGAGTTTACTGATACATATTTACAGATGTGGTTACTGGCTGTTTCATTGTGCATCACAATTGAGATGAATGGAAAACAAACAAACAGTAATTGAAGGGAGGATATGAATTCTTTAGTATTAAAATGATCAGTTTATTTAGTTGTAAATTAAAATGTAACTAAAGCTGTAGTGAGGTCAGAGAGATGTTAAAATACTCTCTGAAAGGCAGCGGAGGAGTGTTCACTAAGTAAAATACAGAAACCTACAGTTTGAACTGAACTACAGCAGAAGACTTACAGGTACAAATCAACACTTTCAATAATCCAGTTTATAATATACACCCTGAATAATCGGTTCATTCCAACCTCCCCTCTCTGAGCTGTATAACCGCTCTGTGATCAGGAGAGCCACCCAGGACCCCTCTCACCCCCTCCAGCACTCCTTCCAGTTACCGCCATCAGGCAGACGCTACAAAGTCCCTCTGCCCGGAAAAACATCTACAAAAAATCCTTCATTTCCTCTGCAGTAACCACCCTGAACAAAGTCAAAGAAACATTTTTTAACAGTCCTATTTTAATCTTTTAGTCTGTACTTTGTGTTGTGTTTTGAATTTGATTTTTTTTGTAATGATTGAGCCTTGTCAAAGGACAATTTCTGTCACTTTTAGGACAGACAATAAAGTTTATAGATCCTATCTATCTATCTGTTCTTGTACTTTAATTGCACATTTTCACACTATTATGTTATAATATATGTATATCTTGGTAAAATGTCAATTTTGTTTATCTCTTGACTGATTTACTGCGATGTCTCATTTATGATGTTGATGTTGTCTTGAATGTTGTTTTCTGAGTGTTCCTGTTGAAAAACTAATTTCGCATTGGGGACAATAAATGATCTGAATCTCAGTCTAAATTCTGTCATAAGAGAATTAATCAGACCCCCCCTCCCCCCCTTGGCCACCTGCTCAGCTACACTTTGCTTACATCCACCATCATCTGACTCACACCATCCCTCATCTATTTCTATCTGCTCCTTTGCTCCTCCTCTTCTTTTGTTTTTTCCTCTTACACCTTAAATATTTATTTATGTTTACCTGAATTGAAGGCAACAACGCTATTCCTCACTCTCGCGTCTCAACAGCACAGTTTCTTCTAACCCGTTTCACCTTCTATGTCTTCACATGTTTGGTTAAATATTGTTACCATGTTAAAGACACAACTGTTACTGTACACTGAGGAGGACGGACAGACGTGTACCTGACGGCCTCTGCCACATTGTTGGAGGTGTGTCCGGACAGCCTCATGTAGGTTCCTGATGAAGTAGTCTCTGTACTCCTCAGGCAGCGCCATGAAGGTCCGCCCATCACGATGAACTCCACCTTGTCCACGCTATGACCCAGCTGCTTCAGCTGCACGTCATGAAGAAAAAAACAGTTTGACATTGTAAAAGTAATATAACAGTGGAATACAATTATCTGTGAGTGGGAGTGAAAGGCTCTAAACTTCTCCACACTACAAGGTTTTAGGATGTTTTAGATGTTTTTTTAACTAATTGGAATGACTTATTAAGTATCAATTTAACATGGATCAGCAAAGACGTTAACTGTAAGTGTTGAATCAATGAATGGCTTTCCTCTGTTCAATTTAAACTGATGTGGAAATAAATGTAATTCATAAAACACTGTCAGATCATGGCAGGCGGGTAACCATACACTTATCACTGCAAACTGAACGCCATTTTCATTGGTTATAATCGACAAGTCTATACAACCAAGACAATCACGCCACATATGTGAAAATGTTTAGTGACCTAAACACCTCATTTAGATGAAGACAAACACACAGCAGCATACCAAAAGCAGCGCAGATGTATCAAGAAACTAATTGTAATAATGTACACACTGACCTGCTCCGCTCGATGTCTGGTCTGAAGGTACGGGTCATAGCGTGCTCGGATCGCTCTCATGGATGTCGGCTGTCACAGAAAGCGGAGGGGAGAACAACTTTTCAAAACCCAAAAAGCACAAAAAGCCAAAAGGAAGACCACAATGAATATGGGGTGTAACATTCACAGGGGGTCACGGTACGGTACCAGTACCTCGGTTTTTGTGGGGGTTCAACAGGAAAAAAGCAACAAAAAGTTTCTCTAATTTATTCTGTAACGACATGGAAGTTACAGTTTGTTCCAACTAGTGTTGTTCAGATCTACCTTAGATAGAAGGTACAGCCCACCCCCCACCGTAAAAAAAAGCAAAATAAAGAGTAACATAAAAATAAATAGGTCTAAGGGGATAAAATGTATCTCCACTTAGACGTGTTCCGACAGTAACCGTTTCGGGACAAATAGAAAAACGGTTACAGGCTGACAATAAAACCATTTGCTTGAATTTGATCTGACATGAGGAAACTACACGAGAGAGAGATTTACATAGATAAAGATGAATAGAGAGAGATATGGATTATAAAGATATAGATTCAGATACAGATGTTGACATAGATATTTTTTCTTAAACTGTTTTTTTTTTTTACAGAATGCTCTCTGTGTTTACAAACTGTGGAGGAAAAACATAACCTCACCTCATAGCCGGTGTAAGACTGTGTGGAGTACTCAAAGTCTGAGTCTGGTCCACCAGGACAATAGCTGCAACAATACAAGATGATGACAAAGTTACATTGAATATAAAAAAACATCAAACACATGTAAGCATGTGAGAAGTGTTTGTTGTATACACGTGCTGGATAGACTTCTTTGACCACATGCAGACTTAAACACTATAAATCTATCTTAGGTCTACTTCCTTCCTTCTGACCTCCATCAGTCAGAGGAGTACAGGGTCTTATAACCTTTGACAACTGGAGGAAAAAGGCGTTCAAGTTTTCTGCTCCTTTTACTTGGAACGAGTTACAAAAAGAGCAGAGACTTCACGAGCTGCTCTCATTGGATGCTTTTAAACGGATGCTAAATGACACATCTTAATGTAGATGTTCATCCTGATGTGTTTGTGGATGATCTTGATAAATATTTGTTGTTTAAATGTGTTATGTGTGGCTGCTCATTTGTGTGAAACTCTGAAAATTGTGATGCAGCATGTCTACTCCTGGAAAAGAGATTTTTAATCTCAACAAGTTTTGTTTCCTGGTTAAATAAAGATTAAATAAAAAATAAAAAAACAAGGGAAGTTTGTCAAGCGGAGGGGCCGGGGTTTATCTTCCTCTCCTGCAGTGCATACATTGTAACTCTTAAATAACTCTCGTCTCTAACACAACTTAAGTTAACTTTAAAAAAAAAAAAAAAAGGAACTTACACGCAGATGTTGCCGGTGAAGCTGATGTGTGGACATCGATGGGGTTTGCACATCACAGCCACAACTGCAATCTGTGGAAAGTCAGATTCTGTCAATATTTAAATAGTTTTACTCCGTGAAAATCAGATCACACAGAACATCTTCTTGACCCTCACACTTTCCTGAATATAACTTGTCCAAAAAGCTTGTTGTCACACTGCTGAGTGAGAAACAGGGCCTTCAGGTCTACGTACCCCACTGGCAGTGCGGATGGGTTTGGCCTTCAGCTTGGGCACCAGAGCACGGCGATACTGTGGAGGAACAGCAGCAATAATGTCCACCAATCGTGGCTGGGCTTCAAGTCCGTATTTAGCTGAAGTCTTAGTCTTCACTCTTTAGAAAACAGAAACAAAATCAAAGGTAAAAAAAGTGTACACTGTAGTAGGATAGCATTGTTTGTAATTTTAAGAATTGAGATACGTAGCCAAAATGATCCAACAGTTCATGTGTTTGGGTTGTACTACTGTTGTGTAGATCAGTGTCTGGTGTAGAATAGAATAAATGTTTATGGTCATTCAGGCCGTCAGTAACACAAACAGAGCAGCTACATTTACACATTAATAACAGTTCATATGATGGTTCAGAGCTCTTCAGTCATGTTGTAAAATATTGACAAACGGCCTGAAAAACAATTCCAAAAAGGAAATATTCAAGAATCTGTTATTAACAGAGAAATGGATCACCCAGAAAAAACGTGTGTTGAAACCCAGGGTAGGAAAAAAACCCTGAATATATTTTAAATATCAAACACGACCTGTTCACAGCATCAGTTTGTATCCACACAAGTGGATGTAATGAAATGTTTGTTTGTTATTTAGATCACATGTTTGTCTCTGTTGGTGAAGACTTACTTGTTGAGGTTGATGTCTTTGCCCTCTTCATGTGCTTCAACCAGCTGTTTGATGACGTCAGCTATGGTCATCATCATCAGCTCAGCCCGGCTGAGATCACCTGAAAGGTTCAAATTGAATGATTCAACTGGTTAAAAAACACACTTTGAGTTCTGGTGTTAACATGTTACAACCTTTACTGATGCTGGATGAACTCAAACTAACAAACATAACATGTAACAACAAACATGATCGTCTGACATAATGAAATAAACAATAACATGTTTCCCAGAGGAACGTTCTCAGCTTGAGAACAGAAAGTGGAGAAGGGCTTGGCCTTTACAGAAAGTGGATTTCAAAGAAAGCTAAAAAGGTATATTTCTAAATGTCTGCATAAAATATACCCGCCCGGTTAATTGCCTTGTGGCCACGTTTACAGATATTGACATATCTTATACCTTTTGTAAAAAAAGATATGGAAAACATTATTTTTTTTTAATGTGAATTTTCCAAAAGGTTCTAGAAAGACAAAGTCTCATTTGATTCAGGCCGCTAACCTAAATCTCTCTTTTTTAATTAATAACAAAAAATGTAAGAAGTTTATAAATTACTATGAAACCTTTTTAAATAATGATTTCCCTCCATATCTTTGTGGATTGATTGATTTTATTTAGTCATGTATACATTCCTTTATATCATTTTAATCCCTTTTCATTTGATTTACATCTGTTTACCTTAGTAGATAGATAGATAGATAGATAGATAGATAGATAGATATAGAGATAGATAGGTAGATAGGTAGATAGATTGATATAGAGATAGATTGATAGATAGATAGATATAGAGATAGATAGATAGATAGATAGATATAGAGGTAGATAGATTGATATAGAGATAGATAGATAGATAGATAGATAGATATAGAGATAGATAGATAGATAGATAGATAGATATAGAGATAGATAGATAGATAGATAGATAGATAGGTAGATAGGTAGATAGATTGATATAGAGATAGATTGATAGATAGATAGATATAGAGATAGATAGATAGATAGATAGATAGATATAGAGATAGATAGATAGATAGATAGATAGATAGGTAGATAGGTAGATAGATTGATATAGAGATAGATTGATAGATAGATAGATATAGAGATAGATAGATAGATAGATATAGAGGTAGATAGATTGATATAGAGATATAGAGATAGATAGATAGATAGATAGATATAGAGGTAGATTGATAGATAGATAGATATAGAGATAGATAGATAGATAGATAGATATAGAGATAGATAGATAGATAGATAGATATAGAGGTAGATAGATTGATATAGAGATAGATAGATAGATATAGAGATATAGAGATAGATAGATAGATATAGAGATAGATAGATAGATAGATAGATATAGAGATAGATAGATAGATATAGAGATAGATAGATATAGAGATAGATAGATAGATATAGAGACAGATAGATATAGAGACAGATAGATAGAAGCAGGTTATCTAAGCAAATTAAAGCAACAGAAGAATGAAAACAGTAAATAGAGTAAATACATATTGTACATTCATTCGTACGTTGTTGTTCTTTGATTTAGTAAAAATCACCTGAAAATGAGCAACTCTTTGTCAAGTGTTTTTTCTTGTAGTATTGACTAAAGGGAGCTGATAAAGTTCAGAGTATCTTCATCTTGATGATCTTGTGCAGCAGAGGAGTTTAACAAATCGTAACTAACTAGTTGAATTAAATCTTTTAAAGTCTTTCAGTCAGCGGTTTCGTTGTATAATCTTTTATTTATATAGTGATAAAACCACAGACTGTAAATAAGAAGGATAAAACAGATATCCACCGTGTCATACTGTTGTTGTTGTTATGACATTATGATGGTGAGGTACATTAGTTAGCATAGCAACATGCTACAGACACTATAAACACATATTTTAAACTGTTGTCAAACACTTACTCTTTTTCTTCGGTTTCCCCATTTCTTCCTTTAGGGACTGCGTTCAGTGTTTGAGGTGTCGATAATGTTTAAAGAGGAAAAACGTAAGTCTTTAAACCAGAGAGGGCTGTCACAAACACAAAACAACTCCACGTTGCATCGAAACACGGCTTGACTCGTACGTCAACCTCAACTGTCGTAAAGTACCGGAAACGCCCAGACTGAACATCAATGAATCAAACTTTGTTTTAGGCTTTATTTGATCAACCTTTGATTCCTAAAAGATGTACATCTTAATCATTCAAATGCAAGTACATATATGTTCAATATTTTATAAACATCACAAATCTAATGCAGTACACTTTAAAAGTATGAACAAGGAATGGAAATTGGTCTAATATTGTACAAATAATATCTATTTTACATACACAAACATGAGAGAAAACACAGAAATAGGAGGAGCCGGCTAATTGGGATCATAATAATAATAATGTTTAAATATTGTGATAGTTTTTGTCAATTTCTTATGTTTAAGGTTTAGATTTTCAGTAGTAGATAAAAAATGTTTTCATATGATTTGCTATAAAATGAGGGTAATTTGTTGAGCCATTTCATTTCAAGTATTAAAGTAATACTTAGCCTAAAATTAGAATTAAATGTATTTGTTTTGAATTGGACATAAGAATCAATAATTTGTCTATTTTTTAAAGTTTTATATTTTATCCAAATTTTTCAAAGATTATATTTTCTAAATCAAATAAAAACGCAGTCTACAAAATGATGTTCAATAGTTTCTCCCTCACAATAGCAAAAGGTGCATCTTTAAATTACATTAATGACATATTTAGATCTGTTCTTTTTTAAAGGGTAGTATTTATGTACAATTTTAAATTCAATTATTTTATTTTATTTTGAATATAAGGCAGAAATACACCATTACATGTTTTATATTTATTTAAGTAGGGTCATCAATGAATTAAACCGACGAAAACTCATTTTTAAATCTCCTACATTGACACGGATTAAAACATATTGAATTAGTTTCATTACAGCCCACAGGGATATTTTGGTTAATGTTTAAACACACATTTTTTAACAAATCGTCTTAAAGTTTAAGCACGGACTTGGATTGGCTTGCTTGCAATGCATGTGTGTCCACACGGTGGCGCTTTATTCCTAACAACACAGTGTGTGTGTGTGTGTGCGTGCGTGCGTGCGTGCGTGCGTGTGTGTGTAGCTGAGCGCACAGGGACTTGAGCTCTCCCTAAACCTCACAGTAAATCCCTTTAGCTGTGAGTTTACATGGCTTGACTGATCTCTGCGGGACGATCCAGGAAATGCAACAGGTGGAGGAGCAGATAATGAACTCTGTGCTGCCGTGAGTTACTCTCTTTTTTTTTCAAACTCATATAGAAACCAAGTTGTTGCATATAACGTGACGTGACCTGTTACCTGTACCAGCAGTCATTGTGAAAATATTTGACCCCTAATGTGTGTTTGCTGTTCCCCCAGGTCTTGTTAGCGTCCCAGGCTAGCTGCTGTGTAGCCTACTTGAAGGTGCCTGTGGACGTCGGGACAAACTGCGCACTGTTGTAAAAAGGTTTGTTCCCTGTTTTAGATAAAATATGGACTACTGTACTCCTGTAGGCATGTGTTGTCTTGAAACTGTTTAAGAGTTTGTATATGAACGCTGCAGAGAGGAGCAGGAGCTAACTGTGTGTACACAGACTTCACGCAATGAAAACGCGTCGGGAAAATGAATGTGTTTCTATGTAAGGTGTAATTCTGAGCAACTGCAATATCTTATGTCAACTTGTGTATGTGGAGTTATGCTACTCATGCACATTCATTATTCCCCTCCAGGTCAGGTGGAAATAGCACCATGGATGACAACAGCTTAAACGTGAAAGTCGCTGTCCGTGTGCGACCAATGAACAGAAGAGGTGAGTACAAAGTCTCACTAGCCTTGTGACAGGTTGACCAACACACACATCAGAAGTCTGCTCTGAGAGATTTTTTAAACACTGCCCAGCACTAAAGTGAATTCTTGACACTGAGTCGTTTTATTTTTTTGTGTACCAAGGATTAGTTTAGAGGAAGAAAAATGGAGGCTGTAATCCTGTTTTTTTAAGGAGCATGTTTCCCCTTTTAAGACTCTACAAAAATGTACTTTTTTTCCTCTTTTGAAAGAGTTTTGGCAGAACTGCAGCAGGGGTGGAAAAAGAAAACACTTGGAAGGGACAGTGACATCACTTCCTGACAAAAAAAAAACAGGAATATAATGCAGTGTTGTGCTTAAAGCTCTTAACTTTATGAAACTAATTAGAGCAGCTGAGCATGGTTTAAGTTGCTAAAAAACAAAACCTTCCTTGAGCTCACCTTTCTAACCATGTATTCAGGAAGGTTGCATACAGAAAACATATCATTTAAACTTGTGTAAGTTGGACATTTCCCTAAACATACATGTATGAGCCGGTTCCTGGACATGTTGAAAGCCTTCTCCTGTAGCTGGGAGTGAGGAACAGAAGCTGTGACCCTGCTTTTCCTTACTGCATGCTCAGGGAGCAGTTAACTGGTCGAAATGTTAGTACAGGCGAGTCCTGCATGAATCACCATAAATAAACCTATTTCCTGCCTCTCTATGACGGGCTGTTTCTGCTATGATCACGAGGAACTGGCACACACACAGCGTATGCCACCTGTTGTTCTGTAATGACTGTGTCAGTCTCTAGAAATGAAAGTTATTATGAGACGTGCATAGATGTTTTATAAACAGTTTAGATGTTACTTTACCAGCAAGCACATTTGCAAAAGTGATTTTGTTCACACATTTTTTTTTAACATGTGTTTTTTAATATTTGTTTTTGTACTCATGTCGTCACAGAGATAATTATTGATATTTGTTTCAACCTAGAAAAAGACTTGAAGACGAAATGTGTGGTGGAGATGGAGGGGAATCAGACAGTTCTGCATCCAGCTGTCGCTAATATGAACAAAGGAGACCCCAGGTACGCTGCAAAGAAGTTTTCTATCATCGCATCATTAGCACTTTAATTCAAAACCATTCAAGGTTTTGAAAACAGTTTTGTGTGTTATTCTCTGTCAGAGGTTGCTCGTCTTTCTCTGATCTTGGTCTGTCCACATGGAGCTCGCTGTGGGTAGCCACATGTCTGGCTTTGTGTCCTGTGATTGAAACAGTTTATGCTTTTTATGGTAAAGGTTTGAAGTTCAGTGAATGAAACAAGTCAGACTGGAGTGGAGCTATAACTCTGAAGACTGTAGACTTGACTTTACAATATAGAGAAAACCTTCCACTTCTGGTGTGGTGGTCATAATGACTTGTACAGTAAGCTACTCGTGTAAGACCCCAAACATACACTTTCAGCTAAATGTTTTAGTCTTGACTGAAGAATTTAATTGGTTATTTTTTATCTTGATTGGGGACTTCTTGGTCTTGTTGGTCTTGTCTGGGAGTCTTCAATCGTGGTGGGACTTGGTGATGATGACTGTTTACTCTGGACTTGTTGGTTTGGACTGGATACTTGACTGAGGACTTTTTGATGGACTTGGTTCTGGACTTGTCGGTCTTGACTTGGGATTTGACTCGAGTGTGCTTGGTACTTAATGGTGACAATATTTGTTATTACAGCTGAACAGAAGCTTGTATTGACCTCAATAACAACAGTGCACTGAAACACCATTTTTATAGAGAAACTAACAATTATAGAAATAAACATACACTGAATAAAACCAGTAATATTGGCACATACCAGCGATGGAATTAGCTGATGCCGATATAGTCAGGTGATATAATATCGGCCGGCTGATTAATCAGTCAGGCTCTGACACTAACCAGCCCGTCAAGTTAACAACCAGCTCCCTGGAAGAAGCTCAGATCTTAATGTCACCCCACCCATCCTCCTTGTGTTTCTCCTTTCCATTTTCCCCTCCTCCCCCAGTGTCTTTCCTGCATCATTACTCTCTGTACAAAGGGTGTGTCTGTTGCCAGCTCAGCCCTGCTCAGGTAGACAAGCCCTGGGTGAAAGGAAAAGCAGCAAAGGGGAGGGCAATGTCAAGACTCAGAACGTAAACAACCTTTGTCAACATGCAGTTTGTTTCTGTTATACATTATGATGATTGAGAATACGTCCAAAATGACAGACACGGCTTCAAAAGGTGCATGTGTTGTGTTGAATGAGAATCAGCCTTGAAGGGCTTGTGTTTCTGTTTCTTGATATTTTTGTCGTTAAAAAGCAGGACACTGCTCTTTTACCTCTGCAGTCAGCCAGATCCAGAGAAGGGCAGGTAGATGTTCCCTGAATGTTTTTACCTCTTCTCTGGTTACTTTGCTCAGTTAATTAGCCTCAGGGTAATCTCCCCCTCCAGGAAGGAAGTTATGAGTCTCTGTCTTTGTAAACGGGGAGTCTCATATTTGATAGCTCTCACATGCATTTTTGTGTGTATGTATCTGAGTGTGTCTTTCTGCCCTAACACGCTTCAGCTGTGGTATGGTTCCCCTGTGGGGATCAATGTGAACAGGTTTTACAGGATCACTCCGCCACAGACAAACACTTCCATGATGCAAAAACAGCACTGAGGTCATGGAGAATTTCAAGTTGGAGTAGTAAACTCTTTACTGAAAAAAACAACTCAGGCCTTCTTGATTAGTTTCCCAGTGGAATGTGTCCCATTATGAGCATAATCAGTGTATTAGAAAGGCTTTATTTGTTGGGCGAGTCTCTGACCAGCCAATTTCACAAGGTTTGTGCTTAGTCAGCCCTCTGATTTGCTGCCTGAGTCTCAGGGGATGTTAATGTGTTGCGCCACCCTTGGTAGCTGCAACCAGGACTACAGCAGGGAGGTGTTTTTTTTTCCGGACCCCTTTAAGATAGGGATTAATAAAGTCTTGGGCTGGCTTGTGCAGCTCTGAAGCCCAACATGACTCAGCAGGCTTGTAGAGCTACATTAGTCCCGTTTTAACTGCACAGACCTTGAATTGTCTCCAGAATATTTATCAGTCCCTGCACAAAAAAGGCTTCGAAAATGAAAGTTCAGTCCTGCGCCTTTTCTTATCCGAGCTCTGCTTTGATAAGAAACCCCAGTTTGAAGAGTATTTTATAACTGTTTATGACATCACACTCGTTTGATGTATGTCATATATTCTGACTTTCAGAACCTTTCAAATGCTGAACCGTAAGTAATGGAACGTCCAGCCAGAAAGACTTTGTACTATCAAATCTGAAAGCGTCTACCTGGGTAGTTGGATGTTGGTCATAGACACACTGACCCACCGCCCTCCTCCCTCCCCTTTAGTGACTCCTTAGAGCTGCACCTCTCTGCCAGATATCCCAGGAATGTCCCTACCAGCCCAGGAGAGAACAGGACTTAATGTTGCTCTTTCATGAACTGGCCAAGTCTCGCATAGGGAGGCCTTGTTTCATTAAAGTCCTCCCCCCCGTGTGGCCGAATAGATATTTCTGCTTGAGTGAAGACTGTGTTTTGACTTACTCGTGGAACCAGTCTTCAAAGGGGGGCTTCCCTAAAAACTGGATTTGCAAGTTTAAGAATGATTATGTAGCGTTTTGTTTTTACATCTCGACCAAAACTCAAATAGATTAGCAAAACAGATTAAAGCTCCTATAAGGGGGTTTTGAGTTGGTTTTGAAACGGACTCAAATGAATACTAATGCCCTAATATGACCTGCAAACGCAAACAGACCATCAGCAGGAAGATTGATTCCGTATCGTTCAAGGCTTGTAAACGCTGCCACAGGGTAGGTGTCAGAAGAGGCGATTAAACAGCCTATATTTAAATGATCCACTGCAAAGATTCATGGTGAGCGATATGTTTGACTAGAAGAGGACTTGCTGAATAATCTTTGTTAACGACTTAACAAAACAAACTTTCCTGACTGAAGCTTTAAGATATTTTTAATAGACCTTCTCAGTCTGCTTTTTTTCCCGCAAAAGTGCCGTAACTAAGCTCAGTCGTCATTACATCTTTGTAGATTCATGTTGATTCAGCGACGGCGTAACATTCTTGGGAGCTCCACATCAAATACACAGTCAGACATGCACACACACACACACACACACACACACACACACACACACACACACACAGCGCTGTTCTCCCCCGCTGGCTCAGCTGATCCCTTCTCTCCTCTGAAATGCCTCCATTACTACCTCTGAAGACATTGCAGAGGGGGGATCACTTCATCCCCCTATTACTCCTCCGTGACATTCAGATTGAGGTCGAAACATCATGGGGTGTAAATGTAGCCGCTTTAAAAGGCAGTCTGAGGTGGGGCTAGAGTTAATATATCCTCCTTTTCAATGGCTGTGGGAGTATGTGTTTCGAAACTCAAAAACTTACTCACCATGAAACATTGATGCACAATGAATATAAAGCTTGTGTGTATACTCGGTGCATCATACAGCTAGCATGTGTATAATGTTTCAGCTATAATGTATCTTACAGCTGAGCTAGCAGCTAACATTTATCTGCTGTAGAGCTTTATAGTGCTGACCATGTCACCCACTGAAGGCTTTTTTTACAATACTATTTCTGTAACTGGTTTATTCTGATGTTTTTTAAAGTTTTTTTTGTATTTAATAGTTTTTGCCTTATTGTATATGACAGCTGAAGACAGACAGGAGAGTGTCCGATGACACCCAGCAAAGGGCTGAGGCCGCTGCTACGAGGACTATACCCTCTGTACATGGTGGGCGCGTCATAACCGCTAGCTTCCGGCACCTCTATTTTGAGGTTATTAATGTTCTCAAAAAGTGGGTCTGCTGCAGCCACAAGTGAAGCCAATGAGAGTGGTGATGAGACCAAAACAGTTTTGTTCTTGAAAAACCCAAATTTGAGCTTTAAACATTAAAACAGCCTCTAGGCTGAGAGACACTGCAGAATGAGAAACACTTGAAGGAACTGTTTCAAAATACAAATAGTTACTTGATCCATTTTAGTTTTAAAGGTGACATATTATGAAAAATCCACTTTTTCAGTGTTTTTGATCATATATTTGGGTTAGCTGAGTGTCTACCGACCCACAAAATGTGAAATTAAACCCATCCAGTCCTTTGTTTGTGGTCTGCATAAGTCTTACAACACAGAGAAAAATGCTCCGTTTCAAATTTGCTCTCATTGTGATGTCACAGTGGGATTCTGGTAAAAAAAAATCCCCTCTCCTCCCATGGACTCTATCCCCAGCTACAGAGGAGTGATGTCTACCAGGAAAACTCAGGGGGGCTCATTGCATTTAAAGAGACACACACACCAAAACGGAGCGTTCTGAGAGAGCTGGTTTATACAGGGTCACAAACCTCCTCTGGTGCTTGATTCATGTTATATTTTGAACAAAGCACAGCAAGATGTTTCATTTAGATCACAGGGGACTGTTTGAAAAGGTGGATAATATGTCCTCTTTAAAATAGTCTTTACAAGTTTAACAGAATGTAATCTTTACTAGCCTAGTTCTTGTTTGTTCTGACGTGTGTTAAGAAAACATACATAGTTGGTCATTCAAGTCTATGGTGCACATTTATAGATCAATTAATTTGGGAAGGGGCATAAAGCATCATGCAACAATCCTTGATGTCTATGGTTACCTTAATATGTCAGCATTACACCCTGTGATCCATTTATCATGAACTAAACGTAAGACTTTGATTCAAACTGGATCAGTCTTTGCTGTCATGCTGTAGCACAAGTGCAACACTACTGATGGCCAACATCAGTACCTGCTCCAGGGCAAAGAGCATGTTTGATAAGTATAGGTGAATGTGGTGTCGTTTGATGATGTTTTTAAAGTTTTCTAGGGACGATGGAGAGTTTTAGGATTGTCCTGTATGTATCTCAGGGACACTGAAAGGCCCGGAGGATTTGAGTGTAGCCCAACCCATTCACATTACGCCAAAGAGGATTAGTCACCTTGATGGATTTTTAAGCTCACTGTGATTAAACACCATATCCTTGACACTTTCCCTCCTTACCCCACTGACTTTGACCTGGAATCGTGTCTGGCTTTGATGCTCCTGTGCTTTTCTTTTCTGTTCACTGTCACTGAACCTTTACGATCATCGATTATCTGCTAAGACAAAAAGTCAAATCTCTTTGATATTATTCATATTATTGAGTAGGCACTCATCTGGGGACTCGTACAATATGTGAGCAGATGAGAGCAACGTTCACACTCTTGTCACATTGACTGGGTAAAACCGCCCTGTTGCCTAATTCATGCACTGACTGCTTTACAAAGACTTGGAGTGCAATATGAAAAACACGAGAACATGGGTGGGACAGGCTTCTTTCACTAAGCACTTTGCATGTCAGACAAGAAATGTCACTTCATGCCAATTATTCACCCCTCACTTGTCTTTCTTTAATTAATGTTAACAGGATGCTTAGAGGCATGAAACAATTTTACAAGATAAAGAAGCAAAAAAACTGATGTGACTCAGCGAACTAGGTACGTTTCTTATTCCAGTGCATAAACGAAACAACAAAGCCTCCTCAAAGGGTCTATGGTTATGATAAGCTTCCAGGTGTGAATGCTGGTAACTGTGTAACAGTGAGGTGAGAGTTATGCTGAATCAGCATTCAGCTGTCTTAAAGGGCTATATTATATAAAAGCCTGAAGGCTCTGCTTTTCTTTTCCCCCACATTGCTGTGGTCTGAATCTTGAAATGGGCTTTGTATGAATGAACGTTGGTATTCTTGCCAAATGGTAAATACGGGCAAGAACATGTTTCTGTTGGTGTGTGAATCCCAAGCAGCAACGTCTAGTGTTGAAAAATGAAACCAATGCAGATGTGTAAAATCCTTGCAGTTTGTCGAGTGTCCACTTGAGGCTGGAGCCCAGATAGTCACATACACACCCCATTCAAAAAGGTTTTTTTACAGCATGAATAAACATGTTTACAGCCTGGTACACTAAACAATATTGGTCTGATAAGTTATTGTCCTCATGGGCAGACACTGTCTGGGGGGTGAACTGTTTTATAACACGTCCATTTTGATTTCATAAACATGTCAAATCCATAGTTAGGCACATAGCTGACATGATTGACAGGTGGGAGTGATGTAACGGTTTGTCAGGAGACTTAAAACCCGCCTCAACTCCAGCTCTCAGCCTGTCGTTGGGTTGACTGAAAGTTAGGTTGAGACTGCATTTCCAGCATGGCGGCTGCTGCCGATGAGCCTCCAGGGCCCCCTGCAGGAACAGATGGGTGACGTCACTCAGGCGTCATCCATTAATATTTACAGTCGGTATGTTATGGTAAACCCCAAAGCCTTTGATAGAGTGATAGAAAGATTTTAAAATAGCTTTTCAGCTGGTTGACATGTTCATGTTTATTTGAACTACAGTCGTTAACTGATGTTTTTATTTTTGTCTCTTTGTCGCCCTCAGGAGTCAGCCAAAGGTGAGTGTTTAAATGAACCCTGAGTTGAACTATAATCTAAGTTTAAGTCACACAGTGCACAATGTACAATACATGTTGAATCTGTTGTGTTTTATCGTCAGGTTTTTGCCTTTGACCACTGCTTCTGGTCAATGGATGAATCTCAAAAAGACAAGTTTGCAGGTTGGTGCCTTGCTGCAGTAACACTGTGTTTATACTCTGCTTAAATTGGTGCATGCTTTCTTTTTTTAGCTAGTGTGTAACTGCTTGGTGACTGATTTCTTCAACCTTATCTCATGACAAAGTGTTTCCTGATATTCTGAACTATTTAAGGAGTCAAAGAGAGGGAGAGCTCAGGGTGCAGGATCAAGAGTTATACCCTCTTAGCTCTGTTTATTGCGGTGCATAGAGCAAAATCATTACCAAGGGAGCTTCTCGACAGTGTAAGGGTTATTTTAGTTTGGCAGCCTGCGTCAGATAAATTGAATCAGAACAAAGTGTCCAGCATGTCTATTCTGGGCTGTTGGCCCTCTGTGAATGTCTCTCCCTTAGGCAACCCCCCCCCCCTTTTTTTTGCTTTGTTACTAAAGCTGTTTATTGTGCAGTGATTTGAGGTTTTAAAAATGTGTGTTTTCTGATATCTGTGCAGGTCAGGATGTAGTATTTCAGTGCCTTGGGGAAAGTCTGCTGGACAACGCCTTCATGGGTTACAATGCATGCATCTTCGCTTATGGACAGACAGGTAACACTGAAAGCTTCCCAACTACGAGTCCTTAGTAATCACTCATTAGAGGTTCTATAACGCTATCACTGTGTTGTTAAAAGATGTGATCACAAATACTGTTCTTTTCTATTTCTGTTCTATTCTGTTTATTTACTCGAGAGATCATTGAAGAGCAGCCCTCATTTACAGCAACATCGAGACATTACAGAATCAGTTTAAAGACAGACACAAAATCATTAAAAGAACCAGAAGACAGATGAAAACAAGGCCACTCAAATCAACAAACTGGGGGATTTCTATTAAGCTGAGACAACTGCCAGGAAAAAGTAAACACTAGAGTGTAAGAAAAAGTTTAAAAGTTACCTGTACAATAATAATTAAGCAAGTCTTACAAAAATCAATGCAATAAATCAAACACACTGATCTAAAACAGATACCAACAGAGGTTTAAAATCAGGTTTCTAAAATGCCAAAAAAGTAAAGAGATGTTTATTGTTTTCAATAAAAGCATTACAAATCTGAATAATGAAACAATAATAACACGTTTCTTGGCTACATCGATTTAACTCAGTTGAGCCAAACAGCTCTGCTAAATGAGTGAATGAATGCTTGACATGTTACTTTAAATCAAAGACAATATTCAAAGTCAGTAATGGGCTAGTTTTTAATTTTCTTAAACTTAGAAAGGGGGCAGTAAGCAAACAAAAAGGCCCGTCTCTGGTATAAGCCTAACCAATATGAATATCACAACACATGCATAGACATGTGCTTAATGAGCTCCTCTGATTGGCTAAAAGGTTCCCTCTACGCAGTGTGGTCATTGGCAGGGCAAGCTAGAACATGGTCTTCAGCTAGCAGTTGTATATGGTTAGGTGACGTGCTTTTCCTGGAATAAGGGCTCAACAGTGTGGTTCCTTTTCTGTTCTTCAAAGCCGATTCAATTATTAGTCACAATGTCAAAACCATCTGAGGTAGACTCACCACGAGCTACCTGTGTGTGAAACCGTGGTGTGTGCTCCTGTAGAAGATTGGTGGAGCTCACTGTTACCATGGCAACAATTCCTGCCCCTCAGATAGTTAGCAGGCTAGTTAGTTAGCTAACGTTAAATGTACTAATAACCTTATGCCGCTGTAAAGGTAATTTTTATATTCACACAACACAGACTAGAAAATAGTACAACACTTGTATTAACAGTATAAACACTTTAACTACATGAGTTACTTTTAAGAAGAAGAGATATCATTCCCAATGGATTGTGGGATTTGTAGTTTTTCGACTCCAGAAGAAAATGACGTACACCGACTTGTACCCTTTCCTTTTTCTCAGTTTTTTTATGCCGTTTTGGCGCTGAATCAAAAGCACTATAGTCACGAGTATATGGGTATCTGGTTGTCATGGTTCCAGGCTTCCATCTCTTGATTTAAGGGATTTGTAAAATGTCATTAGAGGATTTGAATGGGGGAATTTACTTCTGGAACCAGAGTTGCCGAAAAAAGTGGGCGTTCACTGTTGAGCTCTTATCAAAATACTCTGAGAAATATATTAGTTCATAGTCAAAAATTATCTTAATTTCTTCTATATAAATTACATACACGCTAACAAAAATATGCTAGTAGGGGAGGAGGGTTGGGGGTGTGTCGCTGGAGGAAAAGTGAAGGCTTCAGTTTGGCGACATCTACTGGATCAAAAAGTCAAACATTGTTCCTTTAAGATAAAGAGAAACATTTTCAGGACTTTGACTGTTTTTTAAATGTTAAATATGAGCAGCTTATGAAGCTTTATTGTTCTGCGTTTACAGTCTGAGTTAGTCATTAAAAATTAATCTGCTTCTTTGTTACATCGTTACATTTTGTCTCTTGCATTACTTTTTGTATTTTCTGCTTCAGTATGTTTTATCAATGACCCATCACTGTGCGCCTCCAGGCTCTGGGAAGTCGTACACCATGATGGGCTCTGCAGAGAACCCTGGTTTGATCCCTCGGCTCTGCAGCTCCCTGTTCAGCAGGACGGTACAGGAAGTGCGGGAAGGAGAGAGCTTCACCGTGGAGGTCTCCTACATGGAGATTTACAACGAGAAGGTCCGAGACCTGCTGGACCCTAAAGGGTAAGGGAACTGGAACACGGAGTCACATGAAGACCAGACTTTGACAAGTCTACCTGTGCTATTTATATGTTTGCTCTGAAGTAGAGGGAACACGGCTGTCCATTTTACTTTCTCATATTTTTCATTAGAGAAGGACGGTGTAAGAGTAAAGAAATTAAACGGCGTCTTCATCTCTCTGTAGAAATCGACAGACACTGAGAGTGAGAGAGCACAAAGTCTTTGGGCCTTATGTCGATGGCCTCTCTCGCCTGGCTGTGGCTAGCTACAAGGTATATGAACTTTATTTAATATATGCTTCATACCACTGTGTTGCCAAGGGAAACAAGGTATTTCATGAAGTGTGGGATTAGTCAAGACATTGTTGTTTGTATTTGTGACGACTGTGTCTCTGACAGGACATCGAGTCTCTGATGTCAGAGGGAAATAAATCTCGCACTGTGGCAGCCACGAATATGAATGAAGAGAGCAGCAGATCCCACGCTGTGTTCAACATCATCCTCACACACACACTAATGGACCTCCAGTCTGGGGTAAGACACATTAAGCACACTCACTAAACTGCTGACCACTAACAGGATCTCTACCCGACGCCCTCTTTTATCATTTGACCCGTTGGAGATCAACTTTGTGTGGCTTTTGGTGATATTCTGATAAATCTATATAAAGATCAGACGATTGTGACTAACGCTCCTCTCAAGTTTCTGGAGCACAACGCAGCAAAAGACAAAATATAACCACAGATGTTTATCTTAAAACAAATGGGACTATCAGACTATTCAGGGACGACAATGGATCAGTGGTTGGTGTCCGATGTGTCCTTGGGCAGGACACTTATGATGCGTTCCATGTGATCTGGGATGTTTGAAATTCCAAGTTCCCGGTCTGATACGTCATCAGGAACGCCCTCCTGTAGTTGGAATTCCGACTTGGAAACTCTTCTACTGAGACACTTCAGTAGAAGAGTTTAACTCCAACATGGCTGCTACATTTAGTAACGTTTAAGCTGTTGTGTTCATTAGCAGCTTAGTCCTCTTTTAGTCTAATTAAATCAGTCACACGATAGTATCTTGCAACTTCTCTCTGTGGACGTGTTGTCATGTTGTTTTCATGCGCAAACTGTCACGTAGATCGTTGTTATCGCCTGGTGTTACCTAACAAAACAAAAAGTACTCCTGAGGCTCCCATGTTGTTTGTCCGCAACTGGAACGCTGTTAACTCGGCTGTGAAGTCATTCCTAGCTCCGTCAGAAGACGAGAAAAGCGCTCTACAAGCTCAAGTCCATTTACCATTGAATATTCTCACTTCCATATTTGCACCTTTTCTCAACTAAACATGTGTTCTGGTTCATATTCAGTCAATGACTTTAGATTAAATATTAAATCAATGTATTGCCTCAGAAACCAGTCTTCAGTGAAATATGTTAAAAGATGCTGACTGCTGTGTGCTGTATGTTTCTGCATGTCGTTGTGCGTCTGTTTCAGACGAGTGGAGAGAAGGTCAGCAAACTGAGCCTGGTGGATCTGGCTGGCAGCGAGCGAGCAGCAAAGACCGGAGCAGCGGGGGACCGCCTGAAAGAAGGGAGCAACATCAATAAGTGAGTCAACAAGAAGAGCAATATGAAAGACCCTCTGTGATCCGGAGCAGAGTGAAGTGACCAAGCTGTAGATCATCCAGATCGTGTTTCACTTTTCATCTTGATTGACTCTGTGATGTCATCACTGTCTTTTTGAGGCCTTGTTCATCTGATTAGCTTATCTTTATGCTGGACAGGTTTCCTATTTCCTCTTTCTAAGATAATAAAGAGATCACATACTAATACAACAGCAATAAGTCAGCTTGTTTAAAATCTTATCATCCATTATAGGCAGCGATGGCCTGATGATCTGTGATTCTTCCTGTGTGATTCTATCACCATAAACACTTTCTGCTTCCGCCTTGATTCCCTGAATGATCCCGTTCTTGTGTCCCCTCAAGGTCTCTCAGCACGCTGGGTTTAGTCATCTCGGCCCTGGCTGACCAGGGAGCAGGAAAGAACAGGAACAAGTTTGTTCCCTACAGAGACTCAGTGCTCACCTGGCTGCTCAAGGTACTAAGAAAATAACAAACCTTGTTCATAGTGGTTCCACCTTCAGCAAACAGAAGATACCTGTGTGTAGTCAGGGACAACAAAATATGGATTATAATTTGAAGTCCCAGTTGTGTCAATTTCCTAGTTATTACAAATCACTCCGCAAAGTTGAAAAGCAGCTCTATGTCTTTAATTAAGGATTTCAGATAGCTGTTTTATCAAATTGTTAAATGTTACTTTCTTAATCTTGCTGAAACGCAGATCCATCTGTACCACTCCAATCTTATAGATCAGATTTTTTTAGGGCTGCACAATAAATCACAGTTGTATAGTAATAATATTATGAACTTTTGTAATAAACACGTCACAAACGGTTGAATTAATCGCAATAAATACGACGATGTGTCTACAGTTTGCAAACAAGCACTGCTATCTCACTCAGCATGTGTACATTTTACACATTTAACACCAGTTTCATGCAGCCAAATTAAACTCAAGCCAGTTATCAGCTCCCCTCAGAGTAAATGTTGCAGATTGAGTGAGTTTAAAAAAATGTAAACTTTAACTGTAACAGGTTATATATCATTAAGCACCTGATTAAAACATCTGTCTCGTTCAGGAGGTTTAGCTCTCTGCCTCGCTAGCTAAAGGGACTTATGACTTGTTAAAATGTAGCATCCTGTTCTTCATTCCTCCCAGTTTTCTCCAAGAAGTACCCCTTTGACCCCACTTTGACCCCACTCAGCCCTACTTTTACCTCATTTAGGAGATCTATTCTGCTGATCCATATTTTAATACATGCGTGTAATGTCTCAGCAACATTCTTATAAACTAAAGATACACAGCTGTTGGTGTTATACCGGACGTGGTTTCCTGCTCCTCTGAACGAGACGTTGCGAGAAATTCACAAGACTTGGTCAGAACCTGACGTCAGGTTCTGATGACGTATTAAAGAAAAGCATGGAGCAGAGCTGTAGGACATGCTCACCCCGGCAGCTCTTTCAAAGGACACGTCCCAACTGGAAGCTAACTCAAATAATCCTGCAACTCCAAACAGAGCTGGCCAATTAGAGGAAAATGGGCAGGGGGGGAGGGGGGGCCTTAAAGAGACAGCAGCTGAAATAAACCGTTTAAGGCAGAGGCTGAAATGAGGGATTTCATTGACGCCAGTATCAGATAAATTTGGAGGTTTAGCTATACATCTTACAGCGCTACTCAAAAAGTGTCCCACACTGACATGATTAGTAGATCTCCTTTAAGCTATTCTTTCTCCAAAGCGTGGTGTTTGATTTTTCTTATCCTTCACAGCACAATCTGACATTTCACAGTAACTGTTTTTGAGCTTTGGTGTTGTCACTGGTGTAAAATCAGTGTTTTTGTTTTTTTTCCCGCAGGACAGCTTGGGAGGGAATAGCCGCACAGCCATGGTCGCCACCATCAGCCCCGCTGCAGACAACTATGACGAGACACTGTCGGCCCTGCGTTACGCTGACAGGGCCAAGAGCATCGTCAACCATGCTGTGGTCAACGAAGACCCCAATGCCAGGATTATCCGAGAGCTCAGAGAAGAAGTGGAGAAACTGAGGGAGCAGCTTACTGAAGCTGAGGTACGGATCACTTCGGCCTGCTGCTGGCCCGTATTGTAAATATTGAATATTCTACATATCATGGTAATCTTTGAAGAGTGATAGAAGATGCATTACACTCTTCAGTCTATGAAGGCTCCTGAGCTGAAGGAGCGGCTGGAGGAGTCGGAGAAACTGATCCAAGAAATGACGGTCTCCTGGGAGGAGAAACTAAGAAAGACGGAGGCTATCGCACAGGTAACAAAAAGAAATGCACTTTATACCACAGTTTTTGATTTTTGCGTATCAATCCCTCATGGATGACCTCGGAGGTGCAGACCTCGGTTTGTTGGGAGATGCAAGTAAGATCAAGGTTTACCATACCAATCTGAGCCAAACCGGACCGCTTTGTGGAAACGGGGAGTAGACTACTTTATTCAAAGTGAAGTGGTACACATTCAAATGAACAACATGGTCGCTGGATGTTTTGCTCTTCCTTCAGTGCGACTTAATGAGATTTAGACTGAAGTCATTCACTTAGTTTTATTCAATAAGTAGATTATTTCAAACTATTCTTGGGTCTGCTCCCTCTTTTTCCATCCTGACACTTTAAAAAAAAGCAGCAGATGAAGAAAAGAAAGGCCAAATCATAATTCCTACATTAAATATCAAACATTTGTTGTAGGAGCGTCAGAAGCAGCTGGAAAATCTGGGCATTTCCCTGCAGTCCTCTGGAATCCGAGTGGTGGATGACAAGTGTTTCCTCGTCAACCTTAATGCCGATCCCGCCCTCAACGAGCTGCTGGTCTACTACCTGAAGGTACCTGGACACACACATAAAGACATTTTCTATTTGACTTTTTGTGTAACCAATTTCTGCAACGGTGCATTCTGCAACCCCCTCTCCTCTTTGTCTAGGACCACACCCGTGTCGGCTCGGCCAACTCGCAGGACATCCAGCTTTGTGGAATGGCCATCCAGGCCGAACACTGTGTCATTGACATCACAGAGAGCAGTGGAGTGGTGCTCAGTCCTCACCGCAACGCTCGGTGTGTACTTCTCTTCACAATGCTCTTTATTGATAACAATGGATCACACTCAAGAGAGGTCCTAAGCGGTCTTTGAGGAGTTAAACTTGAAGCAGTGCAGCTTTGATTCAAGAAATGTGAAGCTCTTGTAGCTCATTACTTGTGTTTGATGCCCAACTTCTCGAGGCTCTTGTAATCTTGTAGCTGTGTTCCTGTTTGTATGCAGTAACTGCTGGCTACAAGTTTACTGTAATTACTCCATATGGTGAATGCTGAATAGAGATTTTTCTCATTTGAACACCCTTCAGTCTGTCAGTCAGTCCTTCCTCTCACGTCTGCAGTATGTGCAAAATGCTGCTTCAAGATTTCCAACAGTCACACAGAAACAGGAGCACATCACCCCTGTCCCCCCTCCCTTCACTGGCTCCCTGTTGATTTTAGAATTCACTTTAAAATTGAATTACTTGTTTTTAAGTCACTGCATGGTGAAGCCCCCTCTCATCTATCAGAACTTTTAAACTCTTACACCCCAGGCACAATCACTGGTCCCTGAGCAGTCTCTCTCTTCAGTCCCTCGAGCTCAGCGGCCAATCAGAGGCGACCAAACCTTTTCAATTGGGGGCCCTCCGTCAGTGCAATCAGTTGCCTTATCAGGGGCACTAGCTCATTACATTTATTCAAAGCACAGCTCAAAAATCATCTGTTCCCCCATTGTTAGTTTATCAACGCTATTATGAGCTGAGGCTGTTTTTAAACGTGGTATACAGATCAACTTGACATCTACACACCCTGTCCCTCCTATTGAACACAATCATTAAATTATTAAGAAGGTCTCAAATCTTACAGGACTTGAATAAACACTGTGGTCTACTCTTCTACTTAAAATAAATCTATGAAGGTATATTGAGTGGTTCAGTTTACACAGTATTCATTTTGGCTTCTTGTATTAGCAGTGTGTACTCTACCATCTCTCAGTTCAGACGTCTCATTTTGTATAAATCTTTTTTTCCACCGTTAGAACGTGTGTGAACGGCGCTGCAGTCACCAGTCCAGTCCAGCTTCATCATGGTGACAGAATCCTGTGGGGGAACAACCACTTCTTCAGGTTTGTGTTGAATCTGGATCAGTGAGACGTTTCTTTTCTAACCCTATGGGCGGGGCTGTAATCTTTTTAATGGGATTGTTTTCTCTCGCTTTGTCACATGCTCACCTGCACATACACAGGATAAACCTGCCCAGGTATATGGTCCAAGCAGCAGGTGAAGATGAAGAGGGCGGGGCCGCAGTGAAGGCGTGTTTGAGCACAGAGCAGCTGGAGGTGGACTTTGACACATGCAGCGATGTGTCGAGCGAGCTGAGCTTCAGCTATGAGTTTGCCCAGGCTGAAGTCATGATTAAAGGCATGGGCAACAACGGTGAGTCCGTCTGGAAGTTACAGTCATGATAAATGTGGGCCGCATCAGGAAACACGACTAACAGATGTTTATTTAGAATGGTACCAAAAAATTTAACCAATATTTTAGACAATAGGTTTTATCTGAGCATGCTTTTATGAGCAGTTGTGGTGAATTGTTAATGATTTAAAAAAACAGTAACAATCTTCTTTGTGTTTGTCTGACCTTTTAACTACTTACATCATTTATCTGTGAGACATATTGTCAAAAATTAACAAGGTGTTACATACACAGCCCATTTGTTCTGGAAGATATAAATCCTTGAAAATGGCTCAAATGTTTTTAAATGTTTTTAAAGAGAAAGAGTTGACAGCCCTGCTAGCAGCTCAAGTTTGTTTCAAACAAATACACGCCTCTCATTTATATCTTAATGCTAATGTAAGCTGGCTGGCTTCTTTACAATGACACGGCCAACATGCCATCTTAAGCACTTGCTCAAAGATTACGTCCACTACCTTCTCCTCAGACCCCTTGCAGTCGGTGTTGCAGACCCTGGAGAGGCAGCACGAGGAGGAGAAGCGCTGCGCCCTCGAGCGGCAGAGACTGATGTATGAGCAGGAGCTGCAGCAGCTCCGCCGGCGGCTCACTCCTGAGAAATCCTCCCACCAGCTGGACCCATCAGGCCTGCTGCCCAGCGGATCTGCTGCTGGAACTTCACCCACCTCCCACAAACGCATGCGGCGCTGGAGTGAAGACAGGTGAAATACAAACGGAAAACTTCTGCTGATCCCTGTCAAGTCTTTACGGGGTTAAAGGGTTACAAAGAATCTAAAAAAAAGAAGATGCATTTGTGTTTGCTGTTCAGAGAAGCATTGATGACTCGCAGCCTGAGGCGCCTGAAGGAGCAGATTGTACGGGCCAACCTGCTGGCACAGGAGGCGGGCTTCATAGCAGAGGAGCTCAACAAGAGAACAGAGTACTTGGTCACTCTGCAGATACCTGCCGCCAACCTGAATGCCAACAGAAAGGTGTGTGTGTGTGTGTGTTTCTTGTGTTAAGAATAAAAGCTTTTTTCCAGAAACCCTAACGCTATTACAAAGAACAAGATGTTAAAGCAATCTCTTTTGACTGATTGTTCAAGTAATGGTGCCTATGTGTAGCAAGGCTAAATAATCTACATGATTTTCATATTTAACTACAGAATTTTCCTGCTATAGTGGAATAACTGAGCCTTCACATTAGTCGTTTTTGCATTGTTAAACGCAGTCTGGCTGAATTAGCAGGGCTTGCTTAAGAAAATGAGTAATAGAGATATAATTAATGTCTTCTTCTGTGATTTTCAAGTTGAGATATTGTCATTTACACATGATAGAAACCTTCAGGGAATGAGAAAAGGTAAAAAATAACAGTTAACTAAATGTGTTGTCTCTTTATGTGGCTGCACGGTGATGCAGTGGTAAGCTCAGTCGCCTCAGAGAAAAAAGGGTCCTGATTTCAATCCCCGTCAGACCGGAGCTTCTCTGTGTGGAGTTTGCATGTTCTCGCATGACTGTCTTTGCATGACAGCTGGGATCGGCACCAGCGACCTGGAATGGGAAATAATGGACTTTGAAAAAAGTGAAAAAGTCCGCCTGTAGTGTCTGATTCAGCCATTTACAAACACCTCTATTATACACTGAACTGCTGCATGTGGCTTGTCAATAAGCCCATTTAACCGACTTCTTATTGTGTCCAGAACACTGACAAACATTTGTTTCTTTTACTGCACATATCATCCTTGTCTCACCTCTTGGCAGCGTGATGTGGTACTGAGTGAGCCGGCCATCCAGGTTCGTCGTAAAGGTAAAGGGAAGCAGATCTGGGCTCTGGAAAAGATGGAGAACAGGCTGGTGGACATGAGGGAGCTCTACCAGGAGTGGAAGGACTTTGATGAAGAGAACCCTGTGAGTAAACAGAGAAAGGAGGCGGGCAGACTGACAGAATGCATGTTGTGTTTCATCTGTTTTCATGTATGGATAACTGAGGTGGTATATAAACCATTTTGTATCCCACTCCCTCATTCACTCAATGTTCAATAAAGGGACCAAAGTTAGGCACAGTTGTATCAAAGAATATGCTGATGCAGTACCAGGGAACATTTGCTGAACTGTAATTTTTTTTTAAATAATTACAATTTTCTATGTTTACCCAGAATTTTTTTGTACACTAAAGTGGAAAACAAGTGATTTAATCGTCTTATTTCTCCCCTCTCTTTTGTGTCCTTTTCTCCCCTCTCTTTTCCCTTTTTACCTTTTCCTACAAACCCAGGTGATGCGGTCCTATTTCAAACGTGCTGACCCGTTCTTTGATGAACAGGAGAACCACAGTCTGATTGGAGTGGCTAACGTCTTCCTGGCCTGCCTGTGCCATGACGTCAAGCTGCAATACGCAGTACCCATCATTAACCAGAAGGGAGAGGTAGGAGCCCGTGATCTGTAGTCTGATACTTAAAAACAAACGTAAGAAGAATGTAAGTAGCTCTTTTGTAGCTTGCTATATGAGTGTATATTTTTCTTTATACGCCTGTTACACCTAAATACAGAGAATTGGCATCTCAATAGACTTTGACTCTCTCTTTAACTGCTCCCATCAGGAGCTGCTCTGAGTTCTTAAACCTCTGAAAAATCTTAATATCCCCGCTGAGTTTTCCACCTGAGCAGCTAACAGACAAAGCCATGAGCTGTTGATCATTGTGAAACATTTAGCAGCTAAAGATCAAACGAAGTTCCTCAAAAAATGAGTGAGAGCTACGAGAGAGTGAATATTTGACTTGTTCATCTGATGATTGGAAACAAGGTCGATATGAATCAAGCAGCAACCTCCAGTGTTGAAAAATGAAGCCAATGCGGAAGTGCAAAATCCTGCAGTCGGTCAAGTGTCCGCTTGAGGCTGGCTGCCAGAGGCCTGAAGGTCACATACACACCACATTCACAAAAGGCAGTTTTTACATCATAAATTAACATGTTTACAGCCTGGTACAAAAGACTAAATATTGACAGGCGGGGGCGATGTAACTTTTTGTAAAGAGGCTTAAAACCCACATCAGCTCCATCTCTCAGCCTGTCGTAAGGTTGACTGACAGTTAGACTGAGACAGGATTTCCTGCATGGCGGCTGCTGCTGATGAGCCTCCAGAGCCCCTTTAGTAACAGATGGGGGGCGTCACTCAGGCTTCATCCTTAAATATTTACAGTCTATTGTATGACTGTTCTAGATCTGCTGCTTAAGTAAACACATTTCAACTAACACGTTTGCTTGCCAACTTAAATACAACTTTTAATTATTCAATAATTGAATAAGGATCAAAACAGAGCTGAAAGAACCTTAAAAATGTGAAAGAGGAATTATTTACAAGTGATGTTTGAATTAATTAAAGAAGGAAAGAAAAGTCAATAATTATTAACAAATTACAAGTTTAGCCAACAAACCCTCAGTCATGTTGTTTACTTTACATCTTTTGAATCCTGTGATTTTCAAAGATGTGTTTTATGTTCTGTCTGGTCGGGTCAGGTCAGTGTTAATCTTCAGTTACGTTCCATAATGTAAAGACGTATCTGTGGATTTATTTGATTTTCTATCGTCAACAATGACTTCAGCCCACTAATGGCATGTTTTTTGTGTGTGTACATATCAGATTGCAGGTCGGCTGCATGTGGAGGTGTGGCGGGGTGCAGAGGGCTCTGAGGAGGGGGGTCCAAGGCGGTCTGATTCCCAGCAAAGTAACACGGACAGAGATTCACAGGAGCGCAGGCTGAACTGTGTGGTGAGATCATGTAGATGGAGATCAAATGAGGAGGTTACTCAAGGAACAGAATCTGACAAATACAACCAGGATTCTGCATGTTTACCTAAAAACATGAACAGACGGTTTATTTTTGGGGCTTTTTATGCCTTTAGTTTAGAGATAGGACCGGGGATAGACTCAGAAATCAGGGAGAGAGAGAGTGGGGAATAACATGCAGGAAAAGAGCCACAGGCCGTATTCGAACCCACAGCCTCCATACATGGGGTGCGTGCACTAACCACTAGGCTACTGGCCCCATTTACCAATCTTTTAAAATGTACGTAGGTTTATATTATTTATCCAGCACAGATTAAGAACACATTCTTGGTATAGGTCTAATTTTTTATTGTACAGTGTTTTTTTTTTTTAAATCTTCACTCAGGTTAATAAAGACATACAGTATGGGAGGGGGAACAGCGGGTGTTGTTAGATGTAACAAATGTTTCATGTCGAGTGTAAGCTGCTACTGGATGCTTTGAATTTCCCTCAGGATCAATAAAGTTCTTTACTGTAGAGGTGAGTTTAATTTTCAGAACAACACGTTTCTATGGCAACCTTTGTATGGGAAGCTAATATACATTCTGTTTCTGTTCCTGATAACCACACTAGCAGAAACAATGTTGACATGGAGTCTGTTTATGAATATCTCTTAAGGCATGAGGTGAATGAATTTCTTTCCTCGTCTCACTCTCAGGTGAAAATCCTCCAGGCCAACGGTTTGCCTCGTCACCTGTCCAACTTCGTTTTCTGTCAGTACCACTTCTGGGGTCTGAATGATGCAGTGTTCATCCCCCCAGAGGTGGCGCCGTGCACCCCTTCCTCCTCTTCCAAAGACCCTCAGTGCACTGTGGTCTTCGACAGTGCCCATGTAAGACTTTCCATATTTAAGAGACACACACATGCACCTGTGTATGCTGCCCCTCCCCCTCCATCTACTTGTTGTATGCACTTTGTAATTAGTGTATTGATATCTCTAAGTTATGGCACTGTTGTCAGATCGTACAATAGAAAAAAAGAGTAATGTCACAATTAGTCATTCAGGTCATTCAAAACGAGCTGTGCTGTGGGTATAAATGATAAAACATCTTGTGATTGTTCTTTTATTGCTCACTTTCTAGGAGCTTTCAGTGTCGGTGTCTGAGGATTTTGTGGAGTTTCTGAATGATGGCGCTGTGGCTATCGAGGTTTACGGCCATAAGCAGGCCAACCATCGCCGAAACCTGGCACTGTGGGACCTGGGAGTGATTCAAGCCAAGACCCGATCCCTCCGAGAAAGGTATAAATATGCAAATATGCAGAAATTAAAATTAATAGTCTTATGTTAGATATTTTTGGTCTCAATGGCAGATATTGCAGTACATTCATGGTTAAAGTGTCTGTCCCTTTAAATGAAAAAATTAGAAAACCCTCCTTTGGATTTATGTTTTAAAACTTTATTGAGTTTAAAAGTTAGAATCTTCCTGCTTTCTGTGGAGCTTTACGAGGAACAGTCTTAGAACTGATCAGCTTTCATCCAATGTCAATTTATTATTTATGTCAAATATCTGGTTGTAGAGAATACTTTTGACACAACAGTCCTATCATAGTCTTTGCCCTGATATCAGATACTCAGATATCGCTGCCAAATGTTAGCCGTCTCCAGCAGATTCTAAACCAGTGTTATGAATGAAAGATTGGTGATGTGTGTCCACGCTGTACCTGAAGGTGGAGTGAGGTGACCCGTCGGCTGGAGTTGTGGGTACAGCTGATGGAGCTGAACGAGGCAGGAGAGTTTACAGCAGTGGAGGTTGTTCCTGCTAAAGACGTGCGCACTGGAGGAATCTTCCAGCTACGACAGGTGTCCTAATTCTTTCAATGTTTGTGGATTACATTTTTGGAGGGTTATTATTTTTAATATGAACACTTCTCAGTTTGTTCTAGGTGTATTTATGTTTACATTCAAAGTGGCCGTCTCAGTGAACTGATGATCCTAACTTTAAAAGAATTTAAAAAGTCCTGCGTCATGAATGTACGGCTGTATGCTATAATATCAATCAGAAACAAATCTACAGGAGTTACGATCTTATCTACCCAAAGCTTTATTCTCTCATGTACATCTCTACCTCCAGGGTCAGTCCCGTCGGGTTCAGGTGGAGGTGCGTCCAGTACCAGACTCTGGCACAATGCCCCTTATTGCAGCCTCCATCCTCTCAGTGTCCATTGGAGACGTCAAGGTCAGGCAAACGCGTAACTTCAAAGGCACTGAAACGCACCAGGTGAGGAGGAAGTAAAAACATCCTTTTGTTTGCTGGCTCAAAATGTGTTGTACACTTTATTAGGTTTAGCACCATGGCTATCGACTTTTCAACGTTTTCTCTCTCAATATAAATTCCAGGGTGCTGATGAAGAAATGGACAGCTACCAGGTTAGTAAATGATCAGTAAAGAAGACGCATCAGATGACATTTTTATTACTAAGAAACCCGGCCGTGTTTATCCTGTGTAAAGAGTGAAAAGTGTTGCAACATACTGTATATGTATGTTATCTTCTATTTGTGGTATGACTCCAACCAACCTCCCACGCAACCCTGGATGAGTACAGACGGCTTGTGTTGGGCTGAGGATTTCACTTTTAAATGTGTTGTATCTGTGTGTGTGTGTGTGTGTGTGTGTGTGTGTGTGTGTGTGTGTGTGTGTGTGTGTGTGTGTGTGCGTGTGTAGGAAGTCGACCTAGAGAGGATGAGAGAACAGTGGCTTGACATTCTCACTCAGAGACAGGAGTATCTGGACCAGCACCTACAGAAGATAGTCTCTAAACCAGGTAAAAAAAATAAATAAACTTGCCTAAAGCAGAAAAAAAATCACTTCAGTACATCAAGGAAATCAGGCAGCAGTGACTGATGGCTGCATTTCTATCCTCCATTCTCTCTACCTAGTGATGTTTCTGTAGAAGTATTTGGAGTCAGCTCACAATAACGGCTTCTTATTGCTGGGATAAAAAAACATATTTCCTCCAAAGTAATGATCCCCAAACTATTACAACATTATATACCTCATGATCATACATTGTAGAAATAACACCCCAAAAGAATCAATCACATTGTTTAAACTGAAAACTGATTGTCTTCAATGAATATGTTTGTCCTTCACTCTGTAGTGGTGTTTGCTCACCTTTTTGCGTGTCCGTAGATAAGTCTGAGGACGATGTTGAGAGGGAGTCCCAGCTGCTGGAGTGTCGCCTCACACTCACTGAGGAACGCAACGCTGTCCTGGTGCCATCAGCCGGCAGTGGCATCCCTGGAGCGCCAGTTGAGAGGTATGTGTTTCATTTTTAATTTGTTTGACTATTTCATTGTTTAATGAAAACAAAAGGCTTCCTGATCACACTTAGGAGCTACCTCATAATGCTGTAGCTGTGGAGACATAGAAACTACACAAATCATGCAAATTGTAACTTCTGCATCTCAGAAGAATTTTTTTATTTAAAAAAATGACCAACCCTGTCTTTAATTCCCACACTTTAATTATTTCCACAATAAATACCTGCAGGTGATGAAGATGCAAACAGAAAAATCCCGAAACACATGAAAGATTTCTCTTCTAATTTAACGTCATGGTATCAATAAGTCATCAGTATTCTACCTCAACTCGAGCTGTTTTCCTGATTTCAAAGTGTCATATGGTCTCTGTATAAAGGACTAGGTGTTTTGTCAGTGATCCTTACGAAGCCATTTCTCCACAGAGTACCTGTCCCCGGTATGGAAACACACATTCCTGTCCTGTTCTTGGATCTCAGTGGTACGTTGTCCTCAATGCCACATGTGTTCATATATTTGGCAAGTCTTTTGCTGTAGTCATCAACTTTTTCAACAGCTGTATTAATTACAATACGATTTCTGTTCATTCATCCAGCTGATGATTTCCAGTCCAGTCTTTCCGCCCCATTGGCTGGGGGTTTGGATGCGTCACTCAGTGGAGAGGAGGAGGACGACTTCGTTGACCTTCATATTGTCAAACATAACGAGCCGGAGGTTAATAGTCCCAAACGTATCATCTACTTAAGCAGATTGATCACAGATTGTGGGAATCTTTTTTCACATCGATAATGTGTTCCAGGTGAAGGTGGAGGCTTCTTGGGACGCAACAATCCACGACTGCCCCCAGCTGAGTCGCGTCACGTCAGCTGACCAGCGGGTTTACCTGACAGTCAGCACGGTGGTGCAGCTGAGCCACCCGGCACACATGCAGCTGTTGCTCAGGAAACGCATCTGTGTCAATGTCACCGGGAGACAGGTGAGGCACGGCGTAGTAACACGTCGGCAGAATGACATGTTTGTTTAGGTAATTCAGATTTACACTCAAACAGAGATGAGAAGATTTGAGATCATGTCGCTGCGTGTTTGTTTGGCAGGGCTTTGCTCAGAGTCTGCTGAAGAGGATGTCTCACCGCAGCACCATCCCCGGCTCTGGAGTCACCTTTGAAATAGTTTCTAACATCCCAGGCGTAAGTGTTCAACCACAACAGTATTAATAGAAAAGAAAGTGTATTAAAGGTCAAATATCCTCTATTTGAGGCCTGCTCAGAACAGGCTCAGGTGAGCTGTGTTTGAAGTGTGCACCGTGGGCAATTGTGTCACGCTCAGAGGGCAGAACAAACACCTAGCTGTGGGAGTGTCACCCACTTGGGGGAGGGTTTACTGCCCTTTGTGACTTTTACCAGGTTTCTGCTCGTGGAAGCTTTTTGGGTCGGGTAGAATCAGTTCTATCTGAAACTGTTTGCTTACCCTCTTCTATCACTGCAACACCTGTTGGTTTGCTGTTTGCCTGGCAATAGGAGGAGCGGGGGGGGCAAAACAGCCCTGTGAGGGTGCCTTGTAACCGCCTACCTTCTCTGGTCTAAACAAAAGCAGACCATTCAGGAGCAGAATCTTAACTCATAGCTTGTTTCCTTAATGTCTGATGATATGGTAAGGTCATATTATGATTTAATTCAGATATCTTATCTCTGGTAGATATCTTACAGATTAAACCTTTAATGCTAATAAGTTATGTACTGTGGTCTTTGTTTCCAAAAGTTCCAGACAAGTCACTTGTTGGTAACACAGTCTGTCTGCAGTTGTGTTATAGGATAAGATAATACTTTATTGATCCTCAGAGGGGAAATTCGGGCGTTATGTAAGCAGTCCTGTGACAGGCTTGAACATTTCAATACTGGTAACCACAGCATCAAGAGCAGGTATTAAGCACAGTTGTTGGTACCCAGTGCAGTGTACTGTACATTGTGATTCCCACAGGACATCCATGGTCCAGAGGACAGGGAGATGCTGGCCCGGCTGGCTGCCAGCACTGAGGACCACGAGTCAGCCGACAGTGAGGCAGCCATCGAGAAATATCTGCGCAGCGTGCTGGCTGTGGAGAACATCCTCACGTTGGACAGGCTCAGACAGGTCAGGAAATAAATCCATGAGAGTCGGGAATGCTGTCTGTAGATTAAACCTTTTACACATCAGACACATTTACCTTTATGGCACTCTTCTTTAAATGATATATCTCTGAAGCTTACACACTTAATTCATTGTTGTCTTTTTTATTCATAAATTTTTTTATGAAAATCTCATAGAGGTTTAATTTAATGAACCAAAGAGTGATACAAATAGAGCTGTGTGTGCGTGTAGGAGGTGGCCGTGAAGGAGCAGCTCGCAGTCGGAGCGAAATCTCCCAGACGCTGCCTGAGCTCTCCAAACATCAACCGGGTAAGACAATCAAGTGCTTTTTTTTTTTCCCAAATGAATAAATGATAAGTTTATGTGTTTTGTCATGTGGTGTGGTTATCTGATAGTCATGTTTAGGTACCCTGAAGAAAAAGAACTGTATCCATGTTTCATCTTTGGTGTTAATCTAACATCTCTCTGTATCATGGAGCTGTCGTCTTTGTTCAGTGGATCTATTATTTTAAGACACTCTGCACATCACTGATATAAACTCAGCATTTTCTAACCCGGCTGTCTGCTGTGAGCTCTATATGTTTTTCTCCTACTCCTTACAAGGCAGTCCATTATATTTGGCTTCTCGTATTCTGGGGTTCAGCTTGTGTGTCTTCAAACTAGTTCCTTCTTGCCTGCAGTAAACTTGTCTTACTGGTGTTAACCTGTCTCACTAACATCCTGGCTCTAACCCTTTAACCTTTGCCAGCTATCAGCCAGCAGTCTGGACCTCTACTCCTCTTATCATAAGCTCAATGACTTCAAGGTGAGAGGCATTATATATGTGCACTAAACTGCTTATTTATAATGTCTTAGGCTCTGTGTCCACCTATTGTTTGTTTTCAGTGTCTTCTTTTAAATTGCTTTTAATTAGCAGAAAGCATTTGTAGCAGCAGGCCGCCGTCCGGAGAAAAAGCGCAACACAGCGTCTTTTTTCTGAGCTCTAAGCCTTTTTTTTTTTCGGCTACTTCGAGTGCTTTGAGATAAAAATCCTTACATTTTCAGAAAGGTGCTGTTGATGTCACCGGAGTGAGGAGGATCATGCCATGTACCCACATCCTCCTCGCTCTGTGTCCAGACAAAGTAGGAGGGCAAGCATCCTCCGTTTGCTGCTGAGTGAAGGCAAAAATATGATCTCAAATGCAAAATATACAAGAAAAAGCAACGGAGCAGTGTCGGTCATAAAGCAGTGTTTTTAAGAGACTGTTGTCATAAAGACAAAACGCATGTGCAGCGTTTTTTTCTCAGCACAATAGTGCTTCATCCAAGCGCTACAGGATGCACAGTCAGCGCTTTTCTGCCCGAAAGGTGGACACAGGGCCTCAGTCTTTTAGGCTCCCAGTTTGAAAGGTTTGACAATATGGTCACCCTACCTTAAAGACATGTGTGTCATCCTCTGGGTCTACTCTTTTGTATGCAGGGATGGGACAGCCACCAGGACCTTTCTCTGATGCCTTCTTTGGCAAGACGCACACTGCCAAGCTCCGTATCCCAGAACCTGAACCCAGAGACAGGTATGACCGATACACTCTTCATCTTCCAATAGTTTCTTTCTCTGACTTTGGTTTATATTTCCCTTTAACCTGCATCCTCCTCCGTCCCCTCCATCAGTGCATTCAGGCTTTCCTGCGTCCTTATCTTTCCTTATCTCCCTCCAGTGAAGGCCGTTCCCAATCCTCTGAAGTCCCTGCTTCCTGGTGGGAAGGAAGATATTAAAGAGCAGACAGCCGTCCATCAGCAGGTACTTTGAGTCAGCATGTAGCTCTGAATATCATTTTAGATTCTGCTCGCTGTCTTATCTGGGATTTAAAGTGTATAACGCATCACTGCAGCCTAAATCTAAATAGCATCAGCATCAGCAGCAGCAGCTACGCCTATATGTGGTTGTCATAGAAACAGAGCTCTTGTGGCTGGAAACACAAAAATAAATAGAGTATAAATAAATAATGTAAAAATAGTTCAGTACTTAAGGTGAGATGTAGTTAGTCTGTAAAAATAAGTGATACAATTTTTATTATAAATGAGTAAAAAAAAAAAAAGGTTTGTTTTGTTTGGACTCGATGTTCTCTTTTATATAGTCAACAAATATTTGCATTATTTCTGTTTTATTTTCGCTAGGTGAGAGTAGAAAGTAGTTCTCAGTTTCTGGCTCAGGTAAAAGATCACTGGTGGTGTCTTTGTGTGGTTTGGTCCGATTATGATGATTTCCCCTGTTACAATGACCGTAAGTGTCCGTCATCTCGATCTTTGACCTTACGCTTTGCATTGTGGGAAACGGTACACGAGGGAGACTGCTCTGATGCATACTGTGAATTTTCCTAAATCAGTACACTTTCAAGTAGTTTTGGCATACAGTGGATCTCACATTTGTTCTCTTACTGCCTGCTACATTTTGGCCAAAAAAAACTTTAGTATAGTTTGGTAAGTGGTTTAGAAATCAGCCCGTGTGTTTAGAGCAGGGTTAATTAGGACCAGGGGATCCTCCTGGCTCCCCCCCCCCCCCTCCCTTTACCCCTCCCTTCACCTCATCATCCACTGATCTCCAATCATGCAACATCAGGACAAACTACACCCACTACAGCTTCTGATTTGACTGATAAACACCTCGAGGCATGTAGAGAAGCTAATCAGGGAAATCATGTGACGTGTTTGGTTGGAGTGGAAAACCATCAGGCGGTTTTGTTGTATTGATTGAGGCCATCTCTCTAATTAGAGCCTCAATCCACCCTGCTTGGCAAATATTAGGAAGCTGTTGATTTAAATCGTCAATATAGCCCATGACCTTACACGTGTTGTTAATGGTCTAAAAACTTTTCTAGAACCGATTTTGCTTCCAGCCAAACTTGAGACCTGACCTGACAGCTTCAAGGCTCGACTTGACTTGAGATTTGAAAAGAACCATGAGGTTTGTGACAGTAAAATCCAGGGACACTAAAAATGTATTTCAACAATATATCAGCCACTTTTTGGAGAAACAAAAGAGCTTTGAGTACAGACGTATACGTTTTAGAACGTATCAAAAAATGTAATAGGATCCAAACATGTAAAAAGACAAAATCTTAAAATGCATTCTCATTTTAACAGGCAATCAGAGATCTCCAGACTTGGAGCATTTTCCTCTGATTAAATTAAATGTAAAAAAAAATGTAGTACACCATTTTTATTAAAACAGTTAACTTGATGTGCTCTACAGCAAACTATAAGATAGAAAATAAAAAACATTTGTATATTCATCTTGCACAAACCTTCATGCTTAAAAAAGGGCATAATGGGAAAAAGTTCAAAGTGGATTTTACCATTTAAAGAGGACATATTATACCCCCTTTCCACCTTTTCAAACAGTCCCCTGTGCTGTGCTTTGGTCAAAATATAACATGAATCAAGCACCAGAGGAGGTTTGTGACCCTGTAGAAACCAGAATCCCACTGTGATGTCACAAGGAGAGCAAATTTGAAACGGAGCATTTTTCTCTGTGTTATAAGACTTATGCAGGCTACAAACAAAGGACTGGATGGGTTTATTTCACATTTTGTGGGTCAGTAGACACTCAGGTTACCCAAATATATGTTCAAAAACACTGTAGAAGTAGATTTTTCATAATATGTCACCTTTTAAAAAAAAAAAAAAAAAAAAAAAAAAAATTAAATGAGGAACAAACAAGGAACAGACAGCTTGTTGCACATTAGCCAATTTGAACAAAATGTGCCCAAATAAGGAAGTTATTACTAGTTAACCAGTAGTTAATCCTTAACTACTGGTTAACTAGTACTTACTAAGGTCCTCATTGGGTCCTCTTGCACATTTTTCCCCATCAACTATTAATGGAACAAAAATGTGCATTCATTGTTACAAGGGACCAAATGAGGAGCTATCAGTTACTCATTAATGAGCTATTAGTGAGCTAGTAAAGCTCTCCTCATTTGTTCGGACTACACACACATACAGGACAAATACAGGACTACACACACATACAGGACTACACACACATACAGGACTACACACACACATACAGGACAAATACAGGACAAATACAGGACTACACACACATACAGGACTACACACACACATACAGGACAAATACAGGACAAATACAGGACTACACACACATACAGGACTACACACACACATACAGGACAAATACAGGACAAATACAGGACTACACACACATACAGGACTACACACACATACAGGACTACACACACATACAGGACTACACACACATACAGGACTACACACACATACACGACTACACACACATACAGGACTACACACACATACAGGACTACACACACATACAGGACTACACACACATACACGACTACACACACATACACGACTACACACACATACAGGACTACACACACATACAGGACTACACACATACAGGACTACACACACACATACAGGACAAATACAGGACTACACACACATACAGGACTACACACACACATACAGGACAAATACAGGACTACACACACATACAGGACTACACACACATACAGGACTACAGGACAAATACAGGACTACACACACATACAGGACTACAGGACAAATACAGGACTACACACACATACAGGACTACAGGACACATACAGGACTACACACACATACAGGACTACAGGACACATACAGGACTACACACACATACAGGACTACAGGACACATACAGGACTACACACACATACAGGACTACAGGACAAATACAGGACTACACACACATACAGGACTACAGGACACATACAGGACTACACACACACACAGGACTACAGGACAAATACAGGACTACACACACATACAGGACTACAGGACAAATACAGGACTACACACACATACAGGACTACAGGACAAATACAGGACTACAGGACTACAGGACACATACAGGACTACACACACATACAGGACTACACACACATACAGGACTACAGGACAAATACAGGACTACACACACATACAGGACTACAGGACACATACAGGACTACAGGACACATACAGGACTACACACACATACAGGACTACAGGACAAATACAGGACTACAGCACACATACAGGACTACAGGACAAATACAGGACTACACACACATACAGGACTACAGCACACATACAGGACTACAGGACACATACAGGACTACACACACATACAGGACTACACACACATACAGGACTACAGGACAAACACAGGACTACACACACATACAGGACTACACACACATACAGGACTACAGGACAAACACAGGACTACACACACATACAGGACTACAGGACACATACAGGACTACACACACATACAGGACTACAGGACAAATACAGGACTACAGGACACATACAGGACTACAGGACAAATACAGGACTACACACACATACAGGACTACAGGACTACAGGACAAATACAGGACTACAGGACACATACAGGACTACAGGACAAATACAGGACTACACACACATACAGGACTACAGCACACATACAGGACTACAGGACAAATACAGGACTGCAGCACACATACAGGACTACAGGACACATACAGGACTACACACACATACAGGACTACAGGACACATACAGGACTACACACACATACAGGACTACAGCACGCACACATACTTTACAGGACTACAGCAGCAACACACATGGGTACACATACCAATGAGGTCTTGTAATATGTATTTAACCTGCCTCCACCGTCTTGAGCTTTGAGGTGCGTTCCATTTAACTGGGAACTCTGAGCTATGAATGACGTACCACCTGAGTTAACCGCATCCCAGTTGCAAGTCAGACAAGCAACATGGATGCCCCCAGGAGTACCTTTGTTTTTTTCAGCTAATACCAGGTGATAACAACTCACTACTTAATGGGTTGCGCACAAAAAAACATTACGACACGTCTACAGAGATAACTTGCACAATACTCTCAGTGTGACTGATTTAATTACTGTAGACCAAAAGAGGAGTAAGCTGCTAATGAACACAATAGTTCCAGCTTAAACGTTACTGTTCATGCACCGTGCAGCCATGTTTGATTTTAACTCGGGTTACAGAAGCTTCTTTGAGTTTCTAAGTCAGAATTCCCTTCAAGGGGCGTTCACTGACAACTCAGAATTTCCAACTTCCTCAAAAGACTTATTTAATGGTACATTTGTCCGTTCTTATTCTGATTTATCCTTTTCAATCTGTTTTATTTCAATGTAAAACACAATGTGTGTCTGTCAGGAGCTGTTCCTGTTCACAGGACGTGTTGTGTTGGCTTGCAGGTTTATCCTCCTGAGCCAGAGGAGTATAGGATAGCTGTGTTTGACCTGCTCTCTGATGGTAGACAAACTGCTCATGTATGTTGTCGTTCCGTCATTTTTATCAGCAGCATTTGAAGAATGAAGTCATAATTCCTCTAAAATGTGATGATAGGGAGCACATGAGAATCAAACAATTATCCTGATTAAAATCCAGTGTGTGTCTGTCTGCTGAGCATCCAGTCCAACAATTGTCCTGATTACTATAAAAGAAATCTAAAGATATTTGATGATGATACTTTGATTTTATTTCACCTTAAAAATAGTTTAAAGCAAATAACACAATATTGAATCAGTAGCAGTCAGATAATTTATGTAGATTTAACTTGAACATTGTATCTAAATTAATGATGATGCAGTTTTGTTGATGTTTCACGAGTTAATCATGGGATATGTTGAACAGATATATTCACTTTATTTTACCTGTAATGCATCTCTTATCCACCAATTGATCTTTGATCACCGATTGAATTTGATCATTTTGTCCTTTATAACACTCATTTACTGAACTTAAAGGTACAGTCTGTAAATTTCACCACCAGGGGGCTCTCAATCAAAACAATAACAAAAGATGAAGTCAAGGCTGACGGGGAATCATGGGAGTGATTCTCTGCTACATTCAGCAACAGTACGGCAGCTCTCAGTAGCACTTCCCGCTTCCTTATTCGGCAGTCTTTGACGTAACATCCTGATCAGCCTTCAGTATCTGTCATCATCTGACAAGAGATTAATGTTCCCCCAAAATGCACTGTCCTGTCTTTCTGTCATCCTGACAATTAAAACCCCTCACACTGCAGCTGATCATCCCTTCATGCACACAACAAAATGAACATGTTCAAAATGTACTCGTCTCCAGCTTGAACCCGTCCGACAATGACATCTCTCTCTCATGATACATCCTGAAATCTGATTAATGACCTTTTGCTGCTAATGTACAGATTTCAGCTTGTTGTACATAAATGTGACTGACATACTCTTCATCTTGCAGAGTCTGCCTCACATCACGGTGCAGTCAGCCAGCATTGAAGAGGGTTTGAGCAAACATACACATCCAGTAAGTCCCTGAACCCAAAAAACACTTAGTATTGGTGTGAGTAGATAAATGGATGGGGCTGCTGTGGCTCAGTGGAGTCGGTCGTCTCTCAACCGGAAAGTCAGGGGTTCAATCCCCAGTTCCTGCACTCACATGTCTGATGTGTCTTTGGGCAAGATACTTAACCCCAAATTGCTCAAGCTGCTTCAGTGTCAGCGTTAGAATGTGTAAAAGCGCTCTGAGTAGAAAAGCGTAATACAAGCTAAAGTCCATTTACCAAACAGGGATAGGGGGATGTAGAGATGGATAACGATGTATTGAGAAAGGTAAAGATATACAGATAGTGGAATAAATGATTTATTTGACTAATGCATATTAACGTCTAACTTGAAAGAGGTCACTTGTAATGAGCACAAAAGATTCTCCCAACCTCACAGCAGTAGGAAGGTTTGAAGTGTATTCCCTCACACTCCTTTGTTCAGCTTCATTTGCATTCAGTAGTTTATTCTTTTAGATAAGCTCTAACCAACTGACATTATTTCACATGACTAGCACCATTCAGCTGACAAACACAGTCAAAAACTAGCTTTTAAACGTAGTGTCTTCCTTATTTGAAGTTGGTCTAAATAGTCACGAGTACCTTTTGTTGTCATGGTTTCCCTCTAGGTTCCTATTGAGGAAATCCTTCCTCCTGATGTCCATACAGAGAGTCCCAGGTCCTTTTCCCTCCCACCGCCTATCATCCCAGAGATGGAAGAGTCCACCCCTAGCCCTGTTAGCGAAGCATCGAGCGGATACATCTCGACAAGCATATCCACTGCAACTTTATCAGATGTATATACGCTAAGCTGGGACCTTCCTCCGTCATCTGGCTTTGAGGCAGTTCCAGATGAAGAGGAAGAGGAAACTAAAGGCACACAGTCTCTGCTGGTTTCAGACAAACAGCCAGCCGAAGAGAGGACCGACTCGCTACCATCCAGACCACAGGATAATCTGTCGGATTTGAACTGGAGTCAACAAGAACAACATGAGTCACTTTCTGACCAGTTGAAGGAGCAAAGCGAGTCTGATTCATCTGAAGAGTCAGACTTTTCGTTCCAGACCGAACTGAAGCAAGACTCTACAATTGGCCATACTGGATTAGAAAGAATGGACAGTTCAGACCTGCCTAACCCTTATCCTTTAAAAATGGAGGAGACAGAATTCTCTGCAGACCACTCACAAGCAGAAACACCCCTAACAGAAGAACTTTACCTAGCAACCACAGACCAAACAGAAACTGAACTGCCAGTCCACTACGAAACCCAACCGTCTTCACAAGAAAGTCAAGATCAGTCTGAAACGATCATCCCTCACCCCCAGCAACCTGAAAATGACCAAAAAACCTTGGACAGCATTCAACAACCAGCTCTGAACATCGTCCCTGATGTGTCTCAAGTGCTGGGTCCTGATGCTTCCCAATCCGGAGATCTTGCCCCTCCAGCTTCTTTTGAGGAACAAGCCAATCCTCCTGTGGACCTGAGCCCAAATCCAACATCCACCCTCACTTCTTCATCAACTACAGAAGAAGCTCAACAAGATGAACCTGTCAGTTTGTCTAGAAATGCTACCACAGCTCCAGATCCTTCTATGTCCACTATTAAGCCTTCAAAACCAGATGCTTCAGCCGCAAACCCCTTCAAGATCCAGAAAGTCAAGTCTTCAGATCTCAAGTCTTTTCAGGGAATTGTGGGTGAGGAGGAGGACAAGACAATTCAGATGGGCCAGGACAGCAGCCTTAACTTGTCATTGCCGATGGAAAACCTGGAGATTATTTCCGATTCTGAAGAAGGAGATGCAGCAGCAAATGCTATTCTTCCCGACTGGTTGAAAGAAGGGGAGTTTGTTACTGTGGGGACCAATAAAAGTGGCACCATCCGTTATGTTGGACCCACTGATTTTGCAAAGGGTACCTGGGTTGGAGTGGAACTGGAAGTACCAGCAGGTGAGTAAACCAGCTGCTCTTGTTTGTTTATTTTTCTTTATAGGTAAGCTTCTGGGTCCAATAATCAAAAGGACAGATGTAAAGAGACAGGAAAGTTAGGGGAGAGTTCAGGGGGGGCAAAGAGTGTTAGGATCCAGAATCAATACTGCAACCAGACAGTAGCGTCTGAATATGGGACGCCTGCTCTCTCAACCGAGCTAAACCGGAGACCCTTCTTGATTTCTTATGCACTGTAGATGCTTTAAATGCTTGTATTGCATTCTTCGAATACGCCAACACTTTGTATCTCAAACAAATCTTTCTCTATCTTTCTTCAGGAAAGAATGATGGATCAGTTGGTGGCAAGCACTACTTCCACTGTAACCCTGGTTACGGTGTGCTGGTAAGGCCAAGCAGGGTCAGTCAGGGTGGTGTCAAGCGTCGTCGCAAGCAGCAACAGCAAAAGCGCCACAGTGCCCACTTGTCTGGATCAAGCCCCAACCTGGCAGTCCTTACCGCTCTAGCCAAAGGTGAAGGGGGTGGTGCAACAACCGGCCGCAGCAAAGGAGACAACCGCAAGTCATGGAACACTTGAGAGGGTCAATGTTCGCTAAATGGCTAATTGATGGACACTTTGGATGGATACATTTTTAAACATTCATCTCCTTTCGAGAGTGTATGCTTTATCTTGAATCTTGATGCCTTCCCAGTATATTTTGTGAAATAAATCAAGTAATATTTAATGTTTTATTGGAAAATGTGTACTGTTTTAGTTTTGTTAATGACAATTTCTATCCAATTGATGTATTTTTTTATGGGTAGCAGTGGAAAACAATCAAAGGAGACTCTCAAAATCAGCACATTTTTTACTTCCATATGTTGTGTTAGTGCCAGGGGAAAGTTTATTTGCATTATGATATATTCATGTTAAGTTCACTGGATTACTCATCACTGTGAAGACACCTTATTTCATGTGCTCATATTTCTACTGTATATTGTGCAGCTGCTGGTTGGATCAACCTCCAAGTATTGTGGATTCAATACACCGGTTGGTATTGTGAAAGTATGTGGTCGTTTTGATCCAGTGCCTTGAAATGTTTCTCATCAAAAGTGCCTTAGAGGAAGTCCACCAAAGATTGTGCTGCTGGTGGTTGAAATGTGTTAACTGGAGCTTATTTTGATGTTTCAGAAACTATTTCAATTAACAATTTTAATACGCTCCAAGCAAGTATGACCAGATCGATTGGAGGTGGCTTTTAAAGAACAGTGATGTGTGGCAGTTTTTTTGGACTGTGATTTTTTCATTAGCAGGTGATTGGCTCTTCGTGTGTATGAGAACTTGTTGATTTGTATGTGAAAAGGATTCTTGAGGGATTGTGTTGGTTGTAATGAATTAAAGTATTACCTTGTGTCTGGTAAATCAGATTTTATACTTTTATGCATTCAAGTTGTTTGAATTCAAGTTTTGAATGCTTATTTATTTAAACAGCCACATGAAACTGAAAATGAACTTTATATATTGTTAAATAAATATAATTCTGCTCACATCAACCAATGCGTGATTAATCCTAAAGGTACACTCTGTATGATATCTACTGAATTAAATTAGAAATTGACCTTACTGTATCACCAGACATTAAAGAAACATGCGTCAACAACACAACAGCCAGTATCTCTGATTCCGGTACAGAATGGTTTGTTTTTGTTTTGAGACGGCAGTTTCATGACCTCCACCAGGCAAACAGCAAACCAACAGATGAACGCGGGAGAGCTGGATCAGATATAACTGATTCTACCTGACCTACCAAGACCGATACAGACCTGGCTAAACACTGAAGCTTCTTGTGTCATGGCAATCTGCGTACACATTGACCCTACGGAGGAGGGGGACAGGTGGAGACAGCTCCCTTCAATGTTTTGAATTTGGACTGCAGTACCAATTTTAAACACTAGGTGCCAGATAGGGCAAAAAAAAACTCCTGATATTTCCAGGGGGAGCTGTAAATGTGAACGCAAACAGCCAAATTTTTCTTTCAGTCTTAAGAGTTTCTCCTGCTAGAACCCTAGTATTTTTCCGCAGCAAGTACGTTTGAGCTGATGTGAGAACGCTGCAGGATAATCTCTGGAGAATTCAGCTCAAGCAAGTTGGAGGGGGAGTAATGTTACTGAGATTGCTGCACAAGGCATAGAATGTATACCATGTAGACCACTATGATCTGTGTACCTAATTAAACGGCTGCATTATTGCTGCTTCGTCTAGTACTTCCGTTTTTTTTTTTTTCGTCAAGTCTTACCTCAGGAGACCCCCTTCTGTCTGACAGGGATAGTCTCCCGCTGTGAGGAGCATATTTGAACAGCCAGGTCAGGAGAATATCCAGAGCAGTCCTCCTGAAATTATATAGATATTTTCCGGAGTGCAGATGTGAAAATTGCTAGTTACATATTGCTCCTTTAATGGATGCGTTTTGAGACAGTAAACTCAGAAAAAGTCTCTTTGATATAGCTTTATTCTCTTGTACATTATATATATCATACTAAAATAAACACAAGTTAAAAAAATGAACAAAGAAACTGTACAAAAAAATGTATATATACTACATCTTAATTACAGAACAGTCTACTGTCCAAAAAAGGCACTAAATTCTGAAATGGGCAATACAGTAATTTGAAACATAACTAGAGTTGAGATTGATAAAAGAGCATTCAGTCCTCTCAGAGCTATATTTGGATGAAGTTGATGGTGTTTTCACTGGGAACACAGAAGGACATGTAGACATGTTGACCCTGACACCACAATAGGACACACCCCATCATAGTAAGCACTACCACTTTGAGTATACATGACACCGGGTGGGGAAAACCGTCTCAGTTTCCTGTTTAGAAAAATCTGTTTCAAGTAGTCTCTTGACAAAGTACAGAGTCCAAACTGTTGAGCACCTGAAGCTTCGCTCCCATTCTGTCAAACTCTAACGCTCACATAAAATACTGCTGCATTAAAACTTGCTAGCTAATTGGGCCATGGCATCTCTAAAAACACGAAGGCAAATAATTTAAAAGTGTCTTATAGAGAGAAACATAATCTCTAAATGCATTCTTTGTGGTCTATTCTTTCTTCACACCAATCATTTCCCAATTCGTAAACTTCCAATAAATATTTTTGTCAAAGGAGAGAACGCCACACCAAACGCCAAACTCTTGATCCAAAAACTGTGTTGGCCTGTTTTGTTTTTAGAATTAAAATGTAGATTTCTGTCAGTCGTCATGCAGTCAGTGTGCTCCTCAGTTCAATCTCGGCCATTTTCCTGAGTATTGGTACAGTTCATGACATGGAGCACATTTTATGAAAGCAAGTAATCGTAACACTATCCTGTTGTTTTTCGGATAAATCTGACATTATGTCAATGGACCGAGACAGAAGTCAACATTGCATGTTCTTACAAAGCGGTTTAGAGTCAGATTCGTAGAATGACTTAGGTTATGTCTGGAGCCCGACCGATTAATTGGCCAGCCAATAATATCGGCCAATATTAGCATATCCGGTGACTATTGGTATCGGCTAATTTGTACGCAGATATGCGCTGATATTACTAGATTTATTTACCAGTCAAATAGCATTTCATTTGAGTTACACTGTATTACACTAGCAGTTCTCTTGCTAGCTGTCAGCAGCAGAGGGCACTATCTGGATTACAACAAGCATGATCACTCTCCAGAATGTCAAGCGGTGACGCATGGACATGAGTAACTACTTTCCAGTTGAATAACCATCTTGTCTACCTTATTATGTATATCTTTTCCACAAATGTTGGATAACTGAATTTGGCAGATCAATGCACGAAATGTGTATATGTAAATCTATTGATCTCTACAGATCAAACATAGAGTTATGAAAGATATCGACTGATATATCACATTTTTTTCTCCCCCCAATATCGGTCCCAAAAATCTCATATCGGTCGGGTCCAGGTTATTTCATCTGTCATCAATAAGATCTCTAAGGCATAAAGTCTGTATTCAAGAGTGGTGTTTGGCATGGCGTTATTTGAAGTAGAGGGCCTCAGATATTGGGCTTTGTTTGACTTTGATAAGGCGTGTGAAGCAGCTGTACTGACATGTTGTTTCACACCAGCCCAACAATTGTATATTTGACATTTGCTCCTCCAAGGCAAAAGCTCAGAGGAAGGAAGGTTACATTTTTAGCTTAGTCGACAGTGATTGTTAATAAGGTGCATTATCATTTATCTTTTCAAAAATGAGCTCTCTACCTCAGGAACACAGCGGGAGGGACTGTTGTGCAGCCAAATAAAGGATGACACAACAGCACAATACAGTTCAAATGATAATAGAACAAAAAACAAGTAAAATGATAAAGCATGATTAATTTAACAAGAAAAGGAAATCATGTTAAAACATATTTCATTCTTTTGTACATTACCATTAAAAAATGAGTATAAATACATATTGGTTTTTATCTTTCAAACCTTCTTTTTTTTAACACAGGTCCCAATACTGACTCACTGTATTGTCAGCTTCAAACACACAGGAGCAATAGATTTAAATAGAGCTTTACAAGAATAGAACCCAGGAGCGGAGGCCTTTCTACAAGCAGGATCAAGATACACATTTATTTCATACCTCACAGATGTCCACATGGGACTTTTTTTTTTTTAAACACAGTACTTTGCTTTGTTTAATCCTGCTTGTAGAATATTTTCCCCATTCTCCAAAACCATCATAAAGCCAGGGGGTTCCTGTAAAGCAATAATGTATCATTATGGGAAATGTCAAACTATTGCTTTCATGCCAAGACTTTAAGTGAGAAGATCGATACCACTCTAATGTCTGAATGCTTAAAGATCTAATACGTGTGATATTTACTGAATTAAATCATTAAATGACCTTTATCATCAGATATTAAGGAAACATGCTGTGTTGAAGTGCTGGTTTCTCTGTCAACAATGCAGCAGCCAGTATGTCCAGCGATGTATGTGGGTAAGCAAACTGGTTCATATGTAACTGATACCCATTTTATACACTAGGTGTCAGAGTTACATATTGCTCCTTTAACATGAAGCTACAGTGTGGAGAAAGTTACCTTTGCTTCGCATGAAGACTTTGGGAAACGAGGAACGTCAAGCGTTGGACTTTCTAATGTAAACAAAATCCCTAAGCAACACTTCTACACTTCCACGATATAATACAATAGAAAAGCTGTCGTGTTCAGCTGGGTCATCTGCTTCTGGCTCTGCTTAAAAGCAAAAGCCAGAAGTAAAAAATGTCTTTCACAAGACCCCCAGAAAAGCACATTATAATATAAAAAAAGACACAGGAAGTCATTGTGTCCTGTCACAAAATATCCCAGCTCTTTATCAATCCATTAAACAACAACATGGCAATCTTAAACTTTCTCCTTTTGTATGGCTTGATTAAAAATATGACTTGTTTACGTCTGTACTTGAGATGTGTTAGAGCAGATATTCTACCTTTGGGCTGAGTCAGACGACATTTTTTCCCTTCCGGTCTTCATGCTACGTTAACATTCTCCAGACTGCAACTTTAGTTTGAACCAACAGACATGAAGTGTGACATCAATCTTCTCATCAAACATGGCAGGAAAATGAATGAGCCTGTTTTCCCCCTGAACTGTTTATTCAACTTGTTCACCGTTTGACCAAATGTGACATGATATCAGTGAAGGAACCTTAACGATTAGTGATGTTGAGGAACAGGACCTTTACCTTGAAGGAACACAGCACTTTGTCTCTTCTTATGACTTTATGATTGTATTATGTCAAAGGTGGTTTTGGAAAATGTATACCTGGGTTAAAGAAATGTGGAAGATTTCCCACATATTTGATGGACACATTCCTCTCCTACACATCTGTCTTATGGAATAGATGTGTGAAGGACTTTTCTTTTGTCCATTATCACCACTTCAAATGTCTTTGACCTCCTTCAAAGTGGTTATTTTACCTTTGAGGCTATTATAGACTAAATAAAAACATCACCTTAAAAGTTCTTCTAATTGACTTCCATGTGGATTTAGTCTGCTTTGATACACACAGGGATAAAATTATCTTCTGAAAGCACATTCTTTAGGCCATTATAAAGAGGCAGCGTCACAGAACAAGTCGCAAATAGCTTAGGAATTTGATCATTAAACATCTGGCTGCTAATACCTATCTTTACTGATACAGGCCTGCTTTAGTTTCAACCCCACATGTGACTCCACGCCGGCTCAAGAGGCTTCTCTTTGCAAGAGAAACAATCTCTACATACGCCAGAACTGTCAATAAAAATCACTTTGGATGATTGCAGACACAATTCTTCAGGTTAAATCTTTGCTAAGCCTCTTAGCTTTTAGCTCCAAGCATATTTTCCTTTGGCATTTATGACATTTAAACAAAGCACGATTCCCTCTTATTATATAGCTTAAGTTTGCTTGATTATCACATTGATTCTCGTAGCCTTGAGTACTACATGACAGTGTCACTGGGAGACTAAATATCAAGGCAATAGAGCTCAAACAGTGACCGCCCACTTTTTCGGCGGCTCTAGTTCCAGAAGTAAATTTCCCCATTCAAATCCCCCATTGACATTTCACAAAATCCTTTAATTAAGTGACTGACGCCTGTAACCAAGACAAGCAGCTACCAATACTTAGTGTACTATAGTGTCATTTGATTCAATGCCAAAACGGCAGGAACAGTCGAAAAGGCAATGGAACAACAGGACTGTGTACATCATTTTCTTCTAGAGTCAGGGAACTACCCATCCCACAATCCATTGGGAATGATATCTCTTCTTCTTGAATGTAACTTTAATCATTGTTGAGGGTTGTACTATCTTTTAGTGTGTGTTGTTGAATATGTAAATTACATTCACTGTGACATAACAAGGCTTTTAGAACATTTTGTTTTAGCTAACTAAACAGCTAACCTGCCAGGGAAACTATCCGTTCTCATACAGCGCCATACAGCGAGCTCCACCAATCAGAGACGTTGTTGTGACACTCTGAGATGATCGTGGGTAGTGTAGTTCTTTTCCACTATATTGCGGATAAACCATGTTAATCATAAAACAAAGGAGCACATACCATCGTTTTACACACAGGCAGCTCGTGGTGAGTCTACCATGGATGGTTATGACATTATGGCTAATAATCAAATCCACTATGGAGAAAATGAACAGGATTTTTACTTCTGGAACCACACTGTTGAGCCTTGTATGATTGTTTTAAGTCCAAACGACAAATGTTTTTACAGAGGCAAATGTAGGCGACACTTAAACCACTGCTGCTGTTGAATATATACCTTACTTTAATCTGGCATTTAAACGTACTGTCAGGGAAAGAACGGGTTGTATATAAACCGTATGCAGTAATAGTGTACATATGTGTATGACATTAAGGCTATTTCTTTCTTTCTGACTTGTCAGAGGTTTTCATTCAACAGCAGGTCCTCTGTAGAAGACAGTAACTGGATTGTTTGGATGTCTTGTCTGACCGCCTCTGTGCAGGAGAAGGAGAGAATTAAACCCTAACAGTCCATATTTTCCCTGGACAACGGCTGGAGGCTGCTCTACTTATGAATTGCACAATGAAGGAGGTGAATTTTGAGGAGTATGTAGGTAGGTAGATAGCACACCATGAGGTGAGTGTGACTGAGAACCATTAGAACCATATATATATCATATATACATGTGATTTATTTTTTTCTGAGGTTGACGCTGAGGTTTAATAGACTGAGGATTGGCTCAGAGAACAAGGCTTGAGAGGGAAGGAGAGGGGGTAAGGGGATGGGGAGAGGAGAGATTAGAGGTATCCTGTGAGGAGAGAGTGTATAAAGTGGAGTGAGGGGAGTTCCTGGGAGACACAATCCAAGCCGAGGACCACCCTCTTGAGGATTAAAGGGCCTGGATTGCCAACCTTCTTATTTCTGCTGGACATTTTCTCAGAGATCAGAGGAGATCCGCCAGCTGTTTCAGTTTGGTAGGGGTTTGGGTGGGGATAGGATGTAATAACTGTTTACACGAACTTTGTGGGAGGAGGGAGGCCGAGAGAGATGGAACCGTTAGCAAGTGGCAGGTTGAGGGACAGATTCAAAAGGTTTACTAAGTAACATTATTTGGTCTTTCTTTTCTTTTTTCAAGCTCAGCATTTCCCACCTTTTCCCACTCCTCGTCATATCACTCGTCCCCTTCCTCCATCCCAGTTCCTGTGCAGTTCATTCGTCCTCCAGGGACTCGGTCTTGATGTCGTTGGGGACCCCTCCGGTTCTGGACAAGGCCAGGATGGTGTGGTTGACCGCGGCCATCTCCACAGCCAAAGAGATGGGGTCCTGGTGCTCGCTGTGTGCTGCACCCTCATCCTGTTAAGAGGAGTGAAAGATGGAATACATTTTGAATATATCTTTGAGTTTTCCTATACCTTCTTTTGGACAGTAATGGAAAACTACAACAGCTACAGAGATATGCTGCAGCACAATTAATGGGATTCTGATTAGAATTAATGGCAAAAAACTGAGAAAATTCGACCCAGATAACAAAGAAACAAATGTCTCTAGAATTGCATGTGCTGTGTTCTTGTACTGACATACTTCTGTGTGTGGATGTACCTGTGTTGGCGAGGTGGGCTCCAGTCGGTAAAGGCTGAAAGGTCGACTGAGAGGTCTCTTGTCAAAATAAGGCAGGTCACATGCCTTGAAGAAACAGAATAAGAAATTGACTATGATTAAGAAAAACATTGGGGAATGCAAAGTCATTCTAAATCTTCAGAACAACATGTATTAGTCTTCTCTCACACTTGTCCATCTCAGAAGAGCAGGTGACAACACTGCAGGGCATATTCATTCCACATTAGACAGAAATTCAAACTATCTCTATATACTTTCAGTAGCCTCTACTCGATGGGACAGTTTCCATCGTGTGCAAAACAAGAGACAGTTCAAACTCTTGTTTATCACTTTGAGTTTACGGCCACAATTGTCTTAAAGGTCACCAGTTTAAATAATTCTCAGAGCTCCCCATGTCTGTGGTGTTTCTTGTTCTAAATCCACTCTGATCCTGTATTTGATCATGACCATAAACCTCTCTATTTCAGCCCTGCTTAGAACAGACTGTTTCTGTGTCTGTACCTTTAAATATGTAAATGAGCTGTGTCTGACCACGCCCCCTCTCTCTCATGCCCTATTGTTTGAGAAAGCAGACTCAGAGGGCAGAACAAACACCTAGCTGTGGCAGTGTCACCCACCTGGGGGAGGGGTTACTGCCCTTTGTGATGTCATGAAGGGAAATCTCCAAACAGCCTGTTTGAGCACACATTTTCTGAAAAGTGGAGCAGGCAAAAGACGGAGTGGATGGACTTCTCTTATAATTGGGCGAGTTTGTAGATAGACTAGGGACACATGCTAGTGTTGGAAAAAAAAGATTAAGTGTGTTTTGCATAATATGTGACCTTTAATAAAAGTAAATGATTTCTATATTCTGGGACGGATATATTTGTAAATTTGTTGTTTCTTGTCTTATTGTTTACATTTGACAACAGTTCTGTGCAAGCCAAGCCAGATGGTTCATCCTCAAATAAGCACCACAAGCTATTGATTTCAAATCTCAACACAACTTCAAAGATATGGAAACAGTTTTAGTTAGTCTACAAATGTATTGTTTAGTTGAAAGAAAAGGTGTGTACTATGCATCCATCCTCCTAGTACTGTCTAAAGAATGGATGCAAATGGTTGGCAAGAAGCTAATTCATCAAAACAATGGAAACATATCAATGAATGTATGACACTACAATTAATCATGAAGCTGCAACAGAAAGAGATGTTACCTGTCCTTTAAATCTCTCACAGGATTGTCTGAAACATAAATCTGGTTTTATGTGTCTTTGGGGATTCTTTATCGCTCTCTACCTGCTCTGAGAAGTCATTCCCATCGATGTCATCGCTGTTCGAGTGTCCCCCTGGACTCTGGACATCTATCCCATGACTCTCCAGGATTGTGGCTTCTTGGAGGAAGAGGATGGATTATTAGATTTACGTTGAATAAATAAAAAGAAATATCCATCACTACGCACTTAAGAGCAGCGATTCCAAGCCAGGACTACAAGGGAAGATTACAATCTGACACCAAGATTAAACCTAAACATGAAGAGTTATTGGGGACATTATTAAGTACAGCTGTGTAATATCTTTTACATACTACCATAATACCAACAGACTGACAAGTGGTAACTCTGAGCCTACTCTGAAAGATTCTTAAGATATCAATTTCACAAATATTATAGACTAACAACCCATAAACGGGACAGCTGGCCTCTGGGTGGATATTGACGTGTAGTCAGCTGTATCACCTGAACACTAGGCGTTCCAATAAAGAGAGCATGAATACTAGTGGGCAAGAGAACATAAAAGTGTAAATAGTCAGTGTGAGCAAAATAAGAGAGCAAATATGAATAAGAATGGGTAAATGGTTAAGATAGTCGGCATAAGGAAAAAATTCATTAAATTGTTTGCTAAAAGAAACAAACGAGGCGGCGCCTCCGAGCTAGTTCAGACAGACAAGTCAAGCTGCACTGATTTCACACTTGATGTGTCATTGTCCACAATCACCCGACAACACCTCCTTCCATTTAGCTGACTATTTAAGCTGCCACTGCTCTTCAACACCAGCTTTGACCTGCACTAGTTCTGCACTCTCACTCAGACCCACCATCACCACCTTCCCAGCATCCACCTGTAGGCTCCAAGTTTAAGCTATCATCACATCACTCTTAAATTTCTGCATGTAAATTAAGACGGCAAAGAGTGATGAGGTCGGAGCCTAGACGCCAAACACAAACTATGATCTGCTGCTGCAATAATGATTTTAAACAAATACAAAGGTGAGTTATCTGACTGAACAAAACATAATGCATAGAAATGTAAATAAGTTGCTGAAAAGTCAAAATTCTGGTTGTCATAGCAATATGATACGAGTATGAATCGATGGTAAGCAAATCAACACATAAGAAAATTGTTATCATTGCTGTCATCAGCTATGATCAATATAAAAAGTCATATTAACACAAAGAGATGTCATTAAATGAGCAGTGAACAATCTCATCAATAATGTATGCTCCCACACCAGAGCCACTTTACCAATGTTAGCCCGTCTCTTGATCTCTTTGCGACGATTGGCAAACCAGTTGTAAACTTTCAGGGATGTTACCCTCTCGAGATCCGACAGCTTCTTTCCTGAAACAAACCAAATGAAAAATCTCAAGATTATTGAATCACTTATCTGTTATACAGAAAATTTCAAAACTTAAATAGGAAGCAGATCAAATAATGATGGATGGGAGGCAGACGGTTGTTTTTCTCTAGTACCTGATTAGAAAACGATCAATTTCAGCTGTGTTGGGTCAGGACGTGAATGTCTATGTTTATTTAAGATGGCAACACACAAATATTTTTAAGTCTAAGAAAGAGCATGTTGGCTCAAAACGTCCATTGTCAATAAACCCTTCAAACAGCAGCTCCTTGTTTGCTTCTTTTTACAGGTTTGTGTTTTTTGATCCAGCACCCACTTAAGGAAGTGCATATCTTTTTTCTTTCTTTTTTCAATCTTTAGAATAATATGCAGCAATATTTATACTTAGTAATTTCATATTTTATTCATGATATAATGTCTTAGTAAAGAGTTGTGTTGTGTGGTACACAAAGTTTTACCTGGTTTCTGAATGACAGCGTTGCAGGCGTTTGCTATCTCTTCCCGTTTGGCCTCATCTGGGTACTGGTTGTCGTTGAAGTAGCTATAAATAGCAGCAGAGTCACACTGATTAAATTAATTTGACTGCAACAAGGGCGATGTCAACAAATTTGAGCTACTGCATTTATTATGTATCCGGTACAACCAAGCCAATATTGAGACTTGAGTGGCGAGAGACACAGGCTCATTGTCCAGCCTTTACATGTTTCAACTCCATGAGGAAATAACAGAAACACGTTTTGTTTATCAGCTTTCATTTACTGCCCTCTGCCTCTTCCTCCCACGCTCACCTCTCCATCACAGCCAGGCACTCTTTCCTCCAAGTGAAGCGGCTTCCTCGGCGCAGCCGGAAGGTACCAGGGGCAGTGGTGAGAGGGGGCGGGGTTTGCCTCCACTCCATCTCCTCCATGGGTAATGGTGCTGGCCGCATGTTCAGAGTGGCCCCTTGGGAAGGATGCAGAAGAAATACTGATGTGTTACAACTGAAGATGGCATACGAGCTGTAAAAGGTCAAGCTGCATAAAGTGTTAGGCCTAACGTGTGTTCACAAACTGTGATGGCTTTACGGATAAACTGAGAAGAGCAATCAAATGTATGAAAATGTATACAACAATGCAAGTCGCCAAATACATTCTGATTATAAACTCAACTACAGAGTGCTGACAAAGACTCTGCTAACTCATCACCACAGCAGAAAAGACCAGGCTTCACTTCCTCTCAAAGTCTTTAAAGGAAGCTATAAGTTCAGATTTATGTGTAGTCGGCCGTAATTATTTTATCTGACACGCACATTTGAAAAAGCCATAAATAGTTTGCCCTGCGGCTGTCCCGCTCAACAGAACAGTATGAATGGAGAATCAGTTCTCCCTGCAGCAGTGACGGAGGAGTGGTTGCATCGTGGGCTGAGCTGAGCTGGGCCGGGCTCAGTTTGGCCATAAATAGCATGGAGCACTTTTCCTCTGCTGTCGCTGTTGGCAGGGCTCCACCGAGAAACATGCCGCAGAGGACAAGGCGTGGAATGTCTGCTGCCTGACTATAGGTTGATACAGCGCACACATGCATTCACGTACCAGTATGATGTTGAGCCCTCTCTAGAGCTTCTGTTAACTGTTTACAGTCAAGTTTGGAAGGTCGTGTAAGACAACAGACTCATCTTTTGACCGTGCAAAACTTTTTTTTTGCTTCTGCAACAACAAGATTAAACCATTTGGTTAAGCAAGAGTTAAGGTTTATTTACTTTGTGCCAGAAGCCAGACACCTGTGTAAAAAGACAGAAAGGTGTAGACCCAAGACATGACACTGGGCTTTGCCTTTAAACTGGAATTTGTAAACATTAGACTCTGATATGAGAGTTATAATTCTTGAATTCTTGACATTTGAGTGTCGAGTCCTTCTCAACATGCCTGATTTGAGGAGAGCCGCATTCCGCTCCCATGTATGCTGAGAGTTGATCATGGAAGTGACAATAAATTGAATCTTGAATAGATTCAGTAAGAAGTGTAGTAAAGATCACTATTTGTTCACTATTTTGTTTCCTTTCACTTCCTCTTTTTTCCTACTGCACCTCCTTTAGTACACTTCCTGGTTTCTCACTTTCTCCTCTCCCCCTTGATTGGTTGTTGTTTGCACTCTGGCACTAATTGATTAGATTGAATTCACCTGCCTACTCCTGATTTAAGACTGCACTCCCTTACAGTCATGTTTTCATCCTCACATGGGGCAGCAGTTCAGCAATGGTAAGGTAGTTTTCACTCCTCTTTTAGTTACTATTTAGTCCATCGTAAGTACTTTATTTATCATTAATTCATTTCAGAAAGTAATGTAATTTGCTCTTTTATTGTACTAATAGTATTTTATTTTGTCTTTCAGCATGGATGTTCAATCCCATGTGTGTCTTATGTTACCCTTATGATTCACCTAACTTGAAAAGAAATAAACCTGTTACATAAAAATCAAGTCTTGTTGGATTCCTGCATCCTGACCCGATGCCCCCCCTATGGTGATAGTACCTGAAATCTGAACCCTTCTTAACAAGAAGGTTAGACAAAAACTGACAGGCCAATCATAATCCATTTATATTCCTCAAGCAACACAAAAATCCATTGGTTTGTGATTTAAACAACTCAGTTTACCTGCTATGATTGCCATGGCAACCACTTTACTGTTGCTGTCTTTGATGTCTCTATATATGGATTGGTTGCATTAGTGGTAGTTCCCAGACAGTTTGTTGTCATTATTTGTGTTGACAATGAGAACAGCTGCCTGGTTTTCTGTTTGCTTGTGAAGCATAAATCAAGAAGGTGAAGCTTGTGATGCTGGAGACAGGGTGAACGGTTAGGGAGGCGAAAACATTATTACTACTTGTACTACTTGCATGAAAACAATGTGCACACACATGGTAGAAGCCCCACTGAAGGATTTCACAAACATTGATTTATGAGAATGAAACCATTGTGACAAAGACATTCCTGCGTGTGACGGCCCTGTGTCCAGTTAGGTTGTGTCTTCTTCTTCTCTTGTGTAGCAGGTACATGTAATTGGTAAGTGTGGCTGTCAAGTCAGCCTGACTGAGAACACCTTGGCCTGATGTGCACAGTCATTATGAAAGCAGCTTCTTAAGTCTGCTCGGGGAGACTTTCTGCATGCATTTGTTTCGTAACTTCGTCTTCCTTTTCTATGCAAAACACATGGACAATACATTTGTTCACACACCAATTCACTTACACTACTGACTCTTCTGACATCTTAACCTCTTCTCTTTTAGAAATGAAATGTATGTTTTAGTAAATAAACTAGCATTTAAGTGTTATTTTGGTGCCTCTCCCTTTCTATGCCATAGCCTTTGAGCCGGTCATGACTACCTGATTTAATTCATTTTAAAAAAGCAAAGTGGCTTTTAACTCTCCCTGCACGTCATCCCGGTGCTGGTAAACCCTGTGGCTGCATTTGTACAGGTAATGAAGTGGCTACAGCTGCATTGCACTTTAGTTACAGCTAACTGTAGTGTGAGACACGGCTCAGGCTTTACAGACAGACCGTGATGGGCTCTCCAGACCTATCTGTACAGATCATCTTTAAAAACTTTACCCAGAGAGTCAGGAGGGAGCAGTGCAGACAGGAAAAGACTCTGGTGTACCTGGGGTTGTTTTCTCCAACGTGTACCAGCGGTAGAAGGCCCTTTTCTTCTGCTCACTCAGGTCGGAGCCATGTTGCAGCAGCCAATGGGAGATCCTGCTCTGGCTGATGCCTGGAAAGCAGCCAGAGATCAAGTGACAACATTAGTGTTTTCTTGCATCAGGCTTTGGGACCATCTGTAGTCCAGCTTTAGAAGAGTTTGAGAGAAGGGATACTTTAGGGAGACATTTTTTCTTCTTCACAAGCTGCAGCCACAGAAACACCATCGGGTACATGAATGTTCATCTCCTGGTGGCTTGATATTTCATGGGACTAGTGCTGTCTTGTTGAATAGTATATACTTGGTTTGTAAAGGATAATAGGAAAACATTTTGACTGACATTATTTGTGTTGGTTATAATTCTCCTGTTAAATTACTGTACATTACAACCTTAAAAAAGTAACATCCATTTTTTAAACCCATAACCTATACATATGGAAATGTTGTTTCTCTTAAAAGTTTAAGACCTGGACAGGTTTCAACATCACTCTTCCATTAGTTGGATACATGTTCACTCTAAATGGCCAACAGGGTATCCAGTACACAGCCTATATGTTCTCAGGTGCGCATGGTTGCAGGAACATACCACGAAAAGAAATCAATAATCCATGGCACACTGAAAATGACTTTACTTTGAGAACCATAAAGTCAGTATTTCTGCAAAGGAAAACACCTAACAACAACAGCATGGTTTCACACACACAACGTGTCAGTATTTCTTCGTACCTGTAACTTGTGCCACCACTGCCTGAGAGATCCTCCTGTTTCCAAGGAAGGCTTTGATCTCCTCTTTCACCATGCTGCTGTCCCTCCTGTGTGACAGCACAGCAACACTGTAAACTAATGTCAGCTGCACATTCTGAAAACAAAGCTGATATTTGACACAGAGGAAGCCCTGATGAAGATGGGGACGAGTTCAAAAGCACCTCAATAATAGCAAAAGAAAAGAGTTTGGAAGAGCAATGCAGTTTTTGTAAAGAACAAGGACTTGAATTTCTTTTTTATGTAACATAAAAATGTTTAAATTTGGTGCTTCATCATTTGCATAGCATTAACATCAAAGCTTGAGTGTTGTATGCTTTCGTCACTAGAGTCACTTTAAAACAAGTTCAGATCATCTGATTGGTGTATTGAACAAACACTCATTAATGTTATTTAAGTTTTATATTTTGTCTTCCATCTTTTGATTGGAGTCAGCATAACCGAGGCTCCATTTTAACCGGCTGCGCATTCGACGACACTATCGATGTTATGCTCCTTTTTTATGGCTGCTGTAATCAGTTTTGCATCTCGGAGAAACACAAAGGCGACGACTGTGTGAAGTGAATTGAACTGAGCCACTATCTAGTCATCTATATTTCCTATCTGGGGAACATGTTTCCATTTTAGTCCTTGGCAGGGGGAAAACATAAACCATGCACAGACTTGCAGGGATGGAGGGCGCTGAGTGAACATGTGCAGTCACACAGTGTACCCACCCTGCTTTCTGGCTTCCAGCCCAGACCCCTTATACATACCCAGCAACATACACTAACATACACTTCCACAAGTGTATGACAGTCCTAGCTTCATTTCTTACTGTGCATACTTTGTATCCCCATTCGGGGCCTACCGCCACCACACTTCAACAGCATTGGTACTCAAACCATATATTTACAACATCCTTTAAATGAGTCATGTTCCAAGAAAGAGTCAAAATGGAGATCTCATCAAAGCCCCGAGTGCACCGACTGCTCGCATATTCTAAACTAAAATGCGTCACAACTCTTAACATACAGCATCAATATCCTCCACACTAGCCTCTTGTGGCGCAGCTAAAATTAGAGCTCAAAAACGGTGCTTGTATCGACACAAGTGAATCAATGTAGCACAAGCTGCTGTACAAGACTGAGGAGAGTGGGAAGTGGAGTAAGGAGGAGGAGGAGAGGCGGGGAGGGAGGGAGGGTTGGGATGTGCTGGATGCCAGCTCAAAGGCCGAACCCCTGCAGAGACGGAAATGTGCACTTAAAGAGAGAAAAATCTGAAGGGCACAGTGGAATTGTCGACAAGCTGAAACCTTGTGTCACGCCCCCACAACCCTGCCGAGAGAGAGATGCCAGAGAGCCGTACAGGCTGAGAGGATGCAGGCTTTTCAACGCTTCTTAACTTCTTGGGCTGTCTAAAGAGGACATGTCATTTAATGCAGAGGCGGCAATGAATGAATGAGCAGCGGGACAGCCAGTGCAGTGCAGGAGGATCGAGCCTGAGCTCTAATGTCTTTTCTTATTCTGAACATAAAGGGAGGCTGGACGGCAGCCGGAGCAGAGGGTAGAGGGCTTTGAAGAAGAGAGAAGATGGCCAACATGTGGACAGCAAATAACCATCCAGAGCTAAAATAATGAAGAATGCTATTTAAACCTAAAGTTACTGTTGGTGTCCCTGAATCTTATTTCATGTGTCTGCCTGGTGTTTAGGTTTCTCATCCTTCCTCATCTTTGAAATGTCACATTGAAACCTAAGGCTTTTCAATCATCGAGCACATTTTCTCTAACAGAATCTTTGTTGGTAATTGTGATGATCTCAACAGGAACGCCTTTATGCTCGTGTCTGTGGTGTAAATCTCCTCCACAGGATGTAGAGCTTTAAGTAGAACATGCTGTACAAGATAAATGTTCAAATCACGTTTGTCACATGGTCCCTCCTGTGCTAAATAAAAACTGATGGAAGCCTGGCCCACAATCTTAAAAAGACAGTATCCGTTCTGACACTTTTATGGGTCTTGTTCAATCGTACACCTTGAGGGTCGTTATTTTTCCGTCTCTTGATCTGAACGATTCAAACAATTAAAAAGCAACTGCCTTTAAATATTAAGTATTTTAAAAGGCACAAAATAATGACAAGAAGGCAAACTCAAGCTGTGTTCACGTATGCACTCATTTAAACTGAAATCTTCTTGAGTTGCTTGTTCACACATGCACCTCACAGCAGGAGACTGACAGGAGGAGGGGGGGGGGGGGGGGGGGCAACAGAGTCACACACTGCTATTAGAATTGTTGCCTTATATCAAAGCTTGACGTAGTCAGAAAATGTTCGCGTGCATCCAGTCTATGGTCGCACAGTTGTGCACCGGTCACAGGATACAAACGTCACCAACCCCTCAACCTCGCTCACAGTGAATATTCCTTATATTTGCTGCTGCATTCTCACATCAGCTCAAACACACTTCACACCGAAAAAATGTACTGGGCAAAAAGCTGAAAAAATTCCCGGTACATTTTGAGGGAAAGATGTGGCTGTTTGTATTCACACTTGCAGCTCATCCCAAAAAAATGACAGGAAGTATTCAGGAGTTTGGTGGAAATGTGATCGATCGATATATAAACTTTTTGGTGAAGAAGTTTTCTCGATTACTGTTTCTTAGCGCAAAGATACACTATGAAACCTTAGGTTTTTTTTTTTACAGAGCTTGGTTGAGTTCAGAGTGGACCGTCTAATGAAGCAGTTTCCAGAAGACATGGATAACGGCTTTAGAGGTTCTTTTAAGAAGCTGCTTTAGTTCTTTCTCGTATCTTTAAAACACAAGAGCACTTTTGTGAATGGCTCATCATGAGTATGACCATAATGTGTTCAATCAGTGTGTGTTCAAACAGAAAAGTCTTCAAGTTAATCAAGGGAGGCATTCTTAATCACAGAACAGATACTTAAACATGTTTGATGTTCACAAGCTAAACCAAACTATGTTAAACAAATGACTACAAGTGAAAGTTTCTCCGCCCTTCTTACTACTGACCTCATCAGCTCCTCCACCTTATCATCGATGTCCAGGTCTTCTTCTGTAGCTTCAAACCCAAACGCTCGCGCTGCAGCTGCGCTATTAACCGGGTACCTCGGAGGAGACAGCTTCCCGTTGGGTGTGGCGGCCAGGCTATCCCGGCCGTTTTGTGATAGAGCCACCAGTGAGACGGGCGAGGGCAAGATGGCTGAAGGCGGTGGCGGCCCTGGAGGAGGGGAGGTGTCATAGCTGTTGCTTTGAGATGGTGAGAGTCCCCCACCACTGCCAAACTGCGTCTGCGTGGCTGTGGAGATTTTGGAGGTCGTGGAAGAGGCAGCAGCTGCAGAGTTGTCACTAGTGCTGGCCTCGCCGTTGTTGTTGTTGCCATTGCATGACACGGAAGAGGTGGTGGTTGCCGAGGCAGTGTTGTTATTGTTGAATGATGTAGTATTATTAGAGGCAGAGTTGTTGTTTGCCCCGCCAACTCCATAGGAGGACGAGGACGAGGAGGAAGAGGAGGTGCGTCGGCCAAACTTGTCACCGTGCTCCCGGTCCAGCCGGTCCAGAGTGTCAAGTGCGTGCAGGATCTCCTGCTTGGTCATGCCGGTGCGACGCAGCCGCTGCAGCAGATCTATCTGCTCAATAGTGAAGCGCGGCTCCTCACTGAATTCAGACATCCTGCTGCTGGATGAGAAAGAGACAGACAGGTGAGAGTCAGAGGAGAGAGAAGATGAAGGAAAAGGAAACAGGAAATGCTGGAGGGAAGTTAAGGACGGGAAGTAAGTAGGTGTTTAATATCTAGGAGGGAAATGAAAGGAGGAGCAACAAAAGACAGTCAGGGAGAAATGAGACAGATGGAGGGATGGTGGAGGTAAGGAGGAAATGAGAGGATTAAGTAGGAAAACATTTTTTTTTTTTAAAAGAATGCAGTTGCAGATGGTGAGAAAAATGAGATTGATTGGAAGAGAGGAGTGAGGGAGAGAACGGCCGCGGAGAGGAGTTAAAGGAATAAAGTTGCAGGGAGGATGGGAAAGAGGAAAGAATTGCTGGAGGACAATAAAGGCAGCAGATAAGAAAAGGAAGACAAGAGCAAGAGATAGAAGTGTGAAAGAAAAAGGGAGGGAGGGGCAGGGCATAAAAATCTGCTATTTTTGGGAACCAGCAGGCAACACGCAGAGTGCCAGAGTCACCTTGACAGCTGATGCTATCTTAACATTCTGACTGCCGTTCTTTAAGAGCTACAATATATCCCCGGCTCTGCACACCACCCACGCTGTATGTTTTTTCATAAGCAATTTGCTGTGCTCAAAATCAATGCAACTGGAATCAGACTGCGGCAGAGTTTCCATCTTCTGTACCAGCCGACCTATGCTGATATGATAAATGGTTTAAAAGGGGTCGCTGGCATTTTTTCCTGAATTTGCATTATTCTACGGCTCGCAAAAGACAGGAAAGAAAAATCATGTTATTGTACGCACTGCTATCCTAAGATATCAAGAAGGAAACTAAAAATGGTGCGAACAAGCAGTTAAAGGACTGTGAGAACAAAGTTTAAAAAGAGGAGAAAGATGCTGAGACTTCTTTTTGACGGGGGCAGAAATACATTACATCTTAACCAGAGAGCAGCTTAACTGTGAGCACTGGTGAACATTAACTAGTCTTTTCACTTATTCATGAGCAAGTTTACTGACAATGCAAATCATTTACAATCACAGTCCCAGTTGGCCGTCCCAGTGCATGAGCAAAACTGTATTTAAAATGCAATGGAGAGACGGTTTATTTCAAATAGAATATCATAGTTTACTAAATCAATGCACTGTATTACACACTACAACTTCAATAGTCTGAGACATGTTGTGCTGCCTTTCAGAGGCTCATTATGTGATGCAAACAACCTTGAGTATATCAAATGAGTTCACTTTTCACTTTGGCTCAAGGTGTTTTTCTTTTCTTTTTTTTTTTTTAAATGGTAGAAACACATAGAGCAGAGGTTAACTGCTGCAGGGTAGACAAAGATGCAACCTCAATATAAATCACTGCCCTGCACAAGTTTCCTCTAGTTTTCACTAAGCAAAGACTGGACCAGCGTGCTATTCAGAGGAAGACACAGAAACAAAGTTAATGACTGATCCTGCTTTGATCACCATCAGGACCATTTGGGGAACTCTTAACTCACATGTGGAGAAAAGACAGATTCACTCGGATAAAGCCATCTGTTAAATTAAACATTGACATTTGTCGTGCACGCAAAGAAGACGCTTTCCTAAAGCTGAATAGTTCAGGTTGCATGAATCAATATGTCTCCAGTGTGCACCAAAGTCATTCACTGGGCAGTGGTTTTCTAAAACTGCACACAGTTCCTGATATCTCTTTCTCACTCATGCATTTTGCAGACTATGAGGCCTGCAGTGAGAGCTAAAATCTATCTCTCTTTTGAAGACTGCGGACAAGTCACTTGTGATGCCAGCTTTCACGCCCTTTGCCCAAAAAGCTAGCGTTAGCAGAGGTTTGTAATGCAGCAGACGGACGATGTCTGATGTGACAGAGAATCAAAGCCAGCTCGCCTCCACTCTCTAACCAAAATAATGTCTGTTTCCTGTACAGCCCCAGCTGTGCTGTCAACTCTTCATGGGCATCACAGAGGACAGTTGTCAGCTTAACATTGGAGATTTTGAGTGGTTATTGTGCTTGTGTAATGATTAGCATAACATGCTAGCCATGCCAACGCTGGCACTAGCCGACGTTAGCAGCCGTCGCTGGCTAGCGAACATTTGATATTAATAACATGACTGTAAGTGTTGAAAACAGCTGAGTACATGACTTACCTCGGTTCAAATCGTCCACTTAACCATTTAAATGTAGAAGTCGAGCAAAGACCCGCTGTCTCTTCCACTGCAGCCAAACTGTACAGCAATGTGGTTCCAGTGCCCTGACCGACCCCTTCCCAAGGATTTCTAATCAGAGGCGAATTATTTGCCTCTCCGCTTTGTCTGTCTGACAACAGCCATATTGACAACTAACACCTCCGAGGAGCTCTGAGGGAACTGTAGTTTAACTCCCACTAAAAGCCTTTACCACGCCGCGGCGTCTTTTACACTAAAAACTACAAATCCCTGAGACAAGAGAGACAAGGGGGAGCTCACTGATCTACAGTTATCACAGACGGCGATGCAGTTTTTAATGTGACCACGGGGATGTCTCTGCCCTGACTCCCTCACCCTGCTGCTGCTCACTGAACACTTCAGGTTCATACCATACACTGTTTTATTTACACTCAGTTATTTACAGTCTGCAGTTCATACTGGATTTTTACACCATGTGTGACACTCCCGTGAGATTATAGACACTTTGTTTTGTTTTTATTCCGACCATCCTAACAAAAGGCAAAGGTCACAAAGTAAATAATTACAGTGGAAGGTAGGCAATGCAGGAAGACATGTTGGACACTAAGCTATTTAAGTAACATGTCCGACGAAGGAGTGGGAAGAAGTCAAACCTTGTTAACTTTTTTTAAAACTTTTTTGCAGTTTTACTACATTACAATTTGCCATATTTCATCATACATTTTGTTCATCCTGGTACATTTTTATATATAATTTTTTTTAACATAGAGAATACGGAATATATATAGAAATAAGTAAAAATCCAAAGAAAAGGTACGAAGAGAAAAAGATAATAAACATAGGATTTAGAAAGAAAAATAAGAAAAATAATAAAATTCAAATAAAACTGTAAATAGAACGGGGGAGGTGTTCCTTCACTACTCTCTTAATTTTATTTACACACGTGTTGTTATTCCACTCTGTTTCCTTTATCCATTTACTCCAGTAACACGTGAATTCATCTTTGTTTCTTAGACTGTACGCAATTCTTTCCATTTCTTTAGTATCTTCCACTGTTAACTTCCATGCATTAATAGACGGGGGTTTACCTTGTTCAGTTTTAGTAATAAATCATAACATTTTTAATAGTAACTGAAAGGTCTTGAACCTTAACTATGAGACAGTCTCTGATCTAAATGCATGTTTTGGTTACATGATAAGCCTATGACTCACGTTTAAAGTTTAAGAGTTACATAACACTCACATGAGAACTAAACAAGGGGGACTGGAATCTATGGAGAAAGTCAAACTGCAATCCTTTACCTAATCAACTGTTGACACTGCATGCATTGTCTCAGACCCCCCAAACTGCAAAAAATAGCTTATTAATTTATTTTTAAGATATCATAGTTATCATGTTATTTCTAAAAATCCATACGCAAGAGAATGGCATCAGAAGAATGGCCAGTTCATTTATAGGCTCTCTCATGTATCAGGGTCACTGTTTTAGGTGTAACCTAAATGTTGAGAGCTGAAGCTCATTCACAATCAAAAGGTGAGTTGACGCATGGGAATGAACGCAGCGAGAATGATTCCACTTCAATTTTTATTAGCACAGGTTTTTTCCTTAATATGTCCAGTGGTTTTTCCTGTTTCGGAGACAAAATATGACAATTAATGATTTGCCTTGTTAACAAATAACATTCAATAATTCTTAACAGGCTCAGTAAACAGAAGATGTATAAATTAAACAATCGATCAAGTCTGCCTATGCATCATAAACAAACATAATCACTAAACTCATTCACTCAAACAATAACTCACATGTGGACGCACTCGGCAAAGAAAGGTGGAACAGGTCTTGTCCTTAGGAGAGCAAACTGGGCAATGAACTCTCCTTCCCTTTATGGGAGATCTGATTTGGGGATCTCATTCACCTGTGGCTGATTGCTGCAGCCAGCACAGGTGATTATTGTTGCTCCTAATTGAGCTCAGGGAATCAAGGCAGACATGACATCTTAACAGTCACCTTGTTACTCATGCAGATTATAATCCACTGTAATAAATGTTGTGAAAGTAAAAGATTTTGTGTTACTTTAATACAGTTGCATCTGTTCAGAAATTGAAAAAAAAACGTGTTATACATTGGGGAAAAAAGTGAGGGGGAGTTTAATCTTTAATCAAGTTACAAGGATTACAAATTGAACTATGGATCAGTAACAAAGAGAAGGAGTGGGATTAGAAGAGTTGAGCAGATGTGTATGTAGATGTATCTTTGGCTAAAGGAAACTATAGGGGGAATAAAGATATTTAAAAGATTGGATTTTGATGATATCCTGTGTATTTAATGTTATTCTGTGGTACACAGACCATGAGACAACTTTTGTCCAAAGGTTTTTCTATGAAAATTAGTGGAGATTGTTTTGGACTTGAGATTATATGTTATTAGTCCATCTGTATGGATTAATCCGTATTTGAATAAAGAAGAGATTTTTATCAATTATATCCACTTCAGAAGAAAAAGAAACATCAGTGTTTGATGCGCTACTTGGTTTTTCTAAAACAAAGTCTCTCAACCTGAAGGTCGAGGGTTCGATACCCAGCTCCTGCAGCCATATATCGACATGTCCTTGTGCAAGACACTTAACTCCAAGTTGCTCCTGCTGCTTTGTTGGGGGCGTAAACTGTGAAAGCACTTTGAGTAGTCAGAAGACTAGAAAAGTCTCAAGTCCATTTATCAATAACCTTGCATTAACATCCGTCCTGATCTGATAACAAGCCACTGCTAGCTGTAGATGCATCCCAATGTGTCATGAGGACAGACTGTGATCTGACAGCACATAAGGAGGTAGTCCAGCACACATTTATCTGCATTGGTTTGGTAGTGTAAATGCTTGTGTGTCCTGGGCAGCATTAAGGACCCCTGCTGGGTGTAAACAATGATGCATTATATTTTTACAAACGGTCGGGCAGGGAAATTCGTGCAGATCTCGAGTAAATGAAGATACTTTTTTAATGCAAAGTGTGAACACCTGTACTTAAGTGCTTTTCTATGGAATCAGATGTTTTTCAAATGTTGAGTGAGCAATTAAACATACTCATGAGCAAATCATATTGTTTCACTTGTGAAGATATTAACGGCCACACACATAATAACACTCTTCACGTACAAAGTCAACAACCTTGCACTCAAAATTCATCAAGAGAGCTTCACAGGCAGCTGTGATAAAACTCAGGTTCATTCAACCTTTATTTATACTCGAAAGATCATTGAGGGGCAACCCTCATTTACATGACATCGAGTCATTATAGAATGAATTAAAAGACAGACAACAAATCATAAAACAAAAAACAGAAGAGATATATGATGATGATGATAATAATACATTTTATTCATAAGCCCTTTTCAGAAACTCAAAGACACTGTACATTTGTTAAAAAAGAGAGAGGAACAGCACAGTAAGGACAGACTAACAGACATTGCAACACAGATAAATATAAGGCTGCTAAAATCAACAAACTTTGGGTTTCTAAGAAGCTAAGACAATAAGTAAGTAGAGTGTAGGAAAATAGTTTAAAATGTACAAGAATAATTCAGCGAGTACAAAACTGCAATAAATAAACACACTTAAGTAAAACAGTTACAAACCGAGGTTTGTTTTCTAAAATACCCAAAAGGTAAGAGTTCATTTCCCTCAAGAAGATGCTGTATGTTGTTCAAAGAGTCCGGTTCAGAATAAGAAAAAGCTTATTCTGATCTGATCTGACTCGAGGAACATTCAACAGCAACCGCTTTGAGGAACGTGTCTGGTAATGCTCAGTCGACAGACGTATGAGTTCTGCTTGGTATGAAGTTGATATTTCTGTGAGAGCTTTATAAATAAAAAGATGCCAAATGCATATCACATGTTTCTGTGAGAGAGGACCACCCAACGTCGCTGTACAGTATACAGTGGACCATTCGGCTGTATGCTACTCTGAGAACCCTGTCGTCATTGTAATCTTTCTGTGGAAGGAGGGTGTTTTTCCAGTGGGAAAGACTTTGTGTAGATTGTTCATTTTGGATCAAGTATTTTGTTAAAGATTGTCAGGCTTCTCTTTAGTTGTGGTTTTAAAAAGAAGCTTGTTCTTGGTTGTTTAGGTTGTGATTATGTAAATAAATGATTGTTAAATTTGCTACTTAGTTTCTTCTTCTTTCTTCTGGGTTTTATTTTATTGTTACCCGTTAATTAGGATATCGATTTAAGGGAAACCAGTTTTTCTGCTCTGAAAATTAAAAATGACTGCAACCCCTCTCCGGACTGCAGTTCTTAATAAGAATTAAATCCTTGAAATGTAAACATTTGAAGGCCGTGTGTGCTGTTTGGCTGCTGCAGGCGCTGAGTGTGAAATAGACTATTTATGAGCTGTAGCTCATGTTCTGTCATGGCTAATGGACTTTTGAACAGCAGAGGCTAATGGCTGTAATTTCTGAGAGTACTTCTGTTTTAACAGGAACCCTGTTTTAGCTATCGGCTTCCATCTGCCTCCTCCTCCATACTGTTCATTTATTGTCACCTGAAAACACCTAGTCGAACACACCACTGTCGTATGGTCATAATAAAGAGGTTAATAACAAACTGGAAAAATAAATGCTGTAGCTGAATCTGTTTACATATATGTCTATGGTTTTATCAATTGCCATTGACCATTTTGCTTCAATAACAACTTGAGCAGTTAGTCTACACCATTCAGTTGCCTAGGTCAGTTACTCGTCAAAATTTAAAATCATTTAAAATTGTATATTTCACCCATTATTTTAAAAATACTTACAAGAAGTAGTTAAGTTTCAAATGAGAATGAAACTTACGCATAAAATACTTCAAATGTAAGTTTGTGCACGTCAAAAACAACGTAGGCGTCTGCTGCTACTTTTGTAGGTCTATACATGGAAATCACCAGTACTTATATTCTGCTTCTAGCCTTACTTACAATACATATGGGCTATACAATAATGTAATGGTACAGGCTGTTGTATTCTTTTGTGTTGTTCTTGTGTGTACCAGTGTTTGAATAGGCTTATTAGTGATAAGCGTAGCTGTGTGCTAAGTTATATACCTTAACCACCTCCAGGGACAGTGGGGGTCCCCAGTCTAAAAAGTTTAGGAACCCCTGGCCTATAGGCTATTAGCTGTTGAGAAATTCATCCTTATATTATATTTTCCCTGTAGAGGGCCTTAACAGGTGGAGGGGGTTCTAACATCAAAACGACAAAACTATTATATAACTAACTAAAAAAAACATGACATGACATTAAAAAGGCCCACTATGGATATAAGTGGCTGAGGTATTGCTACCTCCCAGTGCCCTTCGAAGTGCCCTATATTGTCTAGAAACCTCCAAGGCGTAAGAGTTTTGTTTTCACGTCTCTGCATCTCTAGGTATCAACTAAAGTGAGTGAATGAATATTTTACCGTCTGTTTTTACACATGTGGGACATGTTACCACGTTAAATCAAAGCTTGATCCAAAGGCAACAACTGGACTTGAAGACGTTTCACATCTACTACTCAGTCCAGTTGTTGCCTTTAGGTCAAGCTTGGATTTCCCACGACCCGAATGACGGAGAACCAACAAACAGACATTTTAAAACATTGTCTTAATGTTTTTGTACATACACAAGGACTTGCAGAGATTGTTTACTGCAATCAGATACCTCGACAGACATTTAGACCTAGGCTAAATTTACACTGCACACAATTTGACGATATTGTAATATATTTGAAAAGTTTCATGTAGTCGATTTGATCGTCCAACAGTGCTGTTATTGTTTTGTGATGTAAAACTCTTCTTCATGTAGGGCTAGTTGAATTTTTCCTGAAGTATGCTACGCAATTAATGAACTCCGACTTTTACTGATGTTGTAGGCCTACTTTTTCATGGAGGTCTTATATCGGAGAGGGTCAGAACTCTTCCAGTTCCGAGTTGTTCTTCAACGCAGCACCAGTGCGCAGCTGCCCACCAACATGGTCTGATGGCTGGAGAGTGGATACAACAGTAGCCCCGGCAAAACACTAAAGTCGAGGACTGGGATTACTTTTCTTATCGTCCATAAGTTCAAAGCCTGTTCGCTTTCATTCCCGGGGGATACCCATGTGAGTACAGAGCTTGTTTTGCGAAAGAAACCACATCGTAGAAACAGCCACGCTGTTGTTTAACCAGCTGTTTTGGTCAGCGAGGCTAGCTGGCAGTGGCTAGCAGTCAGCTAACAAGAACTTAGCTAGCTTTTAGAGAGAGCACACTTCAGCTTTGCATTGTTTTCGTGGTAAAGTGGAGCAAAAAAGACAAAGCAAAACAATAACAATGCAGAGGCTGAATCAGCCAGTGATGATAGGACAGCTTGTCTGACTGCTTGGTCCTTCAGGTGAGCTGGATGAAGTATCAAAGGTTAGCTTGTCTTATACTGTGATTTGACATAACGTTAAGGCCGAGGCTGTAATGATCACGTCATCTTACAGTCAGTGACTTCAGGATATCCCAAACCTGACCGAACATTCACAACTCAAAACCAAGTGCTTTTTTTTTAAACTCTCATCTGTGGGTATGTTTACTATTGAGAGCACAAGCTGTATAATTATATATACAAATGTGTAGTGCGTGTCATTTGTGAAATATTATTGTGCAATAATGTCTGAAACAGCAAATTATGTTGAACTATTGTTGGGTAAAACATGGTCCTTACTGTGCTTGGCTGTATTGTTCCAGAAACAGTCGGAAAGAGAGCTTGGTCCAGCTCGCATCTCATTTATCTGAACACCTGCTTTCATATCAAATTACCTGCTGAATGCTGAACACTAACCTGTTTCTCCTACTTCTTTTCACAATAACATAAAGCGCCATATAGACCAGATCCCTCCCACATTAGTCCCATGTGCATTTGCTTTGTATGTTGTTGTGAAAGTGTTTCTCTCACGAGCATTAGTGAACTAATCCTCCTCATATAGCTTCTTAACTGCGTTATGAACGTGACCAGCAGCTCTGAGCCAAGTCATTGGTTTGAACCTGAACATACCATGATGGTAATACTCCTCTGCTGCCAGTTGTTACTGCAGCTTTGTTCAGGCTCATCTGATCAGAATCAGCTTTGAATGTGTCCCTTAAAGTATTCACATTAACTAAAACAATTAACACAAAATAAGCAAAGACTAATGTGTACAAGAATAAATAAGGCAATAGAGAGTAGTCTATAGTGCCAACATGCTGGAAAAAACAAGATAATGAAGTATGTAATATTGTAACAGATGGTTTATTTACACAAGGTGAGAGCTACCTTCTACAGTATTAACATTAAGCAGTGTGCATGGATTGATATCAGTTTAGGAGGATAATAATACAGTATACATGATGTTAGTTATCGACCGTAACATAACCGACTATTAGAATAAGAGTTGGACCAATTAATCCGCCAGCTGATAATATCGGCCGATATTAGCATTTCCACTGACTATCCAGCTATTACTGGATTTATTCATCAGTCAGATGGAATTTAATTTAAGTTTTAATTGTATTAAACTAGCAGTTCTCTTTTACCAGCAGAGTGTGCTATGTGGATTACAACAAACATGCTCTCTCTCCAGAGTGTCAATATGCTCACTTACTTTCCAGCTGAGTGACCATCTTGTCGTCATTATCTTTTCCACAAGTGTTTGATAACTGCATTTGAGGGATCAGCGTGATAAATGTGTATAATCTCTACAGATCGGACATAGATCAAAGAAAGATATTGGCTGATATATTGATATCAGATTTTGCTCTCTCTCCCCAATATCAACATCTGTATCGGCCCCAAGAGTCTCATATTGTTCGGGCTCTAATTAGAATCCAGGGTAATGTTTTCAATGCTGCTGTCATTTCATATTTAGAGGGATTAAAGATTCGGCTAGAGAGAGGCCTGAAGTGTAAGTGCCCATGATGGTGCCTTGTTTCTACAATGATGTCACTTCCTGTTGGTCTGCACTGCAGTCTTTTTGATAGTGATACGTCATTTGCTGGGTAATGTTGTTCAGTTTGTTTCATTGCATTGACAGAACTTTCCTCTCACCAGAGTTTCTTGGAAGCTGCCAGTTGAGGTCAGCGCAGCATTGCCATCAGACACACGGAAACACGACCACAGAGCTCATCTGAAGAATTTAAAGTAAGTACCTATAACGCAGCACGCCACACTTTATTCTTCATTCAAAACCCAGCATGTGTTAGTTTTTGTGAGTTTGCACGCAGGCATATTACAGCCTGATGCTATCAGCTATACTTCTGACATTGGAAATGTCTATAGATTTTTCTTTTCTGTCATCTCATGCATTGATACAGTCATCCTAGAAGCTCTAGTCTTTTATCTCTCTCTGTGACTTCTTGCAGCTGAAACTTGTTCTGTAATAGGCCAGTAGGGGGCACTCTATCTTTGCTATTCTCAAACATCTGCCCCTTACACACTGCACAGAAGCTGTCCTGTGTTGTGATTTCCTGTTTAATGTAAAGGAAAGTGTTTGGATTTACAATCGCTTCGATCCACACACATTAGCCAGATTCTTAAAATAAGAGCTTAATAAGCATGTTGATGCTTTTTTAAGCATTGGATTCAATTTCTTAATGATACCTGCTACGCCCATGTAAGCTGCCGGGATGCCAATGTGCATGACTCAGGGTAACATTTCAAACATAAAACAGTAATGCTACAGTATACTGCCTCCTCTTCTCTCATTAAAGAAAATTACTAGGATGGTGACACAGTCATGAATAAAAAGCCATTATCATTACAGATCTTTGTGAATGATCTCCAGCGGTTGAAGGAGCTCATGTATTTCATGAATCTTTTCCTGCAAGACACTTTTATGACGGCATAATTAGCTTTCCGCATCACGGAAAACTACCTGGATTGTTTGACAAACAGTGCTTGCAGAATGAGTACCTAAATTCTTGTTTAAAAACATCTTTGTAGAATGTAAAATTGAGAGTCTCCTCAGAGCAGAAATCAATTAATGTTCTTCAATTTAAAAAGAAAGAACAAACGAGAATGGAACCCAGGCTGGTCTACTGATTTCTAGAATCTGCTTCTTTGAGTGTGTGGCATATTGTAAACAATTACTCTTGATTGAATTCTCATAGCTCCGTCTCATACTTGTCTCCTTTCCTTTTCAACTGTCATTGTCTCTGCAGCCTTTTATATCTATCGTTCCTCTCCCTAACCCTTTTCCACCCGCCCAGCCCTCATGAACAGCTGGCCCAAACAGCTGGCTTTAACAGCTGCGTTCCTTGTCATTTTTGGACTAACTTAATCTGGGCAAGTTTTTATATAGCATTGTTTTTTTCTCTTCTTTTTCTAAATCAGTCTTTGTGTCACCATAGTCATAAACTGAAAAGTAAATCATGAGTTTTATATATAGCAAATATGATCCCCATCTGTCCTAGTGGTCTTGGTTGGATGGCTTCCATCAGTCCAGGGTTTCCCAAAGGTTCTTCTTCTTGTGGCGATGGCCTGGTCCCACCTGGTGAGGGTAGGGTGGGGGGGTTGCACAAGCAGGGAACACATTTTTCTTAACTTTATTTAACAAATTAAAAAAAGAAAGAAAGGTATTTTTGAATGTTTTATTTTAGTTGGTTTGAACCGTAAAAACTTTAGTTGAAAATTATACCTCAACGTATTTTAGACACTTTAATGTTGCAGTAGATATGATTAGTGGGGATCATAGGGTTAAATAAATGACGCTCCTGCGTTACAGAGGCCTAGTTGGGCAGCCCTAGTCAAAAAAGTCTGGATTCGCCCCTCCTTGTTAAACTAACATGCGAGCACGTTACATTACTTTGGCCAGCGGCAGGACAGAGGAGGGCATCAACAGGGAGACAGGGGCTTAACTTTCCCCTGCAGGTAAAAGTCAGACAACTTCTCAAGGATTATAATCTCTCCTTCATCTATCTCATCCACAATGACTAACGGTGCTTCTGCTGAGAGTCACTGTCTGAATTGATGTAAAAACATTTCCTATTGAGTGTGACAAATCCTAAAAGACAGAGAAAAAGTGGAAGATAGTGCTGAAAGGTCCAGACTGCTCTGATCGTCCCTAAGAAGCACAAACAAACTGTTTCTGTTGAGACCAGAACGCAGAGTGCAACGCTCGCTCTCTCTCTCTCTCTCTCTCTCTCTCTCTCTCTCTCTCTCTCTCTATTTAAAGTCAATGTAGTTTGCCCATTAAAGAGCTCTTTCCCTCCCTCCCTCCTTTATAAATACACAGTAAACTAATATGTTTTCTTTGTTGTTATGAAGCTAAATGTCTGAGAAGGCTGTGCACTATAACAGAAGATTGACTGTTTTGATTGGCTGCTACTCATAGTGGCCTATGGCAAGATACTGAATGGCTTAGTGGATGAAGATTGGATTAAACCTGGCAAGTCTCTACTTTCAGTGTATCAATGTGTGTGTGAGTGGCATGCTCTTTAGAAAGCTTTGAGTGGTCAAGAACTAGAAAATTGCCTTATAAGGTCAATCTATTTATCTTTCATCTCAATTGCCTCAAAATAAATCAGATGTTTTTATCTGTGCTTTTGTAGCCTGGTTGGAATTGTTTTTGGTCTGTCTGCTGATAATTTGCTGTATTTTGTCCTGAATATAAGCCTTTGCAGTTACCGGTAATGGAGGGAAAATTCTGCAAACTATGACGCTAGATGAGTCTGAGAACCATCCAGAAAGGTTAGAAGAAGAGGAAGTACATGTTTTTACCTGTCTGAAAAGCTTAACCTGTTCACAGTCCCAAGTCATGTGACAGCAGCAGCCCTGGTAGTATTTTAAATTTCCTGCTTTATCTTGTATAAGATAAGGAAGCCTATGTCTACACAGACATAGAGGGGTGACAGTTGGACAGATGCTGTATGTACATTAGGCTCTATTTTGAGTCTAAAATAATATGAAGACAAACTATCGTCAGATTTCAAACCCTTCTGTAACATCCACTATAAACTGGAGTCATAGCTGAGTGACTGAGCCATAGAACGGCCTACGATATGAGTGACCTTGGGTCCTGTTGCTGATGTGCAGTTGTTGGTTTTGTTATTTATCTAGCATTACTGTTACCCGGCTCCTGCACTTTATCTCCTCATGGTGGCACGGGGATAATCGAAGGGAAGACGGTTGCCACTGGAGGCATGACTAAACATTTTCTATTAATAACTCAAATTGTTGCCCTGCAGTTCTTTGATGTTGAGCTGAAAGATGGGGGCCCTGGTGGATCTTGTGGACCCCAATGGAACCAGTATGCCTAATCATTGGCTGTAAAACTGCTTACTAAACTAGTAGTAGTTTTAGACAACGCTGTATGCAGTATGCGAACAAATATGAGATCTGCAGTATGCAGTGCAAAATACCAGGATATTGCACTGATTCAGGAAACATTCTAATTTTAACAGTTTGACATATCATCAGATCTAATCCCTCTTGAAGTTGTCCTGAATGAAGCACATGGAACATTTCTGTTACCTTCAAAAATCTAATTTGAGCAATAAACTGTCAAATTAATTATTGTTGTTGCGCCTCTAAAATGAAATAGATTTTTTATGAGAAATAACTCATAACTTGACTCATAGCTTAGCCAGTTTTCCATAAAATCATCCCGTTATAGTGATTAATTATTTTGACTATGAATGTGAGCTCTGTCGACCTTATGGCGTTGTTGTATGCATCAGACCTGCATTCAGGGGATAGTTGGAGGAAGCTACATGTACAGTGCAACATGGGATGTGTCTGGACCGCAACACTGATTGGCCAGTTGGTAAATTGGTCTGAATTTCAAGCCTGTGCACCCCCCTGTGCCTGTGCAACAAACTCCATCCTTCAACTAAGATTACACTTGATTAAACCCTCGATAAAAAGATGGATGATAGATTGATTTTTATGATTGTTGTTGAAACTTAAGTCTTGGGTTTGTCTCCGGCATGTGGAAGATCCCAACAGGCAAACCTGAGCCTTAGCAGACAGAGGCATGGCTCCTATCATGGCATCTCGCAGCCCATTCATCACATCAACTCCTGTCTCTTTATGGACCTCGTAATTGAAAGCAGGCCGCCTGATAGGCCCTTTTCCTTTTGGTTCCTTAGCTTTAGATTAAAGAAATCAATAGCGCCTGGTGCTCCTTTAAAGGCATATGTGAAATATTGCTGGCTCTGGCCACTGACTGCCTTCTGCTTTCAGCTATTGACCCGAACAGAGCCCTGTGTGGGAAGAAGTGCTCTGGATCTCTGTCTTCTGCATCACACAGGCCCGGAGCCTTGCCATATCACAGCCTGCACCACAGCTGTCACTGTTTGTATATTTGATATACTGACGGATGCAGAAAAGAAACAGGTGTTGCGTATTAGTGCCACTATTTTATTTCACCCCCCTCTGAAAAGAAAGTGCACCGTGGTCAATAGAGTTGTCAGAGTGTATCATTGTAATATATGGCTCTGTGACTTTTAAACTGAGTTTTGTTACAAAGCATTTCCTTCACAGTCCTCCTTCACCAAAAGGAAGAGGCACAGAGAGGGAAAATGGATGAATGTGGTTAAGGTGGACTGACCCCAACACAGATCAGAAACATGGGAATGTCTTTGAACATCGACCTATTTCCGTCCTGCTGTCTCTTCTTGGTAAGATCTTTCGGTTTGTAGGAATATCAACCACAAATGGAAACCCTGCAATATACCGTTTCAGCATTTCTGACCAATATTTAGAAGGAAGTGGATATTATTCAACAACTACTGAGACTGTTTTGGTCCACACAACCAATCTCCAGGTTGTTTGTTGTTGCAGCAGTAAGACCTTCATAGTTGTTTAAACTCATCTATCCGTATCAGCTTACATTTTGGACTTCTTAACTTTATGTCTTCATTAGTTTGTAATTTCTGGCACGATTTCATGGTTGAATTCTGAGTAGACAAGTTTGTAAATCAGAGCCAGGCCTCAGCTTGCAGAACACCGTTTAGCCGCCCTCACCTCATCAGTCTTGGTTTGTACGTGAGTCAGAGGGTGAAGATGAAGGCCAATGGTTGCTTCACTGCATCTTCCCTTGGTTGTTTAGCTCTTCAGACAAATCCTCCCAGACAGGCCCTGGTTCCCCCCACAGAGAGCAGCCTCATTAGGATTTGTTGCACAAACTGGAGAATGTTGAC